ACATTTTTTGTCTGACGTAAACAGTGTTTTACTACTGATTTACTAAATTTACTTAATTTTATTATTTATCAGTAAATATGTAGTAAAAAAAAAGTTTTAGTCAGACGTCTGGTATTTCTTAAATTCTTATATAAATTAAAATATTAATAGAAATCAAAGTAAATAATGAAAAATGCAAAAAATAATAAAGAAAGAGACAAAACAGCTATTAAATTAAAAAATTGAATAAAATTATGTAAATTTACTGAATCAGTAGTAAAACACTGTTTAAGTCAGACCAGAAAATTTAGAATCTAAAATATAATGTAATTCAAATTAAATAATGAAAATTAGAAAAATAAAATAAAATATAGACGAATTAACAGTTAGATTTAGTAAATCAGGAGCAAAATATAGTTTAGGTCAGTGTCACACGTTTGCTTTTTTAAATTCTTTTATAAATTAAAATAGGTGCAATAAAGAACAAAGTAAATAATGAAAAATGAAAATTATAAAATAAAATTACAAAATAGATGTTAAATAATATAATTAATATAAAATAAGTAAATTTATTAAATCAGTAGTAAAACACTGTTGTTTTCAGACATCTGATATTTTTTTAATTATTTGATAAATTAAAATAAAATAGACATTAAAAGTGTCAATGAAAACTGAAAGTAATTAAACAAAGAGGTAAAAACAGGTGCAAAATAAATAAAATAATAAAATTAAGTAAATTTAGTGTGATAATTAAACTAAATTTAGTAAATCAGTAGTAAAAAACTGTTTAAGTCAGACAAGAAAATTTATAATGTATAAAATGCAATGTTATTCAAAATAAATAATGAAAAATAGTAAAATAAAATAGATTTCTGTTGGTCTAGTGAAATAAATTTAATTTCAATTTCAGTAGTAAAATCTCGTTTTAGTCAGACAAAGTAACAGTTTCTAAAGTATTCGTAGAAAATACTGTTACAGAAGAATAGAAAATTAAAATATTTGTTATTTTAATTAAAATAATTCATATTCTTTTGTAGCAGTAAACGTCAGTTTTACTCAGAATTATATTTTCTCAATAGTAGTAAAATATATTTTTAGTCATATTCTAAAAACTCTTGTAATTAAAAAAACAAATTATACGATAAAAAAAATAATTAGTAGTAAAAAAGCTTGCTACTCTGTAGGAGAAAAATAATTAATATTATTATTTTCAGTTTATTAAAAAAAGAAATCTACAATAAAAATTTAATTTCTTTTATTTTAATCAGTATAAATGAAAGAGGAATGGCAAACACGTTAGCAGATTTATTATTAAGTTATCTTTAAAATCCCATTGAGGATTAAAACTGTCTCTTTGCTCGCTGCTTTATACTTGGATAAATTTTGAATTATTCGCTGATATATAAAAGCCGTTTCGTCATTCAGATAGAATCATGTCAGCTTATTGACTCTAAAATAAATTTCCTTGCTCAAATCTACGATGAGATGGAAATTTGTTACCTCATTGCACAAATATTATGGAAATTCACCAAAAAAAGGAGAAAAAATCCTTATAGCAGAAAAACAAAAATATGAACATTATATTTATAAATAGATTTCCTTTCGTAAAATAATAAATTGTCAATAAATTCATTTTTCTCCAACATAAATAAAACGAATTGAAATGTAAATTTTTAAAACGAGAGAACAATTCAAAAAGTTTTTTTAATTAAAGGAATTTCACTTTAAAACAATTTTTTTAATTTTCTATTTTTTGCAAACAAAGAGATGTGATTTTTTTTTGTCGCTTTTATTTTGAATTTTTATTCAATATGGATTTTTTCTAAATAATGTCGTTCTTTTTTTTTTGTTTTAAAAAATGAAAACTTGAAGCGTTGTGTTCGCAATTGTCTGAATCATTTTTCACCGGAGGGTTTTTCGCGGTAAATTTGCCAAACAATAAAAAACGTTTACCAACGGAATTTTCGTCGGAAGTTAATTTCAAAGGCGATTTGAGGCGTGGTTCGGTAGCAGATATATATTTACAGAACTTGACTCTGTGATAAATAGGATAAAAACTCGAGTCAACGGTAACGAAAAACTTTAGTAAAAAAAAAACAAAAAAAAATAAGAAAAAAAAATTGAAAAAAAATAAAAAATCCGATATTGGCTAATTTTATCAGTTGAGAAACTTTATAGCTTCATAATCTTTGCCTTCGACTTTTTTGTTGGTGTGAAAGTAACTTTGTTTCTTAAATGAGGAAAGCAAAAAACTAGACATTTTTTACAGTTGGCTGAACTTGACGCTTAAGAATTTCCATCTAGAAAACTGATTAATAGTAGCAGAGCCTGTGCAACATTATTATACACTTTGCATCGACTTTTTGAATTTCTTATCGAATAATAACGCTGTGTTTTTAACTATTTTTAAATTAACATTGCTAGAGGTTTAAAAATAATTGCAGTTGAACGCAATTATTATTTTATTTTATGTAATTACAAATATTAGTGTTATAAATTATAATTTTACACTATTGTTACTTAGATTTAGTTATAACTATGACTTCAATTCTTTTATCCTTCGTAAAATTCAATTGCTTACAAAATTTTCAATTTTTAATGAGTAAATTAATTAAAAATTTTTGTATTAAATTTTATTCTTTTATTTCTTCTTTCCAATTTGAAGGAAAAATTTAATTATCAGAAATAGTAAGCAATAGAGATTATAATTTTGAAATCAGGTGAGACTTATAATTTAAAATGCAATATATTACATAATAAACAATGAAAAAGAAAAATAATAAAACAAAAATAGGCAAAATAGCAATTAAATGTAGTAAATCAGTAGTAAAGCACTGTTTAAGTCAGACAACTCTGCTGATATTTTTTCTAATTCTTCTATTATTTAAAATATAATTAAAAATAAATAATGAAAAATTAAAATAATAAAAATAAAACAAAAATTGACAAAATAGCAGTTCAGAATTTTCACATAATTTTACTTGTTACGAGTTAAAATTACCGATTATAAGTAGTGAAGTACATTTTTAGTCAGACAATGCATCTAAATATTTGGAAATCCTGTTGTAAGTAGTAAAACACTATTTTAGTCAGCCAAGATATTAGTAATGCAAAATTTACAATATTTAACATCAATAGTAAAGCCTTTTTTTCTCAAACAAAATTGGTGTTAATTGTAATAAGTCAGCAGAAAATTACAGTTTACGCCAGACAAGACAGTTTTTACTAATATAATAATTCTATAAAAGAAAAGATTATTTAAAATAAATAATGGAAAATAAAAATAATAAAACAAAAAAGACGAAGAAAAATCAGTTAAATTTAGTAGATCAGTAGTAAAAGACTGTTTACGTCAGACAAAAAAATTCTATAATTTAAAATACAATTTAATTAACAATAAGGAATGGAAAATAAAATTAATAAAACAAAAAAAGGCAAATTAGAAGTTATAAAGTACTTAAATTTACCACCGATTTGCTAATTAGTAGTAAAAAACACTGCTTAAGTCAGACTAGAAAATTTATAATCTAAAATATAATGAAATTCAAAATAAATAATGAAAATTAATAAAATAAGAAAAATATACGAATTAGCAGTTAAATGAAGTAAATCAGTAGAAAAACATAGTTTAAGTCAGACGTGTGATATTTTTATTCTTTTATAAATTAAATTACAATAGAAATTAAAGTAAATAATAAGAAATGAAAATAATACAATAATGAGACAATACAGCTGTTAAATAATCTAATTACATAAAATTATGTAAGTTTAGTGAATCAGTAGTAGAACTCTGTTTAAGTCAGACAAAATGATTTATTACTTAAGATGCAATAAAGCTCATAATATACAAAATAAAAATAATAAAACAAAAATATATGAATTTAGAGTTAAATCAGTAGTAAAATTCTCTTTAAGTCAGACAAAAGGATTTAATATTTAAAATACAATGATATTCAAAATATAATATAATGTAAAATAAAAATAATAAAACAAACATCCACTTAATTTTGGAAATTAAATTTTAAAGTTGAATATTTTTTTGTTTAAAACTAACATAAAATTTTGAAAAAATTTGTAGGTCCTGACAACTGCAGCTGCATAAAAAATATTTACCTTTAGAATTTAATTTCCAAAATTAAGTGGGTGCTGATAACTGAGTGAATGTTTCAGCTTTATGCAAAATAATAATTTTAAATCATGAATTCTTTTGTCTGACTTCAACAATGTTTTACTACTGATTTACTAGATTTATCTAATTTTATTTAATTTTATAATTTAATAGTTGTTTTGTCTCTTTTTTATTATTATTTTTATTTTTCCTTATTTACTTTGATTTTTATTATATTTTAATTTATATAAGAATTAAAGAAATGTCAAGCGCCTTCGACTAAAACTTTTTTTTTACTACAGATTTACTAATAAATAATAAAATTAAGTAAATCAGTAGTAAAACTTTGTTTCTGTCAGATAAAAGAATTTACAATTTAATATAGAGTGAAATTGAAAATAAATAATGTAAAAAAAATATTAAAAGAAAAATTGACAAATTAGCAGTTAAATGTAGGAAATCAGTAGTAAAACACTGTTTACGTCAGACAAAAAAATTTATAATTTAAAATACAATTTAATTTAACGTAAGGAATGAAAAATAAAATTAATAAAACAAAATGAGAAACATTAGTATTTATGAGTACTTAAATAGTGTTTTACTACTGATTTGCCAATATAAGTAGTAAAACACTGTTTAAGTCAGACAAGAAAATTTATAATTTAAAATACAATATAATTCAAAGTAAATAATGTAAAATAAAAATAATAAAAGAAAAATTGACGAATTATAAGTTAAATATAATAAATCAGTAGTAAAACACTGTTTACGTCAGACAAAAAAATTTATAATTTAAAATATAATTTACAATTAATAAGTAATAATATTTACATAATAATATTTATTTATTAATAATAAAGTGAAAAATAAGAATTGCAAATTAAATTAATTGAATATATTTCTTTTCTTGCAGAAGGAGATGCTGGTGGTTGGAGTCCTTGGAGTCAATGGTCTCGTTGTAGCAGTTCTTGCGTTGGCGGAACAAGAACTCGTTACAGGCTTTGTGACAGTCCACCCCCAAGATATGGAGCACAATTTTGTCAGGTGAAAATTCACACCACAATTGGACTTTATTACCTATTTAAATTGTATTTTAAAGTTCTCTTTTCAAATTCTTAGCAACAAAAAAATTACTTTTTCCCGAATATTCCACATTTTCCACACTTTTTTATATTGTAAATTATTTTTTCATTTTTTCAAAAATTTCCCATTCTTTTAAAGATTATTTTATTTTTTTACACTTGTCCAAATTTTCTTCATTTTAAAAAAATTTTTTTCCCTTCTTTTCAAGAAAAAATATAATTACATAAATTATAATTATACACCCGGAGAAAATATATATTTGACTCAGAACCAATTAGATTTTTTTTTCGCTTCACGTAAATATTATTTCAGCTTTAAATAAAATTTTATTTTTCTCAAACATATATATGTTTTATGTGAAATAAAATTTTTATTTAAAACAAATAAATAACATAGTTGGTTCTGAGACAAATATACGTTTATCTAACTCAAAATATATTTGGTTTAAATAAAATTTTTCTCTGGATGCAATAAAATAATATTTATAATAAAATTATAATTATAAATTGTATAATACAGCGAAAGTAATAATTGTATCATTTATTACATTAATTGATTTATTATTATTTTATTTGATCTTATTTATTTATTTATTTATTTATTTATTTATTTATTTATTTATTTATTTATTTATTTATTTATTTATTTATTTATTTATTTATTTATTTATTTATTTATTTATTTATTGATCATATGACCCTTTTAAATTATTAATTTTCTTTTTATTCACGAGGAAACTTTATATTTACATTTATAAAAAAAGTTTTCTCGTGAGGAAGCAAAATAATTGAAACCAAATAAAAACAGTAAATAAAAAAATTTGTTTTCCCCAATTCACTGGAATTGGGAAAAACTTTTTTTTTATTTATTGTTTTTTCTTTTTCCCAAACAAAATAGACAATCCATGATTTTTGATTATAAAGAGAATAAAAAAATAGCGGGGAACAAATTTAACAAGATAATAGTATTTAGAGAATTTAATCCGTAGGAGAATCCGCAGTATACTCTCTTCTACAATATAGAGGCAACAATCTACTTGTTGCATTGAAATCGATGAAATTTGCATGTTAAAGGGCGACGCTGTTGACTCGGAGGCTTGCGGTGGTACTGCACAGTTGGATCTTCATGGATCTTTAAGCCAAGGCGATTGGGAATGTCGTCATGGTCGAGGTTTAGCGGCCGACAGACCGGAAGTGACTGCCGAAGTCGGTACCAAATGTAGATGTGGATGTGTTCTGAATATGAATGCCAAGAAGATGAGAACGATTCTAGCGGCTAGCACTCAAGCATGTCCTGGGCGTTCCTTTTGGCTGATTCAGGTGAATTTATGGAAATCATGCTATTTATACGATTTATCTTCATATTTCCCTTCACACTGTGCAAAAAAGAATTCAAATTTTCTCCTCATCTACATTTGTGTAAATTTATTTTTCCCAATTTTTTTTTTTTTTTTTTTTTTTTTTTTTTTGACAAATTTTCAAGGAATATATTTCTGAATTTCAATGTAAATACATTTCTTTTCTTTTCCAAATCGAAGAAAAATGTTTGTATTTTAATGGAAATTTTGATTTCCTTGTGAACTTTTCTTTCTTTTTTTCATCTCCTCTTATTTTATTTTTCAATTTAGTTTTCATTTGATTTCAATTTTTATTCTTTTCTATTTATTTTCGTTTTTATTTTAGTTTCTTTTCTTATTTTTATTCTATTTTAAACTTTAGTTATCTTTTCTTTGCATTTTTATTTTATTCTTCATTTAATTTTCGTTGACATTGTCATTTTATTTTTATTTTTTATTTAAATTTTCATTACATTTTTTATTTAAATTTTCATTACATTTTTCATTTTATTTTCATTTTAATTTTCTTTTTGTTTTATTTTATTTTCCATTTCTGTTTTCTTTTTGTTTTTATTATATTTTTCAATTCTCATTTTTATTTTAATTTTATTTTTCATTTTCATTGTATTTTTTAGTTTCATTTTTTTTATTTTCATTTTATTTTTTATTTTTCATTTTATTTTTATTTTATTTTCCATTTTATTTTTATTTTATTTTCCATTTTATAGTCGTTGCCATTTTGATTTAATTTTTATTTTATTTCTCATTTCATTTTATTTTATTTAACTTATTTCCATTTCATTTTCTTTGCATATAATTTTTTTTTATTTCTTATTTTTCATTTTTTTTATTGTAGTTTTTATTTTATTTTATTGTTCATAATTTTCTTCTTATTTTCATTTTCACTTTATTTTTTATTTTTTCTTAACTTTAGTTTTAATTTTTTTCACTTTTTCTTTTTTATTTTTCAATTTAGTGTCCTTTCTGTTTTAATTTCTTTTCAGTTCATTTTTGTTCACATTGTTTTTTTTAATTTTTAATTACATTATTTTATTTTGTTTTTCATTTTATTTTATTTTCCATTTTCGTTTTTCTTTGATTTCATTTTTATTTTTTTTAATTAATTTTCATTCTTAATTTATTTCCATTTTATTTTCTCTGTACTTTATTTTCATTTTATTTTTTCATTTTTTGATTATAGTTTTCACTTTAATTACATTTTCTTTTTTTTATTAATTTTCCATTTTCAGATTATTTTCATTTTTTTTCAAATTGTTTTTCTTTTTAATTTAATTTTTATTCTTTTCATTTCAATTTCAATTCCATTTTCGTTTCACTTTTCTTTTTCTATTTTCATTCTATTTTTCTTTTATTTTCCATTTTAGTTTTCCTTTCTTTTGTTTTTCATTTTAGGCCGTTTTCGGCATGGTCATGGATCGCGATGGATCGTGATCCAGATCACTTTTCCTATGCTGTGATTGGTTACTTTGTGATCCGGATCGCGATCCATGATCATACCGAAAACAGCCTTAGTTTTCTTTTTCTTTTTATTTTACTTTCTTTTATTTCGTTTTCATTTTCATTTTATTTTTCATTTTATTTTCACTTTAGTTCTCAATTTTATTTTGGTTTATTTTATTGTCGTTATCATTACGGTTTAATTTCTCTTTTATTTCCCATTTCATTTAATTTTCCTCTTCTTCAATTCACTTTTCATTTGATTTTCACTTTTTTCTATTTATTTTTTAGTTTAGTGTTCTTTTTATTTTTACTTCTTTTTCTCTCATTTCATTTTTCCTTTTCATTTTTATTTTGTTTTTTTCTATTTTCATTTAATTTTAATTTTATTTTTCTCATTCTTTTTGCCTTTGTCATTTTATATTTTTTTTTTTTTATTTGCATTTTTATTTTGCTATTCATTTTATTTTCATTTCAATTTCCATTTTATTTACATTTTAGTTTTTATTTTTTTTTATTTTTATTTCAATTTTGCTTTCATTTTAGTTTCATTTTTTTATTTTCATTTTATTTTTATTTTATTTTACAGATTAGTTTTCTTTTTGTTTTCATTTTCATTTTCATTTTCATTTTATTTCCAGTTTATTTTAGTTGCATTACATTTTTTCTTATTTCTTATTTTTCATTTCTTTTATTGCAGTTTTTATTTTATTTTATTTCTCATATCAATTTTCTTCTTATTTTAATTTTTAATTTTTTTAGTTTCAGTTTTATTTCCATTTTCATTTTATTTTTAATTTTTTCTTAACTTTAGTTTTCATTTTATTTTCACTTTTTTCTTTTCATTTCATTTTTGTTGACATTGTTTTTTTATTTTTTTTATTTTCATTTTTATTATAATTTTCATTCTATTTTTCTTTTTTTTCATTTTAGTTTTCTTTTTATTTTCATTTTTACTTTCTTTAATTTTATTTTAATTTTCAGTTTCAGTTTATTTTCACTTTAGTTTTCATTTTTATTTTGGTTTTCATTGTATTGTCGTTATCATTATGATTTAATTTTTCTTTTATTTCCCATTTCATTTAATTTTCCTTCTTTTCAATTTAGTTTTCATTTGATTTTCACTTTTTTCTATTTATTTTTTTAATTTAGTGTTCTTTTTATTTTAATTTCTTTTCCTTTTATTTCATTTTTTGTTTTCATTTTATTTTTATTTTTGTTTTCATTTCATTTTTTTTTTTTTGCCTTTGTCATTTTATTTTTTTTATTTGAATTTTTATTTTTCTATTCATTTTATTCACATTTTAATTTCCATTTTATTTCCATTTTAGTTTTCATTTTATTTTTTATTTTTATTTCAATTTTATTTCCATTTTCATTTCATTTTATTTTTATTTTATTTTACACTTTAGTTTTCTTTTTGTTTGCATTTTCATTTTATTTCCAGTTTATTTTCTTTGCATTTCATTTTTCATTACATTTTTTATTATTCAATTTTTATTACAGTTTTCATTTTATTTTTATTTTTCATTTTATTGTCGTTGTATTTTTATTTTATTTAGGTTTTATTCTTCTCTTAATTTTATTTTTCTTTTTGTATTTAATTTTGCATTTTAAGTTTTGATTTTCAATTTTCTATTTTGTATCTACTTTATTTTTTATCCACATTCTTTTTTTTCTCCTTTTTTTTTGTTCGACCTGGGAATTTAATTGTCTCATCTAAATTGAAATTTACAGACTACTGAAGAGAATGTAATCAGACTGAATCTGGATCAAGCAAAGTTTCCATGTCCAGGGCAATATGTACGTGTTCGTGACGGGGATTCCCTTAGCGCTGAACTTCTCGTTGATGTTGCTTTTGACAGAAAAGAACCGCCAAGTGCGGCGATCGTTTCTTCCAAGGAAACTTTACTTCTCGAGTTTTTTAGCGATCCAACTCTAGCCGATGGTGAATCTTGCATTGGCGGTTTTCTCGCTCACTTATTGATGATTGGTAATTTAATACTATCGCTAATTAAATTATTATAGTTACTCGGTTAATATCATATAATTAGTAACTTTATACGTTGTGAAATATCAAAGAATATTGTGTTTCAGTTTAATTATAAAATTTAATTGAAAATTAATTCAAAGCTAATGTCAATCTCTAATTTATTAATTAGTTGTGTCTAAATTAATTAATTTTTAATAATTAATTTTGTATTTCGAAAATTAATTTCATATTCATTTCAAGAATAATTTCAAAATTAATGAAGAAAAATTTGCTTAAGTAGAAACGAGTATAGAATCAATTTCAAAATCAATTTCAAAATTAATTTCGAAATTACTCAAAAAAAATGTACTTTTTAATGGAAAATTAATGTAGATTCAATTTTGAAATAATTTCAATATCAATTTAAAAAATCGATTTCCACTGATTCTGAATTTGTAGATTTTGTATTTTGCTAATTAGAAAATAATTTTCGCTTTCAAAAATTATGCGTAACAATTGTTTGCTAATTGAGATAAATTTCCGCAGGGAAACCACAGGGAGAAAATGAAACCACATTGCCAACAACTGTATTTCTGAAACCGACAATCATTGCTGCTGCCGGCAGATGGGCTCAATGGCTGACTCCAGCTCATCTCGTTGCAGCATCACTTTTGCTTTTAACATTTTTGGCTTCTGTTTTTTTGGCGCTACAATACGCCCTCAAATATCGAAAATATCACGTTGCTGAGGATTTGGACAGTCTTGCTGATAATTCTTGTAAAGAATTTTTCGCCTATTTTTTTCTTGCTAGGAAAAGTTTATTATATTTTATTAAACTGAATGAAAATTGAAGTTCGCAACGTTTATTAATCCAACGATTGGAAGAAAAAAATTTTTCTACCAATAAAACAATATTTTTTGTTGACATTTTTTTTTTTTAATCTTGGGGCTTTATTTATTAAAATGGACCTTGTCTTTATGTTTAAATAAATAAATTGTCGATGAGGAAATATTGTTAAAAAAATGGTTTTGGACAAACATTTGAATAGAAAAATATTTGACTATAAACTTTGTGAACTTCACCAAGAAATTTATTATATTTTATTGAAGAAAATTATTATATAGTTATTTTTTTTGGGGGGGAAAAATATTCATTTAAAATTAAATTGTACAACAATTTCATGAATAATTTCTCCGTAGCTTGCAGCGATGCTGTACCGGATTCGAGGAGAGTGAGAACAATGTCTTCATCAACTCTAATTTCTGAAGTAGTTTCACTTGTTCGATTACCTATTAGAGGCACGTCGAAGCATACTAGATTAGAAGAAACGCCTGCTGATGTTGAAGATGGTTACGAAAGTACCGAAACACCAGCTGAGTAAGAATTAATTTTTGCATTCACGAACAATTATTTAATTCTTTCGAAAATTGACGTCAAATTCTCCAGAGACTTGGAAATGAATTAATTTTCACAAATAAAATTAAATTCTGAAAAAATTATTAATTATTAATTAATGCTATATTTCTTTTTTATTTATTGAAATAAATAATAAAATTATTAATTAAATATATTGTAGACGAGGAAAAGTAGAAGAAAGAAAAGAAAATGAGAATATGATAAAAAAAAATGTTTTCAGCGCTGAAGAAGAGCAAAGTACAGAATCGGGTACAAGAAGAAAAAAGGACGATGAAAATGGATCGGAAAAAACGCTGGTACCAAGCGCAGGAAGTACACCGTTACGAAGACCATCGACTTCGAATTCATCGGCTTCTGGACAACCAGAGGTCAAGTACGCCCGTCCAGTTAAGTAAGTTCGGCCTGGGCATGTTGCCTGCGATTTTTCATCAATTAAAAACTATTCAAAGCATCACTTTTTACTATTTACAAATTACATTCAATATAAGACACCTAACACTATTTTCTAAAACAGCAATTTTTGATTCGATTGATTATCCTAAGTATATAGATAATTTATAGACCACTATATATAGATGACGAATAATATAGAGAATAATCGAAATTTGCTGTTATAGAGAAAATTATTCAGAGAAAATTATTCAAAGAAAATTATTTCTTTCCTATTTATAAAAAGTTATTAATGAAAAATTGATTATATCGTCGATTGATTAGATAAAATTTTTAGTTCTTTAATTAACTAAAAGTATTTTAATCCAAAGAAAGATAATTTTTTTTACAAAATTTTATGATCTTAATTTAGAAATGATGAGTTTATTGCTTCCTTATGTATAGAGAAGAGTTTTTAAAAATTGAATGAATTTTAGATTGGAAAACTAGAAGTGGATTTTTTTAATGAAATTGATTATTAATTTTTTCATGAAAGTTTATTAAGTAATAAAGTTAATAAAAATTGTTTTGTAATTTTATTAAATAGTAAAGTTAATAATAATTGTTATGAAATTTTATTAAATAGCAAAGTTAATAATAATTGTATTATAATTTTATTAAATAGTAAAATTACTAATGATTGTTTTGTAATTTTATTAAATACTAAAGTTACCAATAATTGTTTTGTAATTTTATGAAGTAATAAAGTTACAAATAATTGTTTTGCAATTTCATTAAATAGTAAATTTACTAATAATTGTAATTAAATTTTATTAAACAGTAAAGTTAATAATAATTGCTATATTTTGTAAAATATTAAATAATAATTGTTAATGATTATTTAATTGGATATTAAAATTCGAATTAACTGTGAAGGATCACAGTTAGTCCTCTTTTTATCAAATTCCATTTTTTATCTCCTTAAATTAATAAAATTTCCTAAAACATCAAAAATCATACATTTTCTCCTCTTTTCCCCTTTTTTTTTAAAGAAAAACATAAAAATTGTCATTTTTTGTAATTTACAAATTACAATAATTAATAATTTAAATAATTTTAAGTAATTTAAATTGAAAATTTAGAAAATTATTTAATTTTAATTAAAGAAAAAAATTTTCACTTTTCACAAAATTTGAAAAAATTTTAATTTTTTGAAACTAAAAAATGTTTTTTATAAATAATTTTGTGCAAATTAATTGTAATTAATTAATTGAAGAAAAATATTTTCACTTTTCACAAAATTTGAAATAATTTTAATTTCTTGAAACTTAAAAATGTTTTTTGTAAATAATTTCGTAAAAATTGTATTTTGATGTTTTTAATTTGATTTGAAAAAACTGTAGTTAAGAGAAAAAGTAAATTATAATTCGTTAAAATAAATTTCATAAACTTTATATAAATTAATTTTATAATACAATAAATTTGTACTTAATTTAAAAATTCCCCTTTTTTTAATCTTTTTATTATTTTTTTTTTTAAATTCCTTTCTTGAATAATAAAAATCCTCTTTTTCACCCAATATTTCATGAAAAAAATCACTGTGATCCTTGCGAATAGTTTATTTACAAATTGTGCTTTAACAATATGACAATATTACTAATAATTTGATATTTCGATAACAGCAACCAATGCGATACACTAGTACGTTTTAAGTCCTTTTTTCTTAACTATCTATACATATCTCTCAAACTTTTGGAAAAAAAATTTATTAGATTAGATTGAATGAATCAATGGTGAAACGTGCATCACAAGCATGACTATATCCTTTGATTGATAAAACCCTTTAACTTAAAATTCCATCATTTGTTTATTCCATAAACATGATAATTGTTGATAATTGTTATACATAGCTTATAGTTTCTAATAACTAAGAGAATTTGTTTTTGTTTTAATTTTTATAGAGCTCATCAGCTTATTAATTATTATATTATATCTAAATAAATGATTGATAAGCTCTATAATTTTTTTTAATATTATAGTAATTATATAATTGATGTTAAAAACTGTTTATTTTTAATGGGCAATTCTTTAAAAGACTCACGAGTATTATTCCTACAGAAAGTACAAAGAATTTTGTTACAAATACAAAAAAAAAAATATTTTATTTATATACAAAATATAATCTGTAGAAAACAAAAAAAATTTTTAATTATACAAAATATAATCGTAAGCGAAATACAAAATAGATTTTTACTTAAATACAAAATACAAGTATTTTTATAAATTGTGAATGTGAAACGTATTGGAGAAAATAGAATGAAAAAACAGAAAAGTAAAAACATTGTAAATAGCGTGCATTTAAAAATATATTAAAAATAAATTAGTCATTATAATCTATTTTTATTTTAAGAATCGTGAAAAAATAATTTATTAATGGAACTTGGGAAATCTTTATAATTACCATTTCCCGCAGTATTTCCAATTATAGTTAGTTAAAACTAAATCAACTTTCCAATAATTAAAACTGTCATTTGTCACAATTCTCATATATTTTGGTTTGTATTTTAAGATAACAATATTTGCTATAACGAAAATTTAACCACATTGAACGAAAACGATAATAAACGATAATTCGTTTTAAATGGAAATTATTTGCAAAATAGATATTTCGTTTAAATGGAGATTTCCTCTCTTTCTCACGACAATAGAAATTTATATTGGCAATAAGAATTCATTTGCAACTAATTTATTGCACTATTTAAAAATTTAATAATTTAATAATTTAATAATTAATAAATGTAATAAATTCGGTTTTAAATAAACTAAATATAATTAGGAAATAAATAATATAATTTCATTCATGTTTATTTTAATTTTACCTAGAATAGAATAGAAATTTGATTTATTTTTTTTTGACATTGAATTTACGGAAATGATTCACTGAGAGTTAATAAAGAAATGCCCATTTATTTGTAAATTAATGATGCGCACATTTTGCACTCTTAATCGTTATTATATTTTCGATGGAATTTGTTTATTATTTGCATTTATCGAATGCATGTGTATCCACTTTTAAAAAATGGTATAAAAAGCGCTTGTCTGTTGAAAATGTAAAAAAAAAATTTTTTGATGTTTATTTTGTTGTTATAATATTGAATATTATTTAATAATTAGTAATAGTAATTAACTAATTAATAGTAATATTAATATTATATTATTATTATTGTACAAGAGTCTCTATATAGTAATCTTCCTGAAATAGTTCACTAAAATGTATATCTAATTTTGAGTATAGTTTTGAAAAATAATTTAATCCTATTTAAAATAGTGTTTCATATAATATTATTGATATTTGAAAAATTGTAATTAAATTTTTTTTGAAATAGATTTTTTCTATAATTTGCTTTTGATTTGTTAATTTACAGGCTTCGTACGGTGGGTCCCATAAGTCCCGTTTCGGAAGAGGCACTCACGTCCGAAGACAGCCGACGATACAGTTCAACCAGTGCTTCAACCAGTTTGAATAATGTAAGACCCTCTCACCCCAAACCAACTAACCTACTTCTTCGGACTAAGGTACCCATCCCTCTGCATCACTTTTGCAGCTTCTCAAATTACCAACACGCTTCAATGACACTGCACAATAATAATACAACAACAACGAACTTTCGGCACTGAAGCACCAATAATCATCTTTGACTTGAAAAAACAATACAGTCAGAGACAACAGTCACTCATTCACTTTTAATTACTAATTTTACGAAATAATTAGCGCGAAACGCGATATTCTTTTTATTATTGTCAGACAAATTACATTTTTTTCTTTCAAATAACAAGTTCAATTTTTAAATAATTTTAGTTTAAAAATTTAGTTATTAAATAATTCATTATTATTATTTAGTATTTTCAAAAAATTTAACAAAAACTCTTGAAAACAATTTAATTACTTTAAAAAAATTCCATGAAATTCTTCACAAGAATTCAATTATTTTCAAAAAAATTCAATAATATTCTTCACAAGAATTTAATTATTTCGATAAATAATAAAATTCTTCGCAGGAAATTTCTCTAAAAAATTAAATTATTTTCATAAATAAAATTCTTTGTAGGAATGGAATTGTTTTCAATACAATTTTAATAAAACTTCTCGAAAGAATTCTATTATTTTCAAAAATTTTGATACAATTTTTTATAAAAGTACAATTACTTTCAATATAATTTTAACTAAATTCCTTGCAAAATTAAAAAAAATTTTTTAACAATTCAATTACATTCAAAGATTTTAATAAAATTCTTGACAAGAATTCAATTATTTTCAAAGATTTTAATAAAATTCCTGATAAGAATTCAATTATTTTCAAAGATTTTAATAAAATTCTTGACAAGAATTCAATTATTTTCAAAGTTTTTAATAAAATTCTTGATAAGAATTCAATTATTTTCAAAGATTATAATAAAATTCTTGACAAGAATTCAATTATTTTCAAAGTTTTTAATAAAATTCTTGATAAGAATTCAATTATTTTTAAAAATAAATAATTTGATCAAATTCTTCACAAGAATTCCATTATTTTTATAAATAATAAAATTCTTCACAGGAATTCAATTGTGTTCAACACAATTTTCATAAAATTCCTCCAAAAAAAATCAATTATTTTCATAAATAATATTCTTTGCAAGAATAAAATTGCCTTTAATACAATTTTAATAAAATTTCTCGAAAGATTTGAATTATTTTAAAAAATTTTATTACAATTCTTTATAAGAATTCAATTATAACTAAATTCCTCAAAAGAACTTTAATTTTAAAGTTAAATTATAAATAATAAAATTTTTTGAAGTAATTTAGTTACTTGTAAAAAAATTGATTTTCTTCCAAAGAGTTAAATAATTTTCAAAATTTTTTTCAAAATCATTTATGAGAATTCAATTATGTATTATCGATACATTTTGAATTATATTTTTCAAAAGATTTTAATTATTTTTAATAATTTCAATAAAAATTCTTCAAAATGAGTCACAAATTTTCAAAAAATTTAATAAAATTCTTACAAGATTTGATAAAATTCTTTGCAATAATTCAATAATTATTTTTAAAAATTAAAAAAAAATTTTTTCGCAGCAATTGAATTGCTTTTAAAATAATTTTAATGTAATTTCTCGCAAGAATTGAATTATTTGACAAAATTGTGATAAAATTTCTTAAATCATTCAATTATTTTTTTAAATAAAATTGAAAATTTTAATAAAATTGTTTATGAGAATTAATTTATTTTCGATTTCTCGAAGCAATTCAATTATGTTAAAAAGTTTTTATACCTTTTTGTATAAATTAAAAATTCAATTATTTTCAATAAAGTTTCAATTAAATAAAATTAATATTTTGAAAATGTTAATTAATGGAAATTTTTGATTGAATCTAAATGAAATTGAAAAGAATTTTTAATCTTAGGAATAATTTTAGTCAAAATTTGTAGAAAATAATTGAATTTTAAAAGAATTACAGTTGGTTTTTTCAAAAATAGTAAAATTTCAAAAAGTCTGAAATTGAATTTAAAAAATTTTTATTTTCTTTGGAAATACATTTATTATTATATTTAAATATTTATTTAATAAGATTATGGAAGTTTTCAATCATTGAATTCATTAATTCTGAAAAAATTTGTATATTAAAAAACTTTAATTAAAATTTCTTGACCATAATTAAATTCCCAAAGTAATTAATTGAAAAATTGTAAATTTTTTTCTTATCTTAATAAGTTTTATATTTTGGAAAATTTTCTATTACAATTTTTAAAAAAATAATCCTGTTTCTGGAAAGAAAATGTGAAAGAATTTGTAAATTAAATGTTTTGAAATAATTGTATTTTAGAAAAAACTTAGAAATGAAGTTATTATCAGAATAAGGTTATTATCGAAAAAATTTAAAACTTTACTCAAAATCAGGGAAAAGACAGGAAAATACATAATCAAATGTTTGTGTCAATCCGAAATAAAAGAATCGACTTTCTCCACATTTTTCATACTATAAATCGACTAAAACGACTTGTTTGGCGTCTTAAAGTCGATTCGTGGCCTGATATCATCAAAATTTAAACACATTTACTGACTTACAATTTGAAGAAGATTTTGAATTTAATATTTAGGGGTTTTCGTCTTCAAAAAAAATGTTTGTGAAATAAAACCTAAATTAAAATTCAAATCTTCATTATTCTCTAATTTTTTCTCTCTCTATTGAATTAAATTTGAATTCGTAATAAATTAATTATTTGAATTAAATTATATTAATTAAATTAAATTCGTAACAATTTAATTTCTTAATAAATTACAAATAAATTAATGCTGTTTCTAATTTTCCTGAAATAACTGAAAATAATTTTTTTAGAGTTTTTCACCGGCCAGTAGCAGTTGTTCAAATGCCTCGACACTGCGTTGTGGAAAAGATTCCAAGGAACGTCGAAATCGTGAGCGTCTTCTACAGGGTCCCGGTTCTGAATTTAGTCTTTCGAATCCAGAAGGTGATTTAGAAATGGATTATTATGACTATAATGTCGTAAATGCTGCGGCAGCTCCCGGTTCCTATCTTGGAATGGATCCAGCATTTTTAGTCTGGATTCCACCATTGGGCTCTGATGAGTCAGATATTTTGGACACTATTGATGAAAATAATCGTCCGGAGGAATGTGACGATTCTAAGGGACTTGACACGGAGGGAGCGTCTTTGACAGCCGATGAATATGAAAAAATTAAAACTGCCAATCAAGAATTAGAAGACGATACGGGAGACGAGATTCTTCCGAGGAGATTAGATCCTGGAGAGTCTCGACTTCATGATGAAATAATTACTGAATATAGAGCAAGACTGAGGGAAGGTATGCTTCCAATTCATAGGATTTTGGAGGAGTCGAGAGTTCGAGTTAGTGAAGAATCTCTCGCAAGGCAAGTTCCTGATGAATGTGGAGAAGTGTCGGCAGAGATTATTCCTAATAAATTTCATTCGGATCTTGATTCACGAGGGGATGTTTCTTCAACCAGATCGGTGGGTTTTTGTTTTGTTCTAAAATACTTTCTTTAGAAAACTTTTTTCTTCTTTTTTTTTTTGCTCTAAAAAAATTGAAAACATACACTGAAAAAAATGTATTTGATTCAAATAACCGATTAATTGATTATTATCAATTAAATATTTACTTGAATCAAATAATATTTATTAGAGTCAGTTAAATGGTATTTAAACCAATAATTTCAGTAGGATTTAAAACAAATGCCAATTAATTGATTAACATAAATATTATTTCATTCAAGTAAATATTTAATTGATAATAGTCAATTAATCGGTTATTTGAATCAAATAAATTTTTTTTTCAGTGTACCTATTTATGTTTTAAATTTTTACAGAAAAAAAAATAAACAAAAATTTTTTATAAATTTTTAAATAAAACAGAGTAGAATTTAAATATTATAATATTAAAATTTAAAACATATTTTTGCAGTATTGAACATTTATCATTATGAAAATTACAGAATTTCTAATTTTTAAATATCAACTTCAAAATTTTTAATAATTTCAGATTCAAAATTAAGAAAACTCACTTATTAACTAATTAATTATAATTTATTATTTATAAAAATTTGAATGAAATTCTTCTCGTAATTTCTATTATTTTCACAAATTTGAATAAAATTTTCCGAAAGAATTCAATAATTTTTAAACAATTAGATAAAATTCTTCAAAAAAATTCAATTTTAAAAATTTATAATATTTCTTGAAACAATTCAATTTATTTCATTAAATAATAAAATTCTCCACAGAATCTCAATTATTTTCACAAATCATAGTAAAATTTTTTTGAAAAATTCAATTTTAATTTAAAAAATTGTTATAAAATTTGTTGAAAGAATTTATTTATTTTTGTTAAATAATAAAATTTTTCTAAGAAATTCAATTATTTTCAAAAATATTCATAAAAATTTTGGAAACATTTCAATTATTTTCATAAATAAAATTCATTTCAGGAATTCAATTATTTTCATTAAAATTTAAATATAATAAATTAATTTTATTATTTACAAAAATAATTGAATTATTTCGTAGATTTTTATATTGAAAATAATAAAATTCTTCTCAGGAAATCAATTATTTTCAAAAATTTTATTAAAAATCTACGAAAAAATGCAATTATTTTCAAAATAAAAATCTACGAAATAATTCAATTATTTTTATAAACAATAAAATTCTGTGAAGGAATTTAATTATTTTTAATAAATAAAACTTAAATAAAGAAAGAATTCGATTATTTTAAAAAAATTTAATAAGAATCTACGAAATAATTCAATTCTTTTTGTAAATAATAAAATTCTGTGTAGGAATTCAATTATTTTCAATAAAACCTAAATAAAGAAAGAATTCTATTATTTTCAATATAAAAATCACGAAATATTCAATTATGTTTGTAAATAATAAAATTCTGTGAAGGAATTGAATTATTTTTTTAAAAAATTTAATAAAAATCTACGAAATAATTCATTTATTTTTATAAATAATAAAATTTTGTGCAGGAATTCAATTATTTTAAATAAAACTTAAATAAAGAAAGAATTCAATTATTTTAAAGGATTTTAATAAAATTGTTCGCAGAAATCCAAATAATTTAAACATTTGATATAAAATTTCTTGAAAGAATTGAATTTTTTTCATAAATAATAAAATTTCTTGAAAGAATTCAATTATTTTCAAAAAATTTAATAAAAATCTACGAAATAATTCAATTATTTTTACAAATAATAAAATTCTGTGAAGGAATTCAATAATTTTCAATAAAACGTAAATAAAGAAAGTAGTCCATTATTTTTAAGGATTTTAATGAAACTTTTAGCTGAAATCCAATTAATTTAAACAATTGATATAAAATTTCTTAAACGAATTCCATTTTTTTCATAAATAATAATATTTATCAAAAGAATTCAATTATTTTTAAAAACATTAATAAAATCTTTGAAATAGTTTAAATATTCTCAAAAATTTTGATAAAATTTTTTATATCAGCTTAATTATTGTCAAAATAAATTTAATTATTATAAATTCTTCAAAAGAAAAATTAAATTTGCTTTTAAATTTTAGAAAAATTCTTACAAACAATCAAATTAATTTAAAAACTTTTAATAAATTTCTATGGTGGAATATAATTATTTTATATTCAAAAAATTAAAAAAATTCCCTGAAAGGAAATTATTTATTGTCAAAAACTTTAATGGTATTATTCGAAAGAATTCAATTATTTCTAATATTTAAATAAAGTTTTCGAAGGAATTCAATTATTTCCAATATTTTAATAAAATTCTTGAAGGAATTCAATTATCTTAAAAAATTGTAATAAAATTCTGAAAAGAAATAAATTATTTCCTAAAAATTTTAATAAAATTCAATAATCAAATTTTTAATTACAAGTACATTAAAAATCACGATTATTTGGAAAACTTGAAAAAAATTCTTTAATTTCAATTATTTTGGAAATTTTTTAATTAAACTTATTTAAATATCTTCATTATTTTCAAAAAAAGTCAAAGAAATTGTTTAAAATGATTTAATTATTTTGTATAAATGATGAAATTCTTCTCAGGAATTCTATTATTTTTAATAAACTTTTAATAAAATTCGTTGAAAGAATTTGAGTATTTTTTTATATTTTAATAAAATTCTTCCAAAGATGTCAATATTTCAAATATTTTGATAAAATTCATTACAATTCAATTATTAACTTTATTAAAGTCTGTGGTTTTTCATTCTGTCCGTTCGCAGTATGAAGTTAGTTGTTAGTTATCATTTGCGAATTATTATCATGATTTTTTTGTTTGTTTATATTTTTCGTGATGTTTTGACATTTTCGATGTTATGTTATGCGGTAGTGCGGGTGTTTTTAAAAAACGTTAAATTGTGACAAGAATTATTGTGTTTGAAAAATCGTGGAAAAATATCTGGTATCAGGCGAGAGGTTACCGTTTTCAGTGGAAAAAAAACTGTAGATTGGTAAATTCTAATTATTAATTAAAATTTTCTTCTTAATTAAATCATTTATATTATTTCATTTTATTTTGTTAAATAAAAATCTCAAAATAACTTAAAAACAAATTTTATTCGTATATCTTATTATTATTATTATTTTTTTTTATTTATAATTATAATTGATAATATTTATTGTATTTTGATTTATTATTATTATTGAAAATTTTATGCATTTTTAAAATCTAAAAAAACTGAAATATCGAATTGTCAATAAAAGTTGTATTATTTTCAATTTTCAACGATTATTAATTTTAATTAAAAAATTCAATTTTCCTGAATCAATAAAAAATATCGTTCGAAATTTTATTACATTGGTCGTTTTCGTAAATTACTGTTCAATAATATTAATTATTCAAAATAATTAATTTTTTAATATTTAATTTTTCAAAAATTTAATTAATCTTCAATTATTAACTTATACAGTGCAGGATCTAGAGTCTAAATTTTTTGGGAAGAGCGATCCCTTTAGTGTGTGCTTTTTTTGATTGCTATTATGAGTGATAATAGCTCCTGGTTCTTTTATGTTTAAAAAATTGTTCGAAATAATTAATTTTTCAAAAATGAAAAAAAAAAATTCAATTGTTTCAAATTTTAATTAATTTTAAAAAAATGATTTTACACAAAAAATTTATTTATTTTTAAAAATAATTGCAATTCAAAATCTATTTGAATTTAGTATTTTAATAAATTACTTTTTTTATTATGTTAAAAATAAATTGTTTTTTTTAAATATTTTATTAATTTTTTACAATATTTGAATTTTAAATAATTCAAAAGTCAATTATTAATTATTCAAAAATAAATGAAACAATTTTAATTAATTCAAAAATAAATTATTCTGTTTTTAATAAAAATTTAATTATTTTGAAATCATTGAAAAATGTAATTGTTCAAAATAATAATTAATTATTCAAATATCAAAAATACAATTAATTCAAAATTAAATTATTTCATTTTAAATAAAAAATTGAAATTAATTTATTGGCACTTACGTAAAAAATAAACGTATTTCTGTGTGTGTTTGTGTGTAGAATTAACTTATAAGTGCTTTCTTTTGCAAGAATTAAACTTATCGTTATCTTCTGTTCAAATAAAATATAAAATGTTAACGTTTTTTTTAACACAATATTATAGAAAATAGATTTTCTAAAAAGAAAAAAAAATAATGAACTTAAAAAAAATACTTTAGGCACCGCCTTTCATTTCAACTATTTAAATACTATCAAGTCTTTTAAAGACTATATAAAGTCTTCAAATCATGAAAAATACATAATAAAAAATTGAATTATTCCGAAATAAAATTCAAAAATCAACAAAACAATCAATTTACAATTAGGGCCATTTGGGGTAATTGTAAACAAGGAATAAATGTAAACAATAGATGTTTCAACTAAATTTACAAATTTAAAAATTAGTTTTAAAAACTTGAAAAAAATTGTTCATAAATTTAAATTACTTTAAAAATATCCAATTAAAATTATTAAAGAAACACAATTATTAAACAAAAAATAAAAAATAATTCTTCAGAAAAATTTAATTAGGGTTTCCAAAATTGATTTAATGATTTTTAGCGAAAATTGAATTATTTTCATAAATAATGACATTTTTTGAAGAAATTCAATGATTCTCAAATTTTTTGCAAGAATTTAAATGAAATTCAATATATTAATTTTAATTAAAATTAAAAATATTGAAACATAAAATTATTAAAGAAGATAGGAAACAAAAAAGTAAATTACAACTAAATCAAAGAAGATAGAAGAAGAAGAAGATATTAATATAGAGAGAAGATATAAAGATAGAAGATGTTAATTGAATAATTTTATATTTCTAAAAAAAATGTATTTTTCATTCTTTCCAGCATTTCCATTTTTTAAATTTATTTAAAACATTATAACGTCATAATAATAATTAAAATACCCTTAAAAATAATAATAATCATTTTAAAGAATTGCTATTTTAATAGAAAAAATATATTTATATATATATTAAAACATAAAATTATTAAAATATTAAACAAAAAAAAAATATAAACTGCGAACAGATATTTTCAATTAATAAATAAAAATTTTAATTTATTTATATAAAAAAAGAAAATGCAAAAATATATTAATTAATAGAAGATGAAATAATTTCTTTAATGGCATTTGAACCATAATGACGTCACAATTTGTTCACAGCATTTGCTAAAAAATTGTGACATCATAATGGTTCAAATTCGCTGAAAAAATAAAGTTTTAATTATTTAAAATAAAACGTTGAAAAAAAAATGCACGCGCGCTCGCGCGCGTCAGTTTTTGCTAGTTATTTTTATATTTCAATTATTTCCCATATAGGATTAATTTTAAAATTCCAAACATTTAAAAAGAAAATTTCCCATATAACAATTAGGAAAAGAAAAAGCAAACAAGAACAATTAATTTCAAACTAACAGCAGAAATCCAGAATACAACGATTATTAATATAAATTGTTATTATTTTTCAGTTGGGAAGAGGACAGAAAAAAAATAATCTTGACACTCCAAAGGCACGGAGAGCAAAGGATAGAAAAAACGTCGATCTGGATCGAGATAAATGTGAGGAGAAGGATTATGAAAATGAAACATGTAAACCAAAGACTCTGAATATTTCGATGGATTATGTCGATATCGTGAAATTGAACGTTGTCAGTGAAAAGGACAAGGTGGCGGCATTGGGCGATATACCAATGACTGAATTTTCAAGAAATCGTCAGGATTCGCCAGTAAAAGTTCATCGAACAAAGGACAAAGGGGAATTCCCCAGTGAGAAAGAAATTCCAAGTCCTGATTATGGTGTTGAGACTGATGTAAAAAAAAATTCGCGAGACTCATTTTACGATCTCATCGGTGAAGGTGAGGATAGTATTAAATTTGCTGACGACGATGACGAATATCTCGATAACAAAGCGACAGTTTGAAAATATCAATTCCCCCCCCCCCGCAAAGAAAAAAATATTCGAACAAAAAATTGTACTACAAAAAATTATTCACAAAAATTCAAAAAATGATTTACAAAAAGTTAAAAAATGATACGCAAAAAGTCGAAAAATTAAACGTTAAAAATTAGATACAAAAAATGAAGATTAAATAATTTTCTTCAAAATTAGAATTTAGACACGATTAGAAATATAATTTCGAAAAGAAAAAATTCTCCAATCTCCGAAAGATTAAAACTATAAATGTGAAAAATGTATGGTGAACGAATAGCAATTTTTATTCTTTCAAAATTTATTTCGATTTGTTTAAAAATATCCCTTTCATTATTTTTAAAATGAATACGTATTTTAAAGACAAGGGAAAAGAAATGAAGACTTCACACCATACATTATAGATGTTGATTGTTTAGACAAATCTTAATATTTTTTTATTCACATTTAGAAGTAGATGGAACTGTTGATAATCAGTAATTGATAATTAAATATGGAACAGTAATTTATTCAGAAAAAAGAATAATGAATTCGGTGCAATGTAAAATTTTGTAAAATAATTAAATTCTGAAAATGTAATATTTAAACTAATCGTCTAGAATAATCTTCTAGTTAAAAAAGATGAAATCAAAGTTTATCGAAAGAAAAAGGGAAAAACGATAATTTATTAAACTTCGATTTTTTTCTAATATATATTGCAAATATGATTCAAGACTGCTTCGCTAATTTATGCGCTTGTTACAATTTTAAACGCGAACATTAAGTACAATTAAAAACGCCAATTTTTTATAATTATACAGTAACTTTATTTGTGCCAATTATTTTTTTTAGATTTTTATTTCTATTATCTATTTATGTTTATATTGTACAGAATATTTAATAATTTTCCTCAGGCATTAAATAGATACATATTTATTATTATTTAAATGTGATCCAAAAAATTATATTGTAAGATAGATTTTCAAATTTGTAGAAAATTTCCTATATTTATGTCAAATGGAAAATTGACTGATTCAGTCTGAGACAGGGTTTTTTTGTTGTTTTCAAATTTTAGGATGTTTTAGATTTTTATTTTACAATTTTAGGAAAATAATTTATTAGCTATTTCGCTAAAGAGCTGTAAAATAAAATTTTTTAGCCAAAACTTTATAATTTTAGCTAAATAGATAAATTATTTAATTATGTGTAATTGTGTAGGTACCAAAAAAAAGTGATGGTGTGTGTAAAATTTTTGTACAGTAATTTAAAGAGTAACTTAAAGGAAAACTGAAATTAGATAAAAGTAGAATATTTGATTTTGTAATGAAACGAATTTTTTACTCTTATACGATATATTTAAAAGTATAATTAAATTATTAATGTACCATTTGTGCTCCATTTAATTAGCTCAATACGATTAATTTAAAATGTTCTCCGAGAGAAATAATTATGTGAGTAGAGTAAATTAGAAATCTTTCCAAATTAAAATTGTGTTCAGGTTATTTGTAATTTAAAAGATGGTGAAGCTCAAAAATTAGGATTTTAGAGAGAAATGTTAATTATTAATTTTGGGACAAAAGAACAAAAATGTTTGATGTATGAAGGAAAATTGTAGATTATCATACGAGGAAAAATATTTATCACACGATCAATTGGTTTGATCAATTAAATTTTAGCCTGGAAAGAAAAAATAATTGTAAAGAATATTTAAATGTCAGGAGAGAGGGATATTTAAAGAATATTTGAATGTGGAATTTTTCTTTATTTAGATGTCACGAAAAAAAGTTTTTTAATGTCTTATTGTCATGCACGCGAGCACTAGATTGAAATTATATTGACTTGTAATCTACTGAACCGTTAAAAGAACAATTTTCTTGTGAATTATTCGACAATTTTAATTTAATATTTGTTTATTATTTATACTATAATTTTTCGATTCTATTAGCATTCGATTATTTTATTTCGTTTGTTATTTATTTATTTTGCTTCGACTGTCATTTATTTATTTATTTATCTACTATTTATTTTACTATTTATTTTGTTCGATTGCTATTTATTATATTATGTTTGTTAATTGTTTTAATATTTTCGTTGTTATGTACTTAATTTATTGTAAATATTCTTTATAAGTATGTTTTATTTTTTATTGTTGTAAGTTATGTTTTTTTTATTTAATCAATTTTTTTTCGCATTTGAACTGCCATAAATTTTATGTAATATTTTTTACAAAAATTAGAAAATATGAAGAAGCAATTTCCAATTCGTCGCGTATCAAATCAAATAGAGTAATATTAATGTTCACTTAAAAATTGCCTGTCACGTAATAATATTTAAAAACCACGTTGTACATAAAATTAGTAAATAAGATTCTTTTTATAATTTCTCCGTCGTATGTTAGAAAATATGATCTGCAAGTTTTGAACTTTCAAATGAAGGAAATATTTTTATCCAAAATATTTTCATAAATTAATGATTGTAATGGAAATTAAAAACTTAAATTATAAAGTTAATTGTAAATTCTGAATTTCTCTTAATCTAAATTCAGAAACTTTATATTAATTTTTTTTTGTAGTGACGCAAAATTATTATAACAAAAATTTGAATTTGAAGAAGAAATAAATAAATTTCGTTCATTTGAACGTTCAGAGCTTTAGGAGCATTTAAAAAATACGTTGCGCATATAAATAGCTATTAAATTAATTGTAAAAACGAATAGAACTACAATTAAGTTTAATTTTCTGTGAACGCCAACGTTTACAGTTTGTGATAACCAATTAGTATTTTCAATTTCTTTTTTTATTGCTTAGTATTTATATTAATCAGCGAAAAAATTGAAATTAAATTTTAAATCGTTTGAGGCCTCGATAAAAAAAGGAAGTAAATTAAATTTTGACGAACAATCGAATATTTGATATGTGGAAATTTCGATTTGAGAATATCTAGAATAATTCTAGAATAATTCTAGAATAATTCCAGAACAATTCTAGAATAATTCCAGAACAATTGCAAAATATTTCTAGAAAAATTCTAGAACAATTCTAGAATAATTCTGAAACAATTCTAGAATCAGAGATAGAAAAACTATTTGTAAAACACACTATATAGAAAAAAAACAGGGACCTATTTATTGTTCATCGTCTATATCTATAAAAATCTATTAAAATCTATATATATATTTTTAAAAAACGATAGTTACAAAACCTCTTGTACTGTTTCCTCGAAAAAAAAAATGTTTTCGACCTATCAATATATCGAACTTGAATAATGATTCAAAGAAGAAGAAAAAATATCAAAAAAAAAGAAATATGTAATTATAAAAAAAAACAGAAAGAATAGAAACAACTTTTTTTTTGTTCACATTGTCGAATTTATTTCTCAGATGAAAGTAACAACTCAATTTGTTTTAGAAAATAAATTCATTGTAATAAGTGCGCAATAATTTCGTAATCACAAACCACTTTGAGCTAAATGAGTGAACACTCTTTCTCTCTTTTTGTCTCTCATTCGCACACATTCGTTTTTTTTTCTTCGAAAAATGTAAATTAATTTAAAAATCATCGAGTAAAAATTAGTTATACTAAAATTATTTTGAAAGACAATAGGTATTCTCTTTTTTTCCTTTAGAAACCGTACATTTTTTTTTTTTTGCTTTCTTAGATTCTATACAATTTAATTTGTACAATTCAACTATATTATGTCTGTAATAATTTAATTGATAATTTAATATACTATTTGTAATAATTCAATACAATTTCACTAGAATTCAGTGCAATTTAATTAATAATTTAATACAATTTGTAATAACTCAATACAGTTTCAGTAGAATTCAGTACAACTTAATTGTTTTTAATAATTTATATAATTAATATACTTAAAAGTAATAATTTGATACAATTTCACTAGAATTCATTGAAATTTAAACGTTATTTCTGTTTGAATACAATTAGATTAATAATACAAAAGTAGTGACGAAAATTTGTGATTTACATTCAAATCAGTTTTTTTTTTCTTATAATTAATTAAATTTTGTGTTAAAGGAAAAATATTCGAATTGTATTTAAATACATAAATTCATTAAATTTACTAAATTCAGTGTAAATAACATTAAAAAATATACAATTTATCTCAACATTCGAAAATTAAGTTTCGTATGTAATAAAATATAAATTCCTTTGGTCAGGATTTTATTCCTATATAGTTAAATTTGAAAATTATCTATATTTTTTGAAAATATTCAGCGGAGGGAATAATTCATTAAAATTATTAAATACTAAAATTATTCTTCTCTAAATGCTAATGAAAATTTACTTTCCTTAGAATCCAGGTACTTGCAAGCAATTTACGAAAGTAATTCTAAATGCTTTTTTTATAAGCTAACTATAGGCTAAATTTTTTTCATTTTTGAATTTTCTTTTACTAAAAAATAGAAATTATCGTTTTTTGCAAGCAATAATTATAATTAATTTTTTTTATAAAAAATAAATAAATTTTTTACAAGTAAAAAAAAAAAGTTGAAAAATGTAATTTTCAATTTTTTTCTTGTATTTCTTTTTACTCTGAATTTAAAATCTTGTTTTGTAAAAGTTTAACAAATTGAAATATAATAATTTTTAATAATAAAATTTGAATTTAAATAATTTAATTAAAATTCAGACAAATTTTTTTTTTGTAAATTTAACAAATTAAAATATAAATAGTGTAAAATTCTAACGAAAATGGAAATAAAATTCAGAGTTTAAATAAATAAATAAACATAAGAAAGAAGAGAAAGAAAAAGAAGTTTTTTAGAAAAGATTTTAATTTAAATAATTTAATTTAATTAAATTTGAACAGTTTTTGTTTGAAAAATTAAAATTAAAATACGAATAGTATTAAAAATTGAAAAATTAAAATACGAATAGTATTAAAAATTAAAAAATTAAAATATAAATAGTATAAAATTCTAACGAAAATAAAACTTAAATTCATAGTTTAAATAAAAAATAAAAAAATACAGAATTCCTCAAAGTGGCTTTTTTGTTCTATAGAATTGAATTTCTATTTTTTTTCCTTAATAAGAGGCTTTAGAAGCATTACGTTCATGGAGATATTAAAATTTGGCACAATCCAGCCGTAATTATTAATATTTGTAGAAACGATACTTTTTTTTGGCCAATCTAGCTAAAAATGTCTTATTAAATAAAGGACAATTTGTTGATTGTCCATATTTTCTGTTTACTTATTTGCTATTTATTATAATGTAAATGGATTTCTATTTTCTACGAATGGATATTTTTGTCGATTTTACTAGGACGACTATTTTTTTTATTTAAATCAGAGTATAGATGAAGATATCTACAAATGGAAGTTTTTATATGGAAGTATTTGAAAAATTTGTTTCTTAAATGCTCATTATGAATTATTATTAATTTTTTTTTTTTTTGATGATTGAAGTATATATATTCTAATATATATTTATTTATATTATTCATCTATAAGCTCTGCTTAATCTTATATATTTTTTTTGTTAATACATTTAATTTCATCTTTTTTTTCTTGGTGTATTTGAGTAGGAATCATTTCCTTTATTATTAAATATTAACATAAACATCAAGACATATACAATAATTTTGATTATTTTTTCCCTCTTTGTTTACGATTGTTTTACAATCATTTCTCGAGAGTTTCTTTTTTTTATCTACACTGGTCTAAATAATCGATATTCTTCTCCTCAAATAATTAATAATTTTCTAATTTTAACTATTTTCTATACATAGAAAATAGTTTTTTGAAGAAAAGAATAATTTTACATTATAATATTCGTGTTTTCATGATTTGTTTACCTATTGGAGATTTTTTTTCTTATTTTTATATATACTTTAAAATCCCATCAATACAGAGAAAATAAATTTAATTTTTAAAAATAATTTTAAAAAAATATAATGACGGATATATCTCAGAAATATTGAAAAAAAATTTATGATAAAAGCTAATAAATGGATTTTAAATCCATAAAAATGTTTGGTAAAATAAATTTTGACGTAACAATTTTTTTTATAAAATTATAAATAAATAAATTTTAATTTAATAAATTTTTTAATAAATAATTGTTTTCTCATGGAGGTAGCATTTTTAACTTATTAAATTTTTCAACAAATAATTTTTAAGTTAATAATTTTTTAACTAAATAAATTTCAAAATAATATATTTTGAAAAAAGTTAATTTTAAGTTAGTAATTTTTTAAATAAATAAATATTTAAAATAAAATTATGGAATTAATTCAACAGTTTTAAACTATTTTGAGTGGAAGATACATTATTTTTGTACGTTTCATGTTATTTATTTAATTATTTTATTTTATTTATTGTCGAGAGTGAAAGTATGTTTGAATATTCAATTACTTTGCATTTCTGCAATAATTGTTTAATAATTTTATTGCAATCACAGTGAAAAATATTCTACATATTTAATTCATAGTCATTCATTAGTAAATAACTAATTAATGACTAATTAATAACTAATTGACAAATAATTAATAAATTTTTAATTAACGACAAAGATAAAGATTTTTACTAAAAAAAACCACAGTGAAAATATTTCTTATATTTAATTTATAAATAAGAAATAAATAAATACTTAAAAAAGTAATAAATAATTACTATATTTATTTATTTATTTAAGAAATAAAATAATATATTCAAATATGAATAAATAACTATTAACTAATAATAACTAATAAATTAAGAAATAATTAATAATTAATTAACAAATTATTAAAAAAAAATTTAATTAACGACAAGAATGATGTTTTAACAAAAAAAATCGTTTGGAAAAAATCCAGTAAAATTTTTAAGTGATTTTTGTTTTAAATTTCGTAAATAAATATTTCTGAGATATATCGAAATGAAAAATTGAAAATGTGTCTCTGTTTTCTTAATGTGAGTGAAATTGTTATAATATGAAGTTCAGTCTTCCAAGGTGTGCGAATAGGCCTAAAATTATTATAGTTCAACCTGTTTTTTTCAAATACAAGTCTGAAAAAAATTAATTTGAAGATATCGATGAAATAAGCTTAGCTTATCGATTACTTCATGAATGGATCATTTTTTCTTCACTGGTAAATTGTAAATTGTTATTTACAATTAAAAAATACTCGATTTTTAACTAAACTCAAAGAGTAGTTTATTTGTTGAAAATTACTTTATTTATTTAATTATAAATAATGTAATAATAAATAAAATAAAAAATAAAAAGTAGAATAAAATTTAATAAAATAAAATCAACAAATTTTAAAAATAGTAAATAAACATATGAATATTGAAGTAAATAAACAATAAATAAACAACAAATATACAAATTTTTTTCTATTTTCATATTGTGGAAATTAGAAAAAAATTTTATAAACAATAAAATTAGTAAGTGAATAGAAATAATATTTTATAAATTAGTAAATAAACATTGAAAGGAAGTAAATTAAAAATAAAATAAATATTATATAATATATAAATTATTAAATGAAATAAAAAATGTAAATTCAAGTGAAATCTTGGAAAACATTTTCGAATTGTACTGTAATTAAATATTTTCTAAAAAATAGAGGTAAAAATATTTCGAAATATTTAATTTAATTATTAAATTAATTAAATATTTCGAAATATTTAATTTAACTATTAAATTAATAAAATATTTAATTCCTATTAAATTTAATAATATTTTTTCATGTTCAATAATAAAAATAATTGATTAATAATAATATTCACAGTTAACATATTTTATCTTCTTTTACATTTTACCAGTGAAAAGAAAATATTTCGTTTATACTAAAACGTATTTTTTTATATAATATTTATAAGTATATAATTAGATTATTGACATATTACGTCTTGTGCATTATCATCAAGATGCACTGATAATGGCGTTCTCATGATTAACATTTGAATTTGATGGGGTCCTTCCGGTTCGCGATGGTACTTTTAAATTAGCCTGACTACCATAGAATGATGTGAATGCAGTGTCAGAACTTACGCTTAGTGGTAAACTAGTGGCATCCATTATTTCACCTTCACTTCCAATAGTTGATGTTCGCACATCGAAAGCTCCGCTCATTACTGACATTCCTGAACTGGTTGCCATTTCCAAATCATGGGACATGTGTCTTAAAATAAAATCACTTTAATTCATTGTTAATTAATTCGTCCTTTTTTTTTGTCTTTTCAAGTAAAAAAAAAAAAATTATTTTTCATACTTCAAGTTTTCTACGCATCAATTTCAAAATTAAAAATAATTTCAAAAATTTATTCTCTGAATTTAGTAAAAATAAAAATAAATATTAATTTGAATTAGTGACTGTGTTCTTGCTTTTGAATTAGTAAATTTTACTAATAAATAGTAACTGTTATTAATTTATTAGTAAAATTTACTAATTCAGAAGAAATTTTTTTTTTAATTAGTAAATTTTACTAATAAATAGTAATTTCTATTAATTTATTAGTAAAATTTACTAAAATTACTAGAAATTAGTAAAAATTACTATTTATTAGTAAAATTAACTATTAGTCACTTTTATTATTTATAGTCAATTTTAAGATAATAAATTAATATAAATTACTACCTATTTATTAGTAAAATTTACTAATTAAAAAAAAAAAATTTCCTTCTGAATTAGTAAATTTTACTAATAAATAGGTAGTAATTTATATTCATTTATTATAGTAAAATTGACTATAAATAATAAAAGTGACTAATAGTTCATTTTACTAATAAATAGTAATTTTTACTAATTTCTTAGTAAAGTTGACTAATTCAAACGCAAAAAGTCAGTCGATGTTTCAAATTAGAAAATTTTAGTTTTTACTAATTCAAATTCAGGGAAGAAAACATATAAAGAAATAAATGCTAAATATAAATTACTATATAGTTATATTTATATTATATAAATTAACACTTATTATTAAAATCAATAATAATAATAATAATAATAATAATAATAATAATAATAATAATAATAATAATAATATTTAAAAAAATAATAACTATAATAATAAAATACCAAAAAATACTTTTTTTAAACACTCCGTTTGTATTGGAATATAATTTTAGAAATATATTTTTTTTTTGTAGGTAAATTAAATATAAAATAATATAAATAATATGCCCGTTTATATTGAATAAATAAATACAAAAAAAAATAAATTTTTAATAGAATTAAAAACAAATGGAACTAAATAATTATAAATAATAAACGTACCTATAATCTGGAGCAGGTGGCGGTTCTGGACGTTGCCTCTGTGAACTTGTAGACATTGGAGTTCGTTTTATTGCATAAATATAGACGCCCATCATGGTAAGCATGTAAGACAGGAAGTAAAGTGTGTGGAACTGGAAAAAAATTATTTTTCAAGTAAAGGAAAATTTTTTTCCAAGAGGAAATATGTTATTTCATGTATTTTTTTCAAAAAACAGTAGAAAAATTTATTTACAGTCAGGCAAAGTAGTTTAAATTGTCTGCATTTAATTTTCAGTAGTAAAATAATCTTTTAGTCAGACAATAATAAACAACAAATATTAATAAATAATAAAATATGAATTATATAAAAAATAATAAAATATTGTAGGTCAATAGAGTAAAAGCACCTTTAGTCGCAGTCATAATAAGAGTAAACTCAAAGAAATCAGTAGTAAAATATGGTTATAGTCAGACAATGTCGACTAAATTTAGTAAATTAGTAGTAAATGAAATTTTTAGTATAAAATTAGTTTCTTTTGAATTTACTATTTATTGGTAGTGAAATTAAGTAAATCAGTAGTCAACTAAGTTTATAGTGAGACAGAGAAGTTTAATCTGTCAGGAAGTTACTCTTAGTAGTAAAATACTCTTTTAGTCAGTATTTTAGTATTTTTTAGGCTCTTTTAGTCATTTTCAGTAGTAAAAGACCCTTTTAGTCTGACATTTTAAATAATTTAGAAATTTTATGTTTAAATAACTTTCATTTTATTTTCAGTTAGTAAAAGTTTCTTAATTTCAGACAAAAGAGTAAATAATATGAGAAATCAGTAGTAAAACAAGTTTATAGTCAGGCGAAACAGTTGTAATTGTTTTTCTTTTAATTTTCAGTAGTAAAACAAGCTTTTTGTCAGCCAAAATAGTAAAATGAAGTAAATCAGTAGTAAAATAAGTTTATAGTCAGACAAAGGCGTTTAAATTTATTTAATTGTTGGTAAAAGAAAGTTTTAGTATAAAATTAGTTTTTTGCTTGATTTTAATACCTAACAGTTGTAAAATGAAGTAAATAAGTAGTCAAGTAAATTTTTAGCCAGACAAATAATGTTTAACTGTCAGGATGTTAATCTCAGTAGTAAAGTACTATTTTAGTCAGGAAAAATATTCTTATTTTTAGTAGTAAAAGACTTTCTTACTCAGACAATTTAGATTATTTAAAAATTAAATTAATTTTTAAAATTACTCTAATTACTCTTATTTTATTTCCAGTAGTAAAAGTTTCTTAAAGTCAGACAAAAGAGTAGAAAAAAATATGAAATCAGTAGTTAAACAAGTTTATAGTCAGACGAAACAGTTGAAATTGTATTTTTAAAATTTTCAGTAGTAAAAAAGGCATTTAGTCAGCCAAAATTGTAAAATAAAGTAAATCAGTAGTAATACAAGTTTATGGTCAGACGAAACGGTTTTAATTGTTTCTTTTTAACTTTCAGTGGTAAAAAAGGCCTTTAATCAGCCTGAATAGTGAAATTATGAGTTTTTTAGTAGTAAAATAAGTTTATAGTCAGACGAAATAGTTTTAATTGACATTGTACTACTTTCAGTAGTATAAATTCATTTAGTCAGACAAAATAGTTGGAAAATTGATTAAATCAGTAGTAAAATATGTTTATAGTCAGACAAAATAAATAACTTAATATTTCATTTTCAGATTGTAAAATTTACTCTTACTCGAACACACAATTTAAAATTGTTTTTTTACTTATCAGTAGTAAAGGAACATTTTAGTCAGACACTTTTTTTTTTTAAATTTACCAAATAAGTATAAACAATGGTTATAGTCACACTAAATTTAATAAAATTTAATAAAAAAAAAATAAAAAAAATAAAAAAAAATAAAATAAATTTAATAAAATTTATTAAAACAGTAGTAAAAGTACCTTTTTGTCAGACATGGTTTACATTTACTTTACGTTACTTTCAGTATTCAGTAGTCATTCAGTAGTAAAGAAAATATATTATAGTCAAACATAATAGTTTTAATTGTCATAATTTTCATTCTCAGTAGTAAAAATGCCTTTTTGGTCAGGCAAAATAATATCTATTTCTATAAATAAGAATAAGAATATTTTTTCCTCAATCCATGAGTATTATTATTTGCTTCAATAATAACAAAAATAAATTATAAAAAATTAAATAAAGAAATTAATTTAATAATAAATAAATAGAAAGAAAATATTTCAAACAATATATTTAGAAAGAAAAAAAAAATTACTTGCTTATAAAAATAAAAGAAATTGTTAAATAGAAAAATTTGAATGAAGAAGTAATTACTTTATAACGATGAATGAGTATGCCGAATAGAACGTTAAAGAAGTCAGCCGTTAATAGTGACAGTTGCAAGGCCGTTGCTCCAGATTCGTATAGAATAACTGGAATGAGAGAATAGAAAACAAATTGTGTGATGGAATAAACAACCAAATATATCACTGTCAATATATCATCCCAGCGAAATGTTTCGAGTTGTAGTCGCTCCAGAACTCCACTGCAAAAATTTTTCAAATATCATTAATTTCATTCACTGTCAGAGGAAAAAAAAGCAAAAAAAAAGAGAACTTCTAACAATTACTACAGTTTTTAATTTGTTTTTAAAAAGTTATTGAAATTACGTACTACTATTAATAAGGCAGGAAATAAATTTTTTTTGATTAAACTTACACTTGAGTACAACTGAGAATTGTGCCAAAAAATCCAATCATTCCCAGGTACTCGATGATATCGACAGTTTTGACAGCTAATTCTTGCAAAACCGTAATAACGGAAAATAATACGGCACCCCCGAGGCATAGCATATCGCCAACTAATTGATTTTTTCCTAAAACGAGAAAAAAAAATTTTTAATCACCAATAATTAAAAACAGAAATGCCAGTTGTTAGAGATTTAATAAAATATAGAGAAAATTTAAGAAAACTTCTGAAATTTATGCGTTTTTTGAAAAACTTTATTTAAACTTTATTTGAAATTAATTTTTTTTAAATTGTTAATAATAAATAAAAAAAAATAAACAAATAAATAAAAATAAATATAAATAAATAAATATAAAGAAATAAAATTTTTAAAAATGAAATTGATTGATAATTCAAAATTTTGAATTTTCCATGGAAATTACTCTAATTAATAGGGGAAATTATTAAATTAATTAATCTATTATTAATAACCTGTTGACGCAGGATCTTTCTCCTCGTCAATTCCAGCCCAGACTAAACATCCAACGCCCATTAGGCAAATTGAAACACCTACTATATGGACCATTCGGTATCTCACGCCGAGTACCAGACACGAAAGTGCCAATGCCACTGGAATCGCCACACAGTCCAGCAACTAGAGGAGAAAACAATTAAAAAAATTTTTTTAATTAAGTAAATCAGTAGTGAAATAAGTATATAGTCAGACGAAATATATTTAATTGCTATTGTAGTAATTTCAGTAGTATAAATTCATTTAGTCAGACAAAATATTAGAAAACTTTATTAAATCAGTAGTACAATAAGTTTATAGTCAGACAAAACAAATAAATTATTACTAGCAATAATTAAAACTTTTTACTAACTTTTTTTTAAAATAAAATTAGCAATTTTAAAAATAATAGAATTTAGAAATTTGTTAATTAAAATTTTTGTTGAAAACAATAAAAAAAATTAAATTTTGAAGAAATTACAAATAATTGCAGAAATTCAATTATTTTCCAAAAAAAAAAAATTCTTCTCATATAAAATTCAACTATGTTCAAAATTTAAAAAAAATTCTCGTAAAAATCCCAATTATCTGCATAAATAACAAAATTCTTCTCCAAAGTTCAATTATTTTCATAAATGTCAAAAAAATTCTTGTCCTAATTTCAATTATTTTCAAAAATAAAAATGCATTTTTCTAATTTCAATGATTTTCAATATATCTACTATTTTAATAAAATTTCCCAAAAAGAATTCAATTATTTGAAAAATTTTTTAATAAAATTTTATGCAAACATTTAATTATTTTCATAAATAATAAAAATTTCACAGGAATTCAATTATTTTCATAAATAATAAAATTTTTTTTAAGAAATTCAATTATTATTTTCATAAAAAATAATTTAAAATTCTAGAAAATAATAATTGAATTAAAATGATGGAAATATTCATTGTTTATAATAATAAATACTTTTATGAGTTGTTTAATTTAAAAAAAGATTTGAATTTGAAATTTTTGAATTTCTTCATTCCTGTGAAAAATCATGTTCCAAAAATAAGATTGAAAATAGGAATTGTGCAAATATTTATTCTTCTTTTTCTAAAACAAAATAATAATTTTGTTAAAAAAATTGTGATTCTGAAAGAAAAATAATGGAAAATAAATAAATTTTCTATTTCTTAATCACAGTTATTTAACAATTCTCTAATTTTGTTTAGAGGTAAAGAACAAAAATCTGCATAATTTCAATTTGATAAAACATAATATTTAACAGAATTTTAGTCTTTTAATGAAAAGAAGTGAAAAAAATTTTGATGATTTCTATTTCTCATTACAGTTTTGAATTAATTGAATTAATTATAAAATAAAAATAATTATAACATAATAAAATAATATACAATCTATCTAAAGATAACAAAAAACAAAAGTATAAACAAAAGACAACTTCAGAGTGTGAGGGACAGGAAAAGTGAATGAATGAAAAAACATTCACATTATTGTAATAGTTAATAGTTAATTAATTAATTTCATTTTCAGTATCGAAAAACTAACTTTTACTCAAATGAAACAGTAAAAATTGTCTTTTTTACTTTTCAGTAGTAAAAGAAAATTTTAGTCAGGCAAAATAATGTTAAAACTTAGTAAATTGGTAGAAAACATTTTTTCATGAACTGACTTTGTCTTTAACTGTCATTAATTAATTTTAAGTAGTAGAAGATCCTTTTAGTCAGACAAAATAGTAGTAATATTAAGTAAATTGTACAGTAGTAGAAGTAATAACAATATTTAGTAAATTAGTAGTAGTTTTTTTTAATTCTGTCCTAGTAACAACAGAATTGAGTAAATTAGTAGTAGTAGTAGTAGTTTTAATTTTTAGTCATACAAAACAATTTTAATTTTCATAATTTTATTCTCAGTGGTAAAAAGGTTTTTTTTGGGCTGGCAAATTAATAGCTATCAAATGTTTTTATAAATCTTAGGATTTATTAAGTATTCTTATTATAGAAATATTTTTCCTCAAACTATGAGTACATATTATTATTTGTTTTAATATTTAAAAAAAATTGATTTATTTTAATTTCAGTAGTAAAATATTCTTGCAGTCAGACAAGATAATAATAATATTATTTAAATTAGTAGTAGTAAAAATTAATTAATTAATTAATAAATTAGTAATTTTATGCAGTCAGTAATGTTTAAACATTCAGTAATATAAAAGTCTTTTAGTCAGACAGAATAACAGTAAGTTAAGTGAATCAGTAGAAAACAATGGTTATAGTCAGACAAGACAGTTTGAATTTTTATTATTTTAATTATAGTAGTAAAAGGACAAGAATGAAAATTTAGTTTTAAGTAAATCAGTAGTAAAATGAGTTTATAGTCAGACGAAGTTTTGTTAACTTAAAAAAATAAAAAAGTTTTATTGGTTGGAAAAAGTAGGGTCAGGGTACAGTTTATCTAAAATGTATTTTCAAATACTTTTTTTTCTAATAAAGGTTAATTTCTAAAACCTTTTTTTCTAATGAAGGTGCTTTTCTAATTTAAGTAATTTCTTTTCAAGTTTTTTTTTAAATTATTTCTTTTCATAATAAATGTAATTTTCAAATTTGTTTTTCTATAACAATATTCAAGTTTTGCAATGACCATCAATTAGGTATATGATTAAAAAATAAAATTTATGAAAAAATCTTTTAAAAAAAGTACTTGAGATTTCGTTAAAAAAATTGTGAAAGAGAAAATAGAAATTATGCAAATTTGTTAACAAAATTTTTCAATAATTTTTATTTCCTAATCTTAATTTTTTAACAATTTTCTAACTTTTATCAAACTTATAGAATTTCACAAATTTCAGAAAAATAAATATTAGAAATCATAACTTTTTAGAAAAACTTTGTTAAGAAATCAAAATTTTTTAGAAAAAATTTTTTTAGAATACAGATTACATTAGTAATTGTTTTTTTTTCGTCAAAAAGGATTAAAAAATATTTTTTAGAAAAAGTAACCAAAGTAGAAATAAAATGTAGTTAATAAGTAGTAAAAGACACTTTAGTCAGACAAAATAATAATACAATTAAGAACTTCAGTAGTAAAATAAACTTACAGTCAAAGAAAAAAGGGAAATTGTTGTCTGATTTTCATACAAAATAAGAGTCAAATAGCTGAATCAGTATAAAAAGTAAAATACATACGAAGTAGTAAAAGACTCTTTTAGTCAGACAGGGCAGTAGAATTATAATTAAATTTTCAGTAGTAAAGTAACCTTTTAGTCAGACAAGATAGTAGTAATATTAAGAAATTTAGTAGCAAAGCGCTATTATAGTCACAGGAAACTTATTTTCAGTAGTAAAGTAACATTTTAGTCAGACATCATAGTACTAATATTAAGTAATTCAGTAGTAAAGTAACCTTTCAGTCAGTCAAGATAGTACTAATATTAAGTAATTCAGTAGTAAAGCGCTATAATAGTCACAGGAAACTTTTCAAACTTTAAGTAGTATAAAAGCCTTTTAGTCAGACAAAATAGGAATAAAATTATTTTTTGATTATTTTTCTAATTTTTTTTTTATTTTTTGTATTTAATTTTTTTTTTACCTGTATACTAGCCAAACTAGTGAAACGATGCGAGGACGTAATCAGTGTGTTGGCCTCAACGTCTATTAGTGCCAAAAGCAAGTAACGCCAACCCCTTGCTCTTAATACGGAAATTAATCCATGCCCTGCACCCCTACACGATAGCCATGTGGTGTATACGAGACACATCATTACATAATGCGGTACATTTTGTGCTGAAAAACCAAAATTAACATATTACTTGCTAGAGAATAAAAAAAGGACTTTTTAATTTTATTTACTATGTTTTAAAGTGACGATTTTAATTCCTAGAGTGAAAAAAGTCGACTTTACACTTTACAGCTGTTTACGAAATTAATTTTACTCCATAGAGTCAAAAAAGGCAATTTTAATCCCTAGGGTTGTATTTGGAGTACTTTTCCCTCTAGGATAAAAAAATTAAAACTTTTTTTTCTTGGTAAAGTTTACAAAATTGAAAAATTGTATCAAAATTTAGGATGGAAACAATGTACCTACATAATAATATTGCAGAGATTTAAAATTTTTAATAAATTCTATTGTTTACCTGTTGGAAGCGAAACGTGCTCCGATGTGTTCATTTGATGATTAAAGAGCGTCATGAAACAAAGCACCACCGAAAGAAATTGGCCCATTATTATCGCCTTCCATACTGCCCTGAAATTCAATATTTTCCAATTTAATAACTGTCCTGGTCTAATTTCTATTAAATTATTTTACAAACATTATTTTACAGATATTAATTTAAAAATATTTTGCAAATATAATTTATAAATTTTTATTATTTAGTTTAAAATATAAAAATATTATTTTATTAATATACTGTATAAATATATTTTTCATGAAAATTAATTTTAAAAACTTTGTTCCTTTTACCTGATATTCTTCTGTAAAAATGATAAATATTAAATTTACATTGTGTCTGACCATACGGGAATTTTTCCACTGACTATAAAATGTAACAAAATTACAAGGTTCTTAATTTAATAGTTAAAAAGGATTATTTAATGAAATTTAATTAAAATATTATAATATAGTAAAATATGCAAATAAATTAAGTTTTAAAAAGTGTCTGACTGTACAGGAATTTTTCCACTGAATTCAAAATAGTAAATACTTAAAATAAAAATAATAAAAATAGTAAAAATAAGAACAATAAAAATAGTAAAAAATAGTAAATTAAAAAAATATGATACTCCAAAATAATAGAACAAACAAAAAAATAATAAAAATTTAATTATATAAATAAAACTAATTGTTCAAGATGTAATTTTTCTCGGTCTGACCATAGTCGGCTTTCTCCACTGACTGAGAATTTCTAAACTAAAAATTAGAAAATTCTAGATTTTCCCTTTTTTAAAAGAATAAAATATTCAATGTTTTTTTCAGAAAATCATAAAAGAAAACCCTAAAGTGCTCGATGTAATACTCCAAGAAACAAAAAAACAAAACTTTTTTCTATTAAAAATGTATCGTTGAATTTGCGAGAACAAACTTGTGATATTCAAAGGATCTACCTTGTAGACACCTCTTGAATAAATAAACACTCTAAGAATTCCAGTCCTAACGCATATAATATATTCATTGAAGCATAAATCCGTTATAAATTTGAAAAACTTTTTTCCTAATTGGATTTACTTTTTGTCTGAAAGCAAAATTTTCTCGAGAGAGTTTCCTTAAAAAAATCACAACTATTATATCACTTAATACATTATTAAAATACGAATTTTATTAATTCATATTTTTACCATATTAGTTATGAATTAATATGAAAAAAAAAATTTCTACTTTTATAAAAATATTCTTCTTTACTTAGAGAAAACTGTGAAATTAACTTTATTTTATATTTCAGTAGTAAACAAATATTTTAGTCAGACAAAAATAGTAGTAAAGTTTATTAAAATCAGTAATAAAATCAGTTTATAGTCAGACAAATGTTTTCAGTAATAAGAGTTCCTTTTAGTCTCAAAAAATAAGAGTAAAATGACGGATTGTCATTAATTTACTTCTAACAGTATAATAACGAGAGTAAAATTTATAAAAATCAGTAGTAAAATTGGTTTAATTGACATTAAATTACTTTTAGTAGTAAGAGACCCTTTTGGTCAGACAAAACATTAGTGAAATCTATTAAATTATTATCATACAAATTACAACATTTTTTATTTTCAAATGTGAATTTTCGTATAAATTTCAGATTCAAACTTCAAAAAAATTCAATTATTTTTATAAATTTAGTAATTTTTTTTTGCAAAGATTCAATTATTTTCTAAAATTATAATAAATTCTTCAAAGCAATTCAATTTTATTAATAAATAGTAAAATTCTTTGCAAAAAATAAAAATTATATATTCAAAACAGTTTTACGAAAGAATTCAATTGTTTTCGTAATTTATTACAAAAAATTTCAATAGAACTAAATTATTTTCTAAGACTTTAATAAATTCTTCAAAAGAATTCAATTATATTTATAAGTAGTAAAATTCATTTGCAAAAATTCAATTGTTTTCAAAAAAATTCCACGAAAGAATTCAATATTTTTCTTAATTAGGTAAAAAATTTTTCAAAAAATTTTTATTTTTTTTCTAAAATTTTTAATAAAATTTAATAATTAAATGTTCAATTTCAATTATTAACAAACACGATTATTTTAAAAGCTTGAAAAAAATTGTTAATAAAATTCAATTATTTCCAAAAATTTTAATTAAAATTATTAAAAAAAAACTCCATTATTTTAAACAAAATTCAGTGAAATTCTTCAAAAAAAAATTAATTAGAATTTTTTTAAATTTTAACAAAATTCTTCGCGAGAATTCAATTATTTTCCTGAATAATAAAATTCTTCGAAAGAATTCTATTATTAATAAATTTTTTGATAAAATTCTTTGCAACAATTCGATGATTTTCAATACATTAATTTTAAAATTGAAAATATTTGAAAAGAAAAATTATAAAAAAGTTAAAACTAAATTAGTAGTAAAATCAATTTACAGTCAGAGAAAATAGTTTTAATTGTCATTATGACATTTTCAGTAGTAAGAGTCATTTGGTCTAATAAAATAAATGAAGAATTAAGAAAATCAGTAGTAAAAAAGATTATAATCAGACAAATTAATTTTTACTTTCAGTAGTACGAAAACAAAGACAAGATAGTAGTAAAGTTTATTAAATCAGTAGTAAAATTGGTTTATGGTCAGACACAATAGTTTTAATTATTATTTTTGTATTTTCAGTAGTAAAAGAACACTTTAGTCAGACAATTTAGTATTAAGTGTAATTATTCTGTAATTTCAGTAGTACAAGAACCATTTAGTCAGACAAAATATTATTAAGTGTAATTTACGTGCTTTCACTAGTAAAAGAATCATTCAGTCTATTAAAATAGTAGTAACAAATTTAGTTCAGTAGTAAAATAAGTTTATATTTAAACGAAATAATTTTAATTTCTACTTTTGTACATTTTGTCAGAGAAAATAGAAGCGAAATGAAGTAAATCAGTAGTAAAACAAGTTTATGATCAGACACATAGTTAAAAATGTTATCACTTTGCATTCATTAGTAACAATAACCTTTTATAGTCTGTCAAAATAATAATATTAACTATTTTATTTACTACTTGAATAAAAATATTGTATTTAGTAAATTTTTTACTCAAATTAATTTTTATATTTATTTAGTATTATTTATTTATTTAGAAACTAATTAAATGTCAGCAATTAAATGTAATTAAATAATGAATTAAATTTACACAATAGAAATGATTGTTGAAATAAACAAAGAGTAAAAAATATGGATTTTTGTCAAAAAGAATACTTTTAAACAGGAAGTGATTTATTATAACACGCCATTGTTTTTTTTCACCCATTCCCTGATCACAGACAACTTTAACGACCACTATACCGAATATATCATTCACCGCCTCCGCCCTTAACACGGAAGAGCAACGACCTTGAGGGAAATTTCTATTTTCATTGAAAACGAAAACAAAGAGAAAAAAATCGTAAGATAGAAAATATAATTTCTTAATTTCACATACCACTGTCGAAGCTCGGATATGTAATTTTCAATTTTGTCGCAAATCCCATTTCTGGGTTGCATTGTGCGATTTTGATAGCAAAATCTAACTCCCGATGACATTCCCGTGCCATGGTGCATTTTCACCCTGACACAAGACGTAGAAACGACCCTGGATAGCGCTTGCGCGACCTCATCATTTTGCGACTTGCTCTCTCTATTTCTTTTTTTTTTCTCCCTCGCTCTCGAGACCAACTCGAAAACACTCGTCTTTTTCCGTTTCACCCTCGTCAAATGTGTTAATTTATTTTTTTTTTCTATTTATTAATTCTGATATTAATTATCATTTGATTGCCTGTTGATAATTAAAAACTGAAAATAGGTGAAAACAGGTAAAATACACTGAAAAAAAAAACTAGTAGATTTGACTACTTTTTAACTACTCTACGTACACTGAAAAAAAAAACTAGTAGATTTGACTACTTTTTAACTACTCTACGTAATTCAATAGGTCCTCAACTGAATTCAAATAGTTGTACTAACTATCATAAAAGCAGTTAAGACAACTAAGAATGTAGTTGGTTGAATGTGATTTAGTAGTTTATTTGACTAACTTTAAAGTAATTATAACAACTAAGATTTTGTAGTAGATTTTACTACTTAAAGTAATTCGATAGGCTTTAACGACATTTTTGTTGTAGAATTAACTATTATTTTGTTTTTAAATCTACTACTTTAAGTAGTAGGTTTTACTACCTAAAGTAATTCGATAGGCTTTAACGACATTTTTGTTGTAGAATTAACTATTATTTTGTTTTTAAATCTACTACTTTAAGTAGTAGATTTTACTACCTAAAGTAATTCGATAGGCTTTAACGACATTTCTGTTGTAGAATTAACTATTAAAAGTAGTTAATGATCTGTTTTATAAAGTAAAAATTAACATCTTTTTGTTTTTGTCAGCAACTACTTAAAAGTAGTAGAATTATTTATTATTATTTATTAATTATTATTATTACTGAAATTCATTTTTTCATCTCCTCTAGCATTCCTATTGGTCACATATACTTTATAATTTTCAACACTTATGTACATAATGGAGAAAAATCCTCAAACGCCGGGGATTGAACGCACGACCCTAACATTCGCAAACCGATAACCTAACCACCTAACCACGCTCGCACGCTACGATGGTCTGCATGAAACCTGATGACATTCTTGACATAGATCAACCGACAACTGTAGTTCATTTTACAATGTAATGTAGTAGTATTTACTACTTTTACTAGTTCTTTTATCTTCTTTAAATTCTTATTTCTGAACTTTGCTTTATTTAAAAATGCTGTTCAATCCTTTCTAATTACTTTAAGTAGTACAATCTACTACTCAATGTAGTAAAACTTAAGTTCAAAAAGTTAAAATTATCTATTATTTTCTCACCAAAACTACTGCATTGTGTAGTAGATTTTGCTACTTAGAGTGGTTCGATAGGCTTTAACAATATTATTCATTTATTTTTATTACTCTAATGTTGTAGTCAAATCAACTACTATAACTACATAAAAGTTGTAAAGTCTATTACACGAAAAAGGTTTGACTAATAAAAAAATTAGTTCCCTCTACTACTTTACGATAGTCAGTTGTGCAAGTCACGTGTTGTTTCAAATTCAATCGTATAAATTCTTTAATTCAACAATTTGGTGTTAACTATGTTAAAGTAGTAAAATTTACTAGTTAAGAAAGTGTTACGTTACTTACAAAAGTAGTCCCTTTTACTACTTTCTATTTATTACTATAAAATTGTTAAATTTACTACTTATAAAATGTTGAGTAAACTATTATCTTAGTTGTTCTTACTACCGCACTGTAGTCAATTCTACAACTTACCTGTTGTTAAAATTTAACTACATATATTAGTAGAATCAACTACTATTTATCAACTACATAAAAATAGTTAAATTAACTACGCAAACCGGGTTAGACTAACTAAAAAAGTAGTTGTTTTTACTACTTTTCACTTAACTACCCATAGGTAGTTGAATTTGTCAGCCTAATTTTTTTCAGTGTACATGTGTAGTAGTAAAGGACTCTTTTAGTCAGACAGTATAGTAAAATTCTAAAATTGTTATTATTTTATTTTCAGTAGAAAAGTAATCTTTTAGTCAGACACTGTAGTAGTAATATTAGGTAAATCAGTAGTAAAATGAGTTTATAGTCAGACAAGGTTTTTAAACTTACAATAGAAAAGTATTTTAGTCAGACAGACCAGAATTAAAATTAAGTAATCAAGTAGTAAAAGAGACCTTAGTCAGGCAGAATAGTAATACAATTTAGAATTTCAGTAGTAAAATCAACTTATAGTCAGACAAAAGAGGAAAATTGTTTTTAATTTACGTTCAGTAGAAAATAATCTTTTAGTCAGAGAATAAGTAATATTAGGTAAATCAGTAGTAAAATAAATTTATAGTCAGACAAAAGTATCCAAACATTTAGTAATAGAAAAGTTATTTAGTCAGACAAATTAGAACCGAAATTCAGTTAATAAAGTAGTAAAAGACATCTCAATCCGGCAAAATAGTAATATAAATTAATAATTTCAGTAGTAAAATAAACTTATAGTCAGATGAAAGAGGAAAATTGTTTTCAATTTACTTTCAGTAGAAAAATAATATTTTAGTCAGAGTAGCAGTAATATTAGGTATATAAGTAGTAAAATAAGTTTATAGTCAGACAAAGTTGTTAAAATTACAATAACAGAAAAGTCTTTTAGTTAAACAAAGCATAGTAGAACTAAAATGAACAAAATATGTAATAAAAGAAACATTAGTAAAAATTGTCTTTTTTAATTTTCAGTAGTAAAAGAACATTTTAGTCAGACGAAAAAAGATTGAAACTTAGTCAATTAGTAGAAATAGTTGTTTCATTGACTGACTTCGTCTTTACTGCAATTATTTAATTTTCAGTAGTCAAAAAACATTTTAGTCAAACACAGTAGCAATAATATTGAGTCAATGAGTAGGAAATTTAATTTTTAATACAAAACAATTTTAGTAAAATTAAACCAGTAGTCAAATAAATGTATATAGTCAGTGGAACAAGTTTTAATTGTCATTATTTTACTCTCAGTAGTAAAAAAAACTTTAATCCAGACAAAAATAATATTTTATTTCTATCATTTTTCTTTCAGTCGTAGAAAAGTTTTTGTAGTCCCAGAAAATAGTTGAAAAAAAAAATTCTCAATCACCGAAAACAGTATAGTGAAACATAATAAATCAGTAGAAAAAATTTATTTTATAGTCAGACAAGAAATTTAAAATAATTTCTTTCAGTATAGGAATAAATAGGCCATTAAGTCAGACAGGACCTGAGTATTATTCATTAAATCAGTAGGTAAAATATTTATTTAGCCAGACAAAGTATTTTAAAATTGTTATAAATTTTTCTTTAAGTAGTAAAAGTCACTCTTGATCAGACAAATATTAAATATTGTCATCATTCTTCCTTCAGCTCATATTTTCAAAAATTTTAATAAAATTTCACAAAAGAATTCAATTATTTTCTAAAACTTCAATAAATCCTTCTAAACAATTCAATTATTTTTAAAAATAGTAAAATCTTTACAAAAATTCTATGATTCAATTTTTTCTAAAATTTTAATAAATCCTTCGAAAAAATTCAATTATTTTTATAAATAGTAAAATTCTTCGCAAGAATTCAATTATTTTTATAAATAGTAAAATTCTTTGCAGGAATTATTCAATTATTTTCAAAAAAATTTTTATTGAATTCCTCGGATGAATTCAAATATTTTTAAATATTTCCATAAATTTCAATTATTTCCTAAAATTTTAATAAATTCTTCAAAACAATTCATCTATTTTTATAAATACTAAAATTCTTTGCAGGAATTCAAATTATTTCTAATCAAATTTAAATAAAATTACACGAAAGAATTTAAATATTTTCAAAAATTTCCATAAAAATCAATTTCAACAAGAATTTAAAATTCTCTAAAAATAATTCAATTATTATCAAAATATTTTTAAAAAATTCTATATAAAATTTAAATTACTTTCAATGTAATTTTTAAATATATTCGGCAAAAATATTGAAAGAATTCAATTATTTTCAAAAAATAATAAAATTCTTGTGATGAATAATTCAATTATTTTGAATATACTTAATTTTAATAAAATTCTTTAAAGAAATTCAATTATTTTTAAAACAACTTTAATTGAATTTCTCGAAAAAATTTCATTATTTTTAAATATTTCTATAAAATTCTTCATAACAATTTAATTATTTCTTAAAATTTTAATAAATTGTTCAAAACATTTCAATTATTTTTATAAATAGTAAAATTCTTTACAATAATTCAATTATTCTTGTAAATAGTAAAATCCTTTGCAGAAATTAAATTTTTTTTAAAACAATTTTAATAGAATTCCTCGAAAGTATTTAAATTTCCAAATATTAACATAAAATTAATTTATTTCTTAAAATTTTAATAAATTCTTCGAAACATTTTAATTATTTTTATAAATAGTAAAATTCTTCGCAATAATTCAATTATTTTCATAAATAGTAAAATCCTTTGAAGGAATTCAATTATTTTCAAAACAATTTTAATTGAATTCCTCGGATGAATTCAAATATTTTTAAATAGGTATTTCCATAAATTTCAATTATTTTACTATTTATAAAAATAATTGAAATGTTTTGAATTATTTAATTAAAATTTTAAGAATAATTAAATTGTTATGAAGAATTTTATAGAAATATTTTAAAATAATGAAATTTTTTCGAGACATTTAATTAAAGTTGTTTTAAAAATAATTGGGTTTTTTAAAGAATTTTATTAAAATTAAGTATATTCAAAATAATTGAATTCTTTCAATTTTTTTGACGAATATATTTGAAAATTGCATTGAAAGTAATTTAATTTATATAGAATTTTTTAAAAATATTTTGAAAATAATTGGATTATTTTTAGAGAATTCTTGTTGAAATTCAATTTTATAAAAATTCTTGAAAATAATTAAATTCTTTCGTGTAATTTTATTTAAATTGGATTAAAAAAAATTTAATTCCTGCAAAGAATTTTATTATTATTAATAAAAATAATTTTTATTATTAATAAAAATAGTTGAATTGTTTCGAACAATTTATTAAAATTTTAGAAAATAATTGAATTTTATGGAAATATTTAAAAATATTTGAATTTATCGGAGGAATTCAATGAAAATTGGTTTGAAAATAATTAAATTCGTGCAAAGAATTTAATATTTATAAACTTAATTGAATTCTTGAGAAGAAATTTACTATTTATAAAAATAATTGAATTTTTTCGAAATGTGTTAAACATTTTTTAAAAAATTAAATTCTTCCGAGAAATTCAATTAAAATTGTTTTGAAAATAATATTTTAAATATTATTTTAAAATATTTCCATAAATTTTAATTATGTCCTAAAATTTTAATAAATTCTTCCAAACAATTCAACTATTTTCATAAATAGTACAATTCTTCGCAAGAATTCAATTATTTTCAATTCACTTTTCTTAAAATTCTTCTTCATAAAATTTAATTGCTTTTAAAATTTTCAATTAAAATTATTAAAGAAAGTCTATTAGTTTAAAAAAAATTCAAAAAAATTCTTCAAATTTAATTAGGATTTTTGAAAATTTTAATAAAATTCTTCGCGTGAATTCAGTTATTTTCCTAAATAATAAAGTTCTTTATTTCTTTATTTATTTTTTTTCTTTTTTTTATTATTAAATTTTTTGATAAAATTCTTTGCAACAATTCGATGACTTTCAATACATTAATTTTAAAATTGAAAATATTTGAAAAGAAAAATTATAAAAAAGTTAAGAAACAAAAAAGCAGAACAACAACTAATTTCAAACTGCGAACAGATTACCGGAACATGTACTTTATTATTATTAATATTTTTTTTTTCAAATTATAATTACTAATCACTATGTAAAATTTCTCCTCACTCAAAACACAGGGAAGATGAACAAAACACAAAATTTTTTCTTTTTGGTACCCATTTCAGGTTGTCTTGACCTGCGATTTTATTTACAATACATTCACAGTAATTTCGTTCACCGATAGGGCTGTAAAATCACACGTAATGCAATGTTGACAGATTTTCGAGTAATATACATATGTATATGTGTACATATATACAATACAGGATGTACCAGCAAAAAAGCAGAGTTAATTTAAAATCAAAAAAATGCAAATATCGAAGAGTACAAAGTAAAAAAAAAATGAAATTCTTTCAAATCAAATTTTTAAAAAAACAAAATTGTATCATTTTTTTTTCTCTTGAAAACTATGTAAATTATTCACTTTTTTTTATAAAATCACAAAACGGATAAAATTTACAAAAAAAACACTTGATAGCTTTTCGCCGATTAGCCCTGTATACAAACATACTTCTTCAATCATCTTATATAATATTGTCTGGAAAAAAAAACATTAAATATTTTTTTTCTAGTTAATTTTCTAAATAATTTTCTAAAATTAGGTGAAAAGCAGTTGAGAAAAATTTGTGCGATCAATATCTCCCCTTCCACTGGCTTCCTGTATTCTAATTTTCCGGAAAATTCTATAAATTTTCTTAATACTAACTTTTAAAATGTTTGTTTTTTTTCTCCTTTTAAATTTCTATTGAGGAAGCTTCCATAAAAAGGTGGAAAAATATGCGAATATTAAGAAAAATTAGATGTGAAATTTTTTTTTCTCGTCAAGATTTCTTTTTTTTTAAAATTTGAAGCAATTGCTTCTTTAAAATACTTGTAAATACACTTTTTTTTATTCTTTCGCAATGTCTTCGGTATTAGTGCCACATTTTCGCGATTTATGGAGCTATCTGTGTGTGAGTGTGTATTTTTTTTTTTTTTTGAATGTCATGAAAAATATTAAAGATGAATTTTTCTGAGAAGAACAGTTTTTGAACTATTTTTTCTTTCAACTATTCTTTTGAATTTACTATACAATTTTTTTGAATCGTATTTTTCTTCTCATTGTACAAGAAAAATTTTTTTGATTTGAGTTTTTAGCAAAAAACACTTTTTTCTTGTTTTTTTAATGTTGAGAGGAAAAAGAGAGGACGTATTTCTGAGCGATTCGAAGGATTAAGTTTCGCATACGTGCACAACGTGTTATAAAATGTAATAAAAAATTTGATTATTTCTTCTTCGCTTCCTCCTCGACGCCGTCGTTCTGTTTTCTGAAACAGTCACCGACTGGGAAGAAATCCCAACATCTTTGTTGGTACATGTTCCAGACATAGGTTTCCTGACCTGTGTACTCGGTGTCAGGTTTGTTGATTAAGTGCATCAAGAAGAACCTGGAAAATTTCGATTTTTTTTTAAATTTCTTTTTTGAATTCTATTCTCTTAATTAATATATTCTCTAATAAATATTCTAATCAATTTATCCTCTTAAACTGTTGTTACAAAAAATTTTATTTTCAAATATAAATTTTTTAAATAATTTCATAATCAAAATTTAAAAAACTCATAAATGCAAAATTAATTACTACTGTCGATATTTTCAAAAATTTTAATAAAATTTCACGAAAGAATTCAATTATTTTCTAAAATTTTAATAAATCTTTCTAAAAAATTCAATTATTTTTTTAAATAGTAAAATCTTTACAAAAATTCCATTATTTTCAAAACAATTTTAATTGAATTTCTCGGAAGAATTTAATTTTTTAAAAAATGTTTAACACATTTCGAAAAAATTCAATTATTTTTATAAATAGTAAATTTCTTCTCAAGAATTCAATTAAGTTTATAAATATTAAATTCTTTGCACGAATTTAATTATTTTCAAACCAATTTTCATTGAATCCCTCCGATAAATTCAAATATTTTTAAATATTTCCATAAAATTCAATTATTTTCTAAAATTTTAATAAATTATTCGATACAATTCAACTATTTTTATTATAATAATAATTAAATTCTTTGCAGGAATTAAATTATTTTTAATACAATTTAAATAAAATTACACGAAAGAATTTAATTATTTTCAAAAATTTCCATAAAATTGAATTTCTACAAGAATTCTCTAAAAATAATTCAATTATTTTCAAAATATTTTTAAAAAATTCTTTATAAAAATTAAATCACTTTCAATGAAATTTTTAAATATATTTGTCTAAAAAATTGAATAATCAAAAAAATAATAAAATTCTTGTGATGAATTCAATTATTTTGAATATACTTAATTTTAATAAAATTCTTTAAAGAAATTCAATTATTTTCGAAACAGCTTTAATTGAATTTCTCGAAAAAATTTAATTATTTAAAAATATTTTTATAAAATTCTTTATAATAATTTAATTATTTTTAAAAATTTTAATAAATTGTTTAAAACATTTCAATTATTTTTATAAATAGTAAAATTCTTTACAATAATTCAATTATTTTTAAAAATTTTAATAAATTGTTTAAAACATTTCAATTATTTTTATAAATAGTAAAATTCTTTACAATAATTCAATTATTTTTGTAAATAGTAAAATCCTTTGCAGAAATTCAATTTTTTTCAAAACAATTTTAATAGAATTCCTCGAAAGTATTTAAATTTCCAAATATTAACATAAAATTAATTTATTTTCTAAAATTTTAATAATTTCTTCGGAACAATTTAATTATTTTTAAAAGTAATAAAATTCTTCGCAGGAATTCAATCATGTTCAAAAATTTCTAAAAATTATAATCAAAATTTCAATTTTTTTTAGAAAAAATATTTTCCAAAAGAATTCAATTATTTAAAAAAATTTAATAAAACTCTACACCAACTTTTAATTATTTTTAAAAAATAATTAACATTTCACAGGAATTTCATTATTTATAAATTTTTTTTTTATAAATTTCTTCGCAATAAATTGTAATTGAATTTAAATAATTAGGTGGTATTTACATGTAATTAGCAAGATTATGCTCCTGCTGAACGTGTGTATCAAATCCATGAGGAACAGTATCAAAATATTCTTTTCCTAAGCCACAAATGAAACAATTGCTTTCCATGTTGGCTTTCACGCTTTCGAGTTGGTCTCGAAGTTCTCCAAAGGCATCGATGATCAAACCTGAAATTAAACAATTGACAATTTATCATTATCAATAGCAATTACTTTAATTGTCGAAGAGAAAATGATTTTCTAAATTTTATAACAGAAAAGATAATTTTCCGCAATATTATTCTAATTGAAATTTTCACCTTGGATAATAGCGAGCAAAATAATAATGACGAAGAAGAAGAAGGTAATATCGAACATAATTCGATAAACCTCGTAATCGTCCCCATCCGGTTCGCCAATTTCATCACCAATACCACCTCCTGCTCTCACTCCTTTATACAGATGGAAGACGAAGCACTGAAAAATTTTATCACACAATCGTTAATTCAGAAAATATTCTTTTAATCTCTTTCTTTTAAATTTAACAATCAGCAAATGCTAAATAGTATTTTTTATTTACACTTTTAATATAGTAAAATAATTCGTAGAAATCAAGAAACTCACTGTCAACATGTCGTGACACTTTTTGTCCACCTCGTCGTCCTCCTCTTGAATATAAAACTTTCGGAAGAAATTGAATGCTATTACTGTATAAATGTACACGATAATTGTCAACAACAATACCGTCAAGACTAATTGCTTGCCATTGTGTGTTACGGATTGCAAAATAGTTCTCAGTGTCTTAAATCCCACCGCGACATCCAAAAGATGTGCAGCAAAGAAGAAATTATTATAATTTCCCAATATCGAGAATGTAAAGTACCACAAGCTGTACAAGAAGGCCTAGAAAAAAGGAAATAAAGTAATCATTTAAATTCACAACAACAAAAAATTGAAAGAATTACATATTAATTTAATAACATTTAATAATAATTTTGTAATTAATTGCTTTATAATTTAATAATTAATTATTCAATAATTTAATGTTTAGCTATTTAATAATTTACTAGTTAATTATTTAATATTTAATTATTCACTAGTTAAATATTTAAATTAACTAAAATTTTAATTAACTCACATTGTCTGTTATAGTAACGCCAGCTTTCCAGATCTGATACCTCCAGTCAATAGTGACAATACTGAAAGAGGAAAAAAAAATTATCACTAGAAACTAATTTTTATTTATATAAACGAATATTTATTTACTTATAAATTTACTTATCAACTACTATTAAGAGTTATTAATTTCTTACAAGTGTATTAATCCAGATCCATCTTCCTCCTGTTGACTGAAGGAAGTCTTCTCCATTCCGAGTAAATTACTAATATGATCGAAATCATAGGCTTCACTGTATTTCTGTCTAACTTTCTTTTTGACAAATTTGTCCCAATAATTGACGGGGAAAGTTTTTGCTGATATGACCATTTTATCCCAATGCGCTTTAATGTCATCGTCTTCCGGTGTCTCGGCAATGTAAAGTCCATCAAACTCAACCCTTCTTGCTATTTCCTTTTCTCTCTTGAATATTGCCAACGGTACCTGAAGTTTTTACAAATATTTTTCATATTAGTAGTTAAAATTATTCTTTCAATGCAAATAATTATATTTTAAATTTAATGAAAATATTAAAGAAAATAAATATTCCTATTTTCTTTTCTCTTTTCAAAATTGTCAACATTATCAGAAATTTTACAAATATTTTTGCATTACGGTTGACAATTATTTTTTTCATAAAATCAAATTAAATTTTCCTATTCAAAATTATCAACGATAGTTGAAATTTTTTTAATATTTTGCATATTCGCAATTCAAGTTATTATATATTTTTAATAAACATAAAAACATAAAATAAAGAATGACATGAATCAAAATTAATTTCAAAAATGAATAAAATTAAATAAGGGGAAATCTATGATTTAAATAATTATCTTGATCGTTAGCATAAAATGGATTTGAGAAATATACCTTAAGATGATAGTAGGCAACCAACATTGCCAACGAAACGATAGAATGAAGAGCAGCCATTAGTCTCATCACGTGAGCCATGTAATAAACATCTTCGGATACTTCAACATATTCTATGACATCCGCCTCTTCCGATGAAGCGTCTTCTCCACCGCTGCCTGAATCAACACCACTTCCCTCACCCAAACCTGATCCAGAACCTGACATTTCACTCAACAAATCAGCCATCGTATCGTCGGCTTCCTCCTCATCCGAAACCAGTGATGTAACCTTTTACAAAAATTCGATATTTTTCATTAAAAATTATTCCAAACATTCGATATTTTTCGGAAAATTCAATATTTTCCATCAAAGATTATCCCGACAATTCAATATTTAAAAAAAAAATTTTCATTAAAAATTATCCAATAATTCAATATTTTTCAATAAAAAATTATTCAAAAAATTCTATATTTCATTTCTTTTTGAAAATTATTCCAAGAATTCAATATTTCGTAAGAAAAAAAATTTCAAACATCTAAAATACTTACTTTGTAAAATAGAAGCATGAAATTGATACAAAATGCAAGAACTAGAGCAACGTATTTAAGATTATAGAAATTCCTCGCCAGGAAGGAAACAATTCGATGAGTGTATTCGGAAATATCGAAACTGGAAGCTGATACACGTTCGGATGTTGTTTCATGTTTGGTTTCAGCTTCAACTGCAGCCATTGCTGCCTGTTGTGCTGCCGCTGCCTCAGCTGCAGCGGCCGCTTGTGCCCTCGCTTGCTCTCCTCTAAAAATTTCAATAATTAAATTAAATAAAGAAATTTTAATTCTACTTAATTAAATTCAATAGATAATTTAAATAAATTAATTCTAATTAATTTTGTTAACTAAATTAATCCAGTGTAATTAAATTATATTAAAAGAGTAGTTGATCACACGAACCCTAGCAAATCAGCTAAAGTGACAGATGATTCAATTTCAGTACCATCAGCATTTACTCTGGGACCATCTTCACCACCTGCGCCTTCATCAGCCGTACTCTCACCAGTTTCCTCCATGCTCGAATGTGGAGTCGAGACATTCGATTCATGTGGCGCTATTTTCAACTGACCACCTTCCTCCTTCGTTATATCCATTCCAAATGCTTGCACCTAATAATCATCAAATATTTAATTTCACGATTCTTTGAAATATTTCCTTATTTCGATTCTTTGGGCCATTTTTTCATTTCGATTCATTAAAATATTTTTCCATTTCATATTTTGAAAAATAATTTTAAAACAGTGAGGGTTTTAACTAATTTAATTGTTTTGAAAATTAATATGATCTCCAAGTTCTGAACATTCAAATGAACGAAATCTTTTTCCATTAAATTAAATTTCAAAAATTACTCATGGTAATAAAAATTTAAATTTTAATCAAATAATTTCAAACTTTATAAATTATTTTCTTTGATACGTGAGTGCAATATTTTAATTTTAAGAAGTAATAAATAATTTTGTTCATTTAAACGTTTCGAACTTTAGGAAAATAAAATGCTCAGGCCTCGGGTCGACTTTTAAGGAGCAAAAAACGTCGTTTTAAAATATATAGAAAGTCGAAACAGTCATTTACTTTATTCAGAGTTGTCATAAAAATTTAATATTTTATTTACCTAATTTTTCCCTGATTTCTAAAATATTTAATTTTTTTTCTTATAGGTATCAATAATAATTTCAATTCTTGACTTTTATAAAATCTAATTATTTTCAAATAATTTAATATTATTTAAGATTTTCCGTAAAAAAATCACGATAATCTTTAAAAATAGTAATAACATTTTTTAAAATACAAAATTAATTTCAATAATAAAAATTTAATTTCTTCTCAAAAATTACAAATGCAATTCTTTTAGAATTCAATAATTTTTTTTAAAATTTAGCTAAATTTATTCAAAAATTTAATAATTTATTAAAATAAGTATTTAAATATTTTAAATATTATTAAAACCTTCTGAAATTTAATTATTTTTAAAAATTTCTACTATAACTACTTGAAAATTCAATTATATTCGAGAATTTTTAACTGTAAAATTTCTCTCTAAATCAAGTTTTTTAAATAATTTTCATAAAGTTCGTCAAGAGTTTAATTATTTAAAACCATGAAAGTTCATTTAATTCAAAAAAAGTTTATTTGTCTAATATTTAATTGTTTTCAATCCATTATCACTAAATTTCGATAATTCGAAAGTTTTTTACTTAAATAATATGTACACATATTTTTCATTAGTTACTCAAAATTCAAATTTTCAAAAATTTCAATTTAAAACCTTTTGAAATTAAACAAAGAATTTAAATTCAAAATTTTTTTAATAATTTTTCTAATATTTAATTATTATTTTAAAAAAATTCTAAGTAAAATTCTTTTTTAAATCAATTATTTTTAATAATTTTTTAGTAAGTTATTAGAGAATTCTATCAAATAATTGAAATAAAAATTATTTAAATACAAAATTTCAATTTTTTTATAAGAGTGGTACATTTTTCCCCCAAAAATTTTTATAAACACTTTATGGTTTTTTAAAAAGTTTTTAAGATGAAAAAAAAAAATTAAAGGACAATTTAAGGTTTTCAATATTTTCAAAGGACACCAGAAATAATTACATTAATTGAAATCCCATTTGAGAATAATTGAATGCTTATAAAGAAGTTTATAAAAATTTCTAAAAATAATTGAATTTCTGCAAAGAATTTTATTATATGTACGAAAAATTGAAAATAATTGAATTCTTATAAAGAATTTTATAAAAAAATTTTTAAATAATTGAATTCCTGCAAAGAATATTATTATATGTACGAAAAATTGAAAATAATTGAATTCTTGCAAATTTTTTTCGACGAATTTAATTAAGATTGTATTGAAAGTAATAATTCAATTCTTATATAGAATTTCATTGAAATTTGTTAAAAAATAATTGAATTCTTTCGAGAAATTTTACTAAATTTTTATTGAAAAAAATTTAATTGTTTTAAAGAAATTTTTTTAATTTTGAATGTGAAATTATTCAAAAGTTCAAGTTGATATTTGAAAATAAAAAATTATAAATTACTGTTTAGCGCCTAACATTTGCTAGTTACTTATATTATTTATAAAAATTAAAAGCGAAACTTTTATTAATTACAATTATTTTTTGAATTTTTAAATAAAATTATTCGCAAAATAATTTCTAAATAATAATTTTTGAGTCGTTTCAAGAATTAAATTATTTTAAATAAATCCGAGGCTTGAATGCGATAAAAATAGTGATTTAAATAATTGAAATACATTTTTGTAAAATAATTGAAAATAGAAAGAATGATTTGCACCTGCATATTTGATTCATCAGGCGTTGGAGGCAACGCTGGCAAGTGCCTCAATGGTTTCTCCTCCTCCTCCTTGACCTCAACAACAGGCTCAACATGGGGACCTCTCATCAATGTCAATAAAAGTTTCATAAAGTACTGAATAACTACACCGACACCAAAGCCGGAATAATAAAAAGCGTAAAATATCATTTTGAAGAAGCCTATGAATAATTCAGGAATGGTCATCTGTTGCATTTCAGAAATTTTATTCTTGATATTAGTTGGCGAGAACATGGAGAAAAAGAAATAGATTCCATCTTTAAAGGCTTGAATGCCCCTTCTAATTGGATCTTTATTTCTCTCGTCATCGTCATCGGTCATATATGTATAAGATGATTCTCTCGCCTTTCCTATTCCACCACTTTCTTCAACTGCCATTAATGCGCTTGCGTGTTGCATTTCAAATATAGCATCCTCACAGAAATTTATGAACGTCTCCAATTTCTCTTTATCTCCAGCCTCAACGACTGTATTGTAAAAATATGTTCGTTTCGATTCCTTAATTTGCGGCTTCTCCCACTGCTCAATATTCGATTCCTTGATCTCAAAATAGACCCTCTCGATCTTTTTGTTACTTCCAAGAATTTCTATTCGGCCCAGGAATGGCTCGAAATAGTTGAGTACAGAGCCGGCTGTCTCGAGGAATCTCGCCAACCTGGGTTCATTTGGCATATGCTCCGAGAGATTCGTCAATAGTACTGCCAAATTGAAACCAATTTCCTTTGCTGGCTCGTGGAAGCGGTCCATGAACGCGACATAGTCGATTTTACCGTCGTGATTCGTTTCACAGCAGGCGAGGAGAAATTCGATTTCCTCACTGGAAAATTTAGTCATATTAATTTTTGTTGTTGTTGCAAATTTAGAATATTCGTAAAATGAATAAAATTGTAGCAAAAAATAAAAATGCAAAAAAATCTTACTCGGTGTAACTCTTTTGCTGCTCCATTTTTTCCTTGAAGTCTTTTGGATAAACCCAACCGTCACTATTCAGATCCACCTCCAAGAAGCTGGGTGAAGAAACAAGATCCTTTAGTTTCAGGAACATGTCGAAATATTTAAGAATAAGTTCAACGTTGCCGGCAGATTCTACTAAAGTATCGACCATCTGCTTTCCGATTGTTCCATTCACCACGTTACCTAAAAAAAATTAAAAAATAAGAATATTAAGAAGTATTAAAATTACAGGCTTCGCACTCAACTATTAAAACCTACTATTTACTACTTTTTTTACGTTTTGCTACTATTTGGGTACTTTTTTTAGATTTCAGCCACTAAAAACTACTATTTCTGTTTTTTTCCAATTTCCACTAATTTATAAACTCGCTAATACTAGAAATCAAAAAAATATTCTCAAAAATTATAACCAAATTCTTTAAAACGATTTAAATATTTTAAAAAAATATTCGAAATTCAATTATTTTCAATATTTAGTATTTTCATAAAATTATGCAAAACAATTTAATTATTTAACAAACAAAATTGATAATTATTAAAAAAAATTTTAATAAAATCCTAAGCAAGTATTCAATTACTTTCATGAATAATATAATTCATCGAAGAATTTCAATTTTTTTTATACTATTTTAAATTAATAGAAAAATCCAATTATTTTCAATTTTCAACAAATAAAATTTTCCAGAAGAATTCAATTATTTAAAATAAAATTTTCATAATATTTATTATGTTTCGAAAAAATTAATTATTTAAAACAACGTTTATAAAATTCTTATGAAGATGTCAATTATTTTCAAAAATAACAAAATTTTTCACAGAAATTGAATTCTTTTTAAACATTTTAATAAAATTCTTCCCAAAAATTCAATTATTTACATAAATAATTATTCGAAAGAATTCAATTATATCGATAAATAACAAAATTATTCCCGATAATTCAATTATTTTGAAGTATTTTAATAAAATTCATCCAAAATTTAATTATTTTCAGAAATAATAAAATTTCTACAAAAATTCAATTAATTTAAAACAGCATTTTCAAAAAAATTTCGAAAAAATCAATTATTTAACACAATTTTTATACAATTCTTCACAATAATTCAATTACTTTCACTAATAATAACTTTTTTCATGTAAATTCAATTATTTAAAAAAAATTTTAATATAATTCTAAGCAAGAATTAAATTATTTTCATAAATAATAAAATTTATCGCAGGATTTCAATTCTTTTTAATACAATTTTACAGTAATTGCTCAAAAAATGTAATTATTCTTTTAAAATTTAATTTCAATTGCTCGAAGAAATCAATTATTTAAGAAAATGATTTTTAAATTCTTTGGATGAATTCAATTATTTACAAAAGTATTTTTTCGGAAGAAATCAATTATTTTAAATACAATTTTAATTAAATTTGAAATAATTCAATTATTCTTTTAAAATCATTCAATTATTGTCAAAAATTTTATTATTATATCGAGTTCTTTGTAAAATTTTATTATTTTTAAAAACTTTTCTCAATTCAATGATTTTCAATATCTACTATTATCATAAAATTTCCAAACAGAAGTCAATTATTTAAAAAAAATTTGTATAAAAATCTTCCTAAGAATTCAATTCTTTTTATGAATAATAAAAATTTTTCAGGAATTCAATTATTTAAATTAGAATTTGCATAAAATTAGTCGAAAGAAATTTTTATAAAATTCTTCGCAAGAATTAAATTATTTTTATAAATATTTAAATTGTTTCATGAATAATAAAATTCGTTGCAAGTCAATTCAACTTATTAACAGGATAAAAAAGAAGTAAATATTTTTGATGAAAATTAGGAAAAAGTCGTAAATGAAATATATAGAATGGAATTTTTGTCAGTTTTGTAAAAGTGTCTAAAACGAGTTATTTTAGTCGTCAAGTTTAATTTTTCGATAGCTGCTTTTTTTAGTTTGAAAGCTACTTTTTGCTACTGTTTTAAAATTAATTCTCGAGTGAGAAGTTTGAAATTATTAATTATTAAAAAGCAAGAGGAAAAAAAAATGAAAATTTCCAGTTTGAAATTCACCTTCCAACATGGAGAGCATCATTGTGATCATGTCCTTCTGAAGGTTGAGCAACTCCTTCAATAAATCGACTTGGCTCGAGTGCTTTGACAATTTATCCTGCATGTGGGAGAATAAAAAGAGGAATCCACCGACAGCATCCCACAATCTCGAATGAGCAAGAGCTTGCTGATTCTGAGCACAAGGTCCCTGGATTACTTCCGTAAGTGTATTGAATACTTGACTCGCAACTCCAATAGCCTTGAAGAAATTCGCCTTACCCGCAGGATCAATCAATTCCCTGCTCGAATAATGCCAGTAAAAGTCCATAATCGATTCTTGTAATCGCAATAAATAATCCACCGTGCAGATCACGACGTTCACCGTCGTCGTATTACCCGCCTGGGTTCTTAAATAATTCTGCCAGTCTAAAAGATTAAATCAAATTTAAAGATATTCATTTAAAAATATTCAATTAATTTTCTATTAAAATATTTAAAATTATAAATAGTGTAATTGAATTACAAATTTCAAAAAGGGTTTTTCAATTAATTATCAATAAATTCCAATAAATTGTTTTTTAAATCTGTAAATCTCTAAATTGTAACTTCTTCAATAAATTTTTTTAAAAATCTTTTTAAAGATCCCAAAGATCTTTAAAAAGATTTAAAAAAAAATTTATTGAAAAAGTTACAATCTGGTTGTATTTAGAAACAATTTTAGTAGCAACCTACCAAGATTGTGACCTTCGCAGGTCAACTGAATAAATCTGAATAAAGCGCAAGTAAATTCAGCGTCGTGCATATTTTTTTCTCCCGCGGCTCCGTCCGATCCAACACCAAGACCCTCGGCCTTTGTGTTTCTCTCGAAAGCATCCAGATCCAAAACACTGCAGGAATTCATCAATCCAGCGATTGAAGTAAAGAAACCAACGTCTTTCTTCTCCTTCAAATGATTCAGCATTCCTCTCTGAATTTCAATATTACCACCGCGAAGAATTGAGATTCCCAATTCAAGAGTCTTCATCACCATCTCACTTGGAACACCCTTACATGCTGATATGTGAAGAAGAACCATTTCCGCAACTCCTCGATTCGCGAGTCGCGCTTGATGGAATAATAATTTTTGTTTCTCCATTTCTTGCTCCTAGGAAAATAATGCATTTGTTATTAATTCTATTCAATCGTGATAATTCAATTTTATTTACTAATTAAAGTGCAATGCAAATTTAGCGAATTGAATTTAATAAAAAAAAATCAGTGAATTATAAACAAAATTGCCGAATTAAATTCTATCGATTCCAATGAAAATTGAATTTAGCGAATAAATAAAAAATTAACGATGTAAATATTTTGTCGCTTCCAATGAAAATTGAATTTAGCGAAGAAATAAAAAATTAACAAAATTAGTGAATTGAATACAAAATCGATTCCAATGAAAATTAAAAATAGCCAATTGACCGACAAATTTAACAATAAATAAACTATTTAATGTAAGAAGAATCTTCAATAAACTTTTCATAACACTAAATAAATTATTTGTTTCATTTGAATGTCATCTTACCATTAATTTATGCATTGGCCTTTTTAAGAACGCAAAAAAAAGAAATTTTCCTAATAATTACTAGTTTTATAATAATAAAAATAAAAAATCTCAATAAATCCTCATTTTCAAGTGATTTTGATTCTGAATCTAAATTGCAAAGCATTTTTAAATACGCAATGTTGGCAGAAGCTTTTATCAGCTCGAAATCGTTTTAATATATAGAAAGACAAAGAAGAAATTTGGAAAAAGTCATTTGAAATGCTTTTCTTAGACAAAAATTTTCAAAGAATCATTATAATAACGAATGGAATGAGATAATTCTGTTAATGTTTTTCTTAGCAGAATAGAAGCTTACAAAAGTGCACGTTCTAAACTGTTTTTTCTGTTTGTTATTCTTACCATTCTTGATAAACGCGCCTTCTTCGCAAGAGCGGGTTAGAAAAAGATTTTTTATCATAAATACTTATACTTATAGTTCCATAATTTTTAAATGTAACACATAAGTATAAATATAATATTGTAAATTAGTTGTTTAGACATTTAAATTAGTCACAGTAAATTAGATTTTTTTTCTAAATTAATTTACAATTTTGTTGCAAATTTTTCTTCTAAATTAGTTTAAATTTTTTTAAAATACTTTTGTATTTGGTTTAATTTATTTTTAATCTACTTTCAATTATTTTTCTACATTACTTTTAAATTTAGTGTCAATTTCTTAAAAATTTTTATTGAATTTAGTTTCATTTTTTAATTTAATTTTGAATTTAGTTTCAACTTTTTTCCAAATGAATTTTGAATTTAGATCCACCTTTCCAAATTAATTTAGAATTCAGTTTCAATTCTCTTCTGAAATATTTTTGAATTTATATCCACATTTTTAAATTAATTTTGAATTTAGATCCAAATTTTTTCTAAATTAATTTTGAATTTAATTCCAATTTTTTTCTAAAGTAATTTTTCATTTTTCTTTCAATTTTATTTTCTAAACTAGTTTTGAATTTAGTTTCAAGATTTTCTCTAAATGAATATTGATCCACCTTTCCAAATTAATTTAGAATTCAATTTCAATTCTCTTCTGAAATATTTTTGAATTTATATCCACCTTTCAAAAATTTGAAAAAAAAATTTGGATCTAAATTCAAAATTAATTTAGATCCAAATTTTTTCTAAATTAATTTGAAATTTAGTTCCAGTTTTTCTAAACTAATTTTGAATTTACTTTCGATTTTTTCAAATTAATTTTAAATTTAGTTTGAATTTCTATTATAAATTAACTTTTAATTGAGTTTCAATTTTTGCAAATTAATTTTCAATTCAGTTTCAACTTTTTACTAAATTAATTTCGAATTTATTTTCATTTTTTTCTATATTTATTTTGAATTCAGTTTCAATTTTTTTCTAAATTAATTTTAAATTTAGTTCCATTCTTTCAATTTAATTTCAAATTTAGTTTAATTTTCTCAAATTAATTTTAAATTTAGTTTCAATTCTTTTTCAAATTAATTTTCGAAATTTAATTTCAACATTTTTTTCTAATTCGTAAATATTATTGAAAAATTTCGATAGAAAAAATTGTAAATTCTGTTGTAAATTATAAATTCTTTTGTTAATTGTAAATTATTTTGCAAATTGTAAATTATTTAGAAAAATTTCAGACAAGAAATGAAATTGTAGTGACAATTACATGAATGGAAGCACGTCCTTCCTCTTCGCCACCGCCACCACCTTCACCTTCTTCTTCCTCCTCTTCTTCGCCACAGGATTTCGATATTATTTGCGCATAACTCATGTAAAGAGGATCTTCTTGTAGGGCTCCAGATCTTTCAGTCATTGCTCCTCGACAGAATGTCGTCACTAATTGAGTCAGTGGATCAGGTTTACCCTCATCTTCTTTGCCATCTGTCTTATTTAATTCCGCATCCTCGAACGATTGCTAAAACATATTTTACTATTAATTAAAATTGATAAAAGAAAATTAAAATTGATAAAAAAATTAAAAATCAATAAAAAAAATTAAAAATCAAAATAAAAAATATTTATATTTATTATCAATAATTCATTACCGTAAGATCTTCAATCATAACTTCCTGGCCAACATTTTCATCCTGAAGCCATAACTCGTAGTACGTACGAGCAAAAATATTTATAGCCCGATGCCTGAAAATCAGAGTTTTGTTTTATTTTTAAAAAATGAAATTAAATACAATTTTTACAGTATACTCATTAACAAGCTGAAGCGTCTACATTTTATTATTTTAATTTCTTGAAGATTTAATTATCTAAATTTGATTAGTGAATGAATGAATGAATTATTATTAATAATACTACAAATTATTAATAATTTCCTTAAACTGGATTTTTCTAATTCAGTTATTTTTCGGAATCGAAATTTTCGAAAATGATGAAAATCTTCAAGAGTGACTAGAGGACGCTAATGGCAAGGATTTCCGGAAGTACCTTCTTAGCTTGTAGAGGAGTTCACTACGTAGGCATGCAATGGCCGCTCTCTTTCTGGCTGCACACAGCACACGATTCCATCCACCTCGGGATGGTGGCGGTTTTGTCGCCTGTTAGCAGCATGCACACACGACTAAATTCGTTAGAATTGTTCACGAAAAGCATAATTAAAAAAAAATTACAAATTCAATAAATTTCGATATATATTCCAATTTTTGTAAAAATTATGTTCGTAGTAAACATTAATTTTCCTCCAAAGTCAATTTTCAATTCGTCAATTCGGTTAATCAATTAATTCAATTAATCTATTCAGTTAAACAATTAATTCAATTAATAAATCCTGGTAATCAATTAATTCAAAGAAACAATTAATTCAGCTAATCAATTAATTAATCAATTAAGTTTAACAATTTAATTTTAAAGGTAATTTTTAAGAAAAAATTTCCATACTCTCATTTTTCTGACTCACACACTCGTTTCAAAAGGTTTTACTTTTACAGCATATAATTTTCAAAACTGAAACTCTAAATCATCAGTTTTTTCTTTTAATGATCTATCATCAGTTTCCTTTTATGCTGCACATAGAAGCTTTGTCTACATACGCAACTAAACGAAGTCACTTATAGAAGGAGCATCTTTGAAGCTTCTACTTTTTCAATATGATAGCAAAACTAAAAAACACTGCAGAAAAATAATAACCCAACACACAAAAGCAATCTGATACCTGGGCAGGGAGTGAAGGGAGATCTGACGAAAACAAGCAATGACGGCTCGCTTTCTCTGAATTGAAACCACTGATCGATATTGACTTTTGCTTTGCTGTTGCGGATGGTCGATCTACGCGAAGAAAAATCAAAAGAAAGAAGAAAGAAAAATAAAAATCATAAAGAAAAATTAAAATGTTGAACATTTTTTTTTCAGAATTTAAATAATCTCGGAATTTTTAAAAAATAGAATGGAAGGAAAATAAATTGGAATTTTGAAGAAAGAAAACATTCCCTAATGATCAGATGTTGATGTTTCAGCTTCCAATCTGTTGTGGGAATATTGGCAAAATTGCGAGAATAATTTAATTACTCACCATATGCAAGCCATAAAGGACTTTAGCCATATCTGTTATTCGGGCGACAACTTCGTCGATTTGTTGCGCCTTCACTGGTTCCATGACGTCCTTTTTTTGACCTAATTGTGAGTATAAATAATGCTGCCAGGACATTTCATCAGCCGGGTCAATTTTGTCAGGTAGAGTCAATTGTGTTTTGGCGAATTCCGTAATTTCATGCTCGGCCATCTTCTTCAGGAATCTGTCCTTACAGTGCTGGACCAATTCTTGTTCACGTCCTGCGAACAAGTTCAATCCCACTGGCAGGAGTCTCTTTAAACAGGCTACCATCAGAGATGCCTGAACTTCCTTGTCCTTGTCTCGTTTTTTGTCTCTGTGTTTCTTCTTTTTCTGTAAATTTAAAATCAATCAATTGCAAAAATGTTTCTATTTAAATTTTTTTCCAAAAAAATTATTAAAAAAAATTGGAAGAAGCATTCTAAATTAAACATTAATATATTGAAAATAATTAAATTTCTGAGAAGTACTTTATTATCTATGAGAATAATAAAATAAAAAATAATAAAGAAAAGAATATTTGTAAAAATAAAAAATTTAATTGTTTCGAAGAATATTCAAAATTAATCTTCTTATACCTACAATTTTATCAAAATTGTTTAAATAAATTAAATTTTTTCCAAGAATTTTATTAAATTTTTTTATTCTTCTGAAAATAATAGAGTTTATAAAATAATTTTAATTGAAAATTTTTTAAGTAATTAAATTTTACAAAAAATTTACTTAAAATTATTAAAATATGCCTGTTTATTAATAATTAAAATTAAAAATTTGATTTATTAAATTTTATTCAAATTTTGATTGATTTTTTATAAAGAATTTTCTTAGAATTTATAAAAATAATTGAATTGTTTTGAAGAATATTTAAATTCTTTCGAGGAACTTAGTTGAAAATTTGATTTATTGAATTTTATTAAAATTTTTAGTAACTAATTGAATTCTTCTCAGAATTTTATTACAATTCTTGAAAGTAATTGAATTCACACACAAAATTTTATTATTTATGAAAAAAGTTGAATTATTTTAAAGAATTTTTTTGATTTTTTCAAAGTAACGGCGTTTTTAAAATAATTTTAATTGAAAATTTTGAAAATAATTCAATTTTACAAAGAACTTCTTTCAAGTTTTTAAAATAATCTCGTTCGTCAATCATTGTAATTAAATATTTTATTGAATTTTATTTTAAATTTTTTTTGGAAAAAGATTGAATTCTTAGCAGAATTTTATAACAGTTTTTTAAAATAATTGTATTCATGCAAAGAAATTTATTATTTATCAAAATAATTGAGTTTTTGCAAAAGAATTTTATTAGAATTTATAAAAATAATTGAATTTGCTTCGAAGAATTTTATTAAATTTGTATTAAAAATATAATTGAATTCGAATAAATAATTTTATCAAAACTCTTAAAAGTAATTGAACATCTTTCCAGAGAATTGTATTGAAATTTTTGATAATACCTGAATTTTTTCAAAAAATTGTATTAAAATTATATTAAATAATAAATAATTTTAAAAAATTGAAACAATTAAAAATTTTGTCGTATTTCATTGAAATAAATTTTATACTTTAAAGTCGTCAAATGTAATGTTTGGATAGTTACTTTTTTACTACTTTTTTTAGTCTTAAAGCTACTTTTTGCTGCTTTTTTCAAATTTTAAATTTAAATTTAGATTTATTTTGTGCGAAGCACAAATTTTTTTATAAACAAGCGAGTACCTTTCCTCCTCCGGCGGGCGTCGCACCATCACTGACAGCCGCTGGTCTCCTAGTTGCAGTTGGCATGATCAGAACCATATTATCAATTTCATTCGCCGATATGAAGTTCTGTTCCTCTCGCAAAAAGTACTGCGATTTTGACCAGATATTAAAAATCGACGCTACGTGATTATAGAGATCCTCGGCATCTGAAACATTGTTCCTCAACCACTGATTACGTTGAAGATCGACATATTTAATGAGAAGGGGATAAAACGAATAGATATCCCGAACCAGCAATTGCCAATCTTCCTGTATTTGAGCCTCAACTTGAGAAGTATCATCCGTCGACGATTTAATAAATCCCCTAAGAGACTCCTCTTTGTGAAACATATTGTCAGTTCGTTTTCTCACACGCTCCGCCAGTGGAAGAAACGGATCCTTAAGTAACTCTTCAGAAGAATTGATAATAATTTGCTGCGTGTAAGCCGCAATTCTAGTCATCCATGGTGCATTCTCATTTCCAATATTTTTCTTTATCAGTTTGAGAACATTTTTCAATAGTTGATTCATATGTTCACTTGTCACCATACTGTTGTAGGCACCTTCCGATGGATTCACATTGTCCGGACCTTGTGCCCACCATAAGGGAAGATATGAACAGAGGAGTGGAAGAATCACATCGACCACGTGTGGTGCGTCAGCGTAAGTTTTCTCCGATTCTACAAATTGATCCACTTCGGACAATATTGTCTCTAATGTTGGCATACTTGATTCCATTTTTGTCATAACGTCTTGTGCCTCTAGAGAATGATCGGCTATGCGATTTAGTAGGGAGAATTGATTATGTTTATTCAAATGGGGTTCGAGAAAGGCGACTGGAAAACAACTGGAGAAGGCTCCTAAACATGAGCCCAAATTTGGTTTGCTTCTCTCGATTTCCGTCTTGAGGTATTTTCGATCTTGAGTCAATGTTGCATCTACACCGAGGGTGTAGAGTGAGGCCAGCATTTTGTAGGAAGCTACTTGAATTTCGTCCACTGTAAAAAAGAGAAGATAATTTTTAGAAAAGAAAATAAAGAAAATATAGAAAATAATTAAAACAACAAAGAAAAACTATAGAAAATTATTGTTGAAAAAGGAAAAAATAGAAACGTATACAGAAGAAAGTATAGAAAAAAAATAGAAAAGAAAATATAGAAAAATATATTAAAACATATCAGGAATCACAGTTAGTCCTCTTTTTTCCTCTTTTCCCCTTTTTTATCCTCTTACATTAATTAATTCCCCTAAAACAATTAAAATCATTTTCTCCCCTTTCCTCCTTATTTTTAAGAAAAACTAAACAAAAATTGTCATTTTTTATAAGTTCGAAAGCTTTTAGTTATACTTAAAGAACAAATTTTTCCATCCCGCAAACTTTGGAAAAAATTTCGTTTTTTGAAACTTAAAAATCTTTTTTATTATTTCTCAGAGAATTCATGGAATTTTAAAACAAAAGTAGCGTTGTAATAAGAATTTTTATTACAAATTTAAAAAGTCAAAAACTACGGAAAAAGATAAAAACATAACAATAATTAACAGAAAAAGTTTAACGAAACAAAAATAATTTGTTTTAAGAAAGCTGTAGTTAAGAGAAAAAGTAAAAAATCTATAAAATAAATCATATGCGCTATAATACAATAATTTTTACTCAATTTTATCATAGAATTCTAAATAAGATTATTATTAATTCCATCTAATTTAATTATTAATTAATTAAAAATATAGAAAATTTACAAAAAATAAAAAATATATAAAAGAAAAGTGTAACAGAGATATTAATAATCAATTCAAATTAATCTCCTTTTTAAAATTGACTTACAAAGAAGATCACTGCCATATTCGCAAGTCGCAAGATGATCAAACATGGCTGTGAGGACTGGAAGAATCACACTATTAATATAAGAAAGTGACGTTGATGTCTTCAGATGAGTCCCTCTGAGATGACTGAATTTTCCCTCTTGCAAATTAAGAATAATATGACCAAGATCATCAGCAGTGTTATTGAAGAATGTCAGCATTGATGTCCTGATGAACTCTGGACAGTTTTTCACCAACGATTTAGCATCAATGCCTTTTACCAGAACTTGAAGGCACCTGACGGTAATTCTCACGTCTGCTCCAAAGGCAGCCATTCTCGATCTGAGTAAATTTGCCAATTTGCAAAAAAGAGCTGCCACCATTTCCTTCTCTTTCAATGATGCGGCACCGACATTATTTGTTGCCGTCGCAACAGCTATAAAATAATTTCTATGTGTACTGAAGTATTTTTCCACCAGTGGCAAAACAACTTTACTGAAGAATTTAATATCTCGGGTGGCAGTTTTGAAACTTGTACGTCTACTAAACGTGTCTGATGGTCTCAAGAGTTTCATGTTAATTGTTGCCTTATCGAGATATTCTATTAGTTTCTCTAAGAGAGAATAGGCAAATCTCAATTCGACTGCTGCTCCAACTCCGCCAACTTCCGATTCTCCACCTCGATTTGGCTTGTGAAGTTTGTAGCCTTGATATTGGAGGTATTTCAAAAATTCTTGGGAACGCTCGCGATCTTTTCGTTTTTCTTTGTCTGTGAGAAGATCGTAGGGCACTAATTGAGGATGTATTCCACCGCCAACGGTGAGGAGTTCTTCTTTCTTCTTCTTTGCCCAAATATCGTGAGCATTGTCCGCTAATCTCTCAGCCATGTTTTGCATTTCTCTGCTTAGAGTTAGATTTGTCATGTCGACAGGATGGGGATTGTAGTTGAATGGACTCGCAGAATCACCCTGCTGAAAACATTATTTTATGAATTTTTCTTGGCTTTACTTGCACTACTTTGAAACTTAAAATTAATTTCATTAGAAAAAAAAATATTTTAATTTAGAAGTCATTAAGAATTTGAATTACTTGATCAATTGATTTACCTGACTTTTGGAAGACCGTCTCAGAGAGTTACGATTCGTTGATTGAACATCGACCTCCGCATGTTCAACGCTCCAACCGATTGCTAAAAGAGCCTTTAAACTTTCCCGCACCGGTTCCTTATATCTTTCTCTTTCATAATCACTCAACGTGTTATATGGTTTCAGTCTAGGATGAGTTTTATTCGCATCTGACCAGGCATCTCCAAAAGTCCATCCGTTTTCCAACTTTCGACTTGCCCAAGCATCGTGATAGTGTTCGGAAAACTTTTGAACTATTTGATTCAAATCGTTATTCAGCACCACACTACAATTCAAATTTTAATGGGGTAAACGAATGGATTAAATAAAACCATAAATGTAAATAAAATTGTAAAAAAACACTTTACCTAGAAGTGTTGATTGGTTGTGGATTATAGGGACCATCGGAAGATTGAGTGGAAGCGGATTTACTTCCGTACCATTCATCGTCGCAATTTTTCGACAAGGAATAATCTGGTGGTAGAGCACAACCAATGGCTGTTAGACAAGGAAGAGCCTTGCCGAATAATTCCGGATCGTAGTCCATTTTTGACAGTGAATCAAATATGTTGCTGAAAAGAACCATCGTCAATCTTTTCTCTTCGTCACTGGAAGCACCATATGGACTCGAGCCACTCGATCCAGTTGATCCATAATATTTCCCACATCGATCGTAATGTAATGTTAAGAGCTAAGGGAATAAATTACAAAGTAAATCAATTTCTCTTGAACAGAAAACATTTTGATTCAGTACATTAAATTTTTATTATTTTATTTATTGAAAACATGAGGCAATATTAGTTTTAATATTTTGAAAATTTACCCTCAAAGCAACTGTTGTATATTCGGATAAATTAGAAACATCAACAGTCAATTTACGAAGAAGCTTCAACAGCATACTGGGTTGCATTTGACTGAGAAAAAATAAATTCTTGAATTAAAAACTAATTTCAAAAAATTGTAAACATCTAGAAAATGACTTTCTCAAATACCTTGTTAATGCAACCAGAAAATCGGAAACAGCTTCTCGTTGTCCTTTCGTCAACATTCTATTTTTGCTCAAACGATAGACAGTGTGAAGCGTCGCATCTAACAAACTCGAGTAATTGTCAGCTTCGTTATAAAATTTCGAGTGTTTAATTAGCAAAGGTAAAATACTATTTCCAATATAACGATTCATTGCTAATGCCATATCCGACTCGTAACCATCGTTCTGAAAAAGCAGAAATAAAGTAAATAAAATTAAAAATTAGCTTAAAAAATGGAAATAAAATAAATAAAATTATTTTTTATAATAAAATGAAAATTAATAAGAACTAATCCTTATTTTATATTAACTTATCCTTTTTTATATTAGTAATTATTGTATTCCGGTAATTTGTCCGCAATTTAAAGTTAGTTGTTTATTTGCTAGTTAAACAATAAAAAAATAGACATAAAAATTAATTTATTATTTTAATAATAATTATATCACTAGATCCAAAGTAATAAATTTCGTCTTCAATTTTTCGTTATTAGAATAAAACAAATTACAATTAAATTCATACCCTATCGAGCATAGTAGCAGCTCGTAAATCAGGCAAGAAAGCCTCTTCAAGAAGTTTGAAAAATAATTCCTGAGTCTCAATTCCGTAGACTCTTTCCAGAAACATGGTGATACTTTGCTTATGGCCGGGAATTAATCCAGATGGTGTGTCACTTTTTGGTCTCTCTTCGCCAGCTGCCGGATTTAATAATGTAAAACGCAGCGAAAGAACTCCCTGAAGATCATCCAGAGGCACCAGTGATCTCAAAATTGCTCTCGCTCGAAGAGATTCGTTTTTTCCTAAAAATTCATTTCCCCTTAGAACAATTTTTCAGATAGGATTTAACGAAAAAGATTCTTTAAGGAAAATTTAATAAACTTTATGAAATGAAAATAATTTTAAATGAACGAAAATAATCTGTAAGTAATAAATGAAAGTAAGTTTCAATAAATGAAAATAATCTTCACTAGAGGAAAATAGTTTTAAATAAGTAAAAATGACTTTAAATAAATAAAAATACTCTTCGAATTTTATTTTGATTTTAATTGACATAATAATTTTAATTTTAATTGACTATTAATTGACAATAATGTTAATTTTAATTGTATTAAGAATACCTTGTTCAATCACAGAAGAGTCGGGAGCACAACGTCCCAGTAAGTCAACCAATGTACAGTAAAAATTGAGAATAGCCGCACCAGTGTCTATATAGTCTTCATCATCGTCTGATTCTGGTAATGGATGCTCGAATTGTAGTCCTGAAGTTCCATCCGCTTCATCTTGGAGCTGTTTAAAGTGCTAAGTTGATACTAAATTAGTGCAAAGTTTCTTTCATGCTTGGATAATAATCGGTTCAAACTCATAAAGTCTCTCTCAAGGAAAAAGTTCATGAAAAACAAAAATAAATAAAAAAGTGAAAAAGTTTAAAAATTGGAATCAAATTTTCTCACCTAAATTCACTAATTTGAGTTTATTTTATTAATACAGTAGGATTTGGAAAATTAAAACCCAAACTTTGTTGGAATTTGTAATTCGTCATTTGGAATGATGATATTAAATTTATATTTTAAATATTCAAACAAGGGGAAAACGTTTCTATAACTATAATTGAATGAGGGATTCAAACTATTAGTTTTATGTCATCAGGCAACATTTACTATTAATTCGTGCTTTGTGAAATTAATCTCAAATTCTTACTCACGAGACTTATTGATCACCTGACCGAAATTTTCTGCTAAATTTCGCTTTTGCGACTTACTTTTCGTCGATCGGCAATCCGTTCGGACATTTTGTTAGCATCGATAATTGCGCGCAATAATCCTTCGCCTTCGCCACGAAGAGCTGGACCCAGACATTCGGGTCGTCGAATCAACAATCGAATCACGAGATTTGCATTCTCCTCGACGCTCTCGCCTTTAATTGCAAAAACAAATACAATAATTAGACAATTATTTTTGCTTTTTGTTTTACAATTGAAAAACAAGTGCATTTTCTTTTAGTAATCTATCTTTTATTTATATTAATAATCGTTGTATTCCAGTAATCTGTTTATAGACACTTTTTTCAATACTTGAATTCTTTCAAGAAAATGTAATTAAAATTGTATTAAAAGTGATTTAATTCATGGTAAGATTTTTATTAAAAAAATTCTTTATCATAATTTAATTGTTTTGAAGAATTTATTTCAATATTCTTGAAAATAGTGGAGTTTTTTTTAATAATTTTTACTGAAAATTTTGAAAGTAATTGAATTTTATGAAGAATTCAATTATTTTCAACAATTGTAATAAAATTCTTTGCTAAAAGTCAATATACAAATAATAAAAATCTTTTTAAAAAATTCAATTATTTTTATATAAATAATAAAATTCTTATTAGGATTTCACTTATTTTCAATACAATTTTAATTGAATTCCAGGAAAAATTAAATTATTTTTAAACATTTTTTTTTAAATTCTTCGTAAGAATTCAATTATATCAATAAATAGTAAATTTTTCCCAAGAAATAAATTATTTTAAATATAATTTTAAAAAAATTCTTCTTAAAAATAAACTTATTTTTTCAAATTTGTCCATAATTTTAATTATTTGCAGAAATAATAAATTTTTCGCAGGGATTCAATTATTTAAAATTGTTTTAATAAACTTCTATTCAAGAATTCAATTATTTTCAGAAATAATTAAATTGTCGATGCACTGAAAATCATTGAATTCTTGTAAAGTATTATTTATCAAAAAATTTGAATATAATTGAATTGATAAATTGAAATTGGATTTTATAAAGAATTTATTTTAAGTTTTGAAAATAATCGTGTTTATTATTAATTGTAATTAACGATTATCCAATTAAATTATATTAAAATTATTTTCTGGAAAATTTAATTCTTTTAAACAATTTTATTAGATTTTTTGTAAATAATTAAGAATTTTATTAGTTACAAAAATAATTGAATTCTTGCCAAGAATTTTACAATTTATAAAAATAATTGAATTCTTGCCAAAAATGATACAATTTATAAAAATAATTGAATTGTTACGAAGAATTGTTAAAAATAATTGGATTTTTATTAAAACTCTTGAAAATAATTGAATTTAAATAATGTTTTTAAAAATAATTGCATTCTTTTGAGAAATTTTATTAAAATTGTATTGAAAATAATTGAATTTCTGATAATTACTTTATTATTTATGATAACAATAAATAAAAAATAATAAAGAAAAAAATATTTGTAAAAATATAAATTTAATAATTGTTTTGAAGAATATTTAAATTCTATCGAGGAATTTAATTAAAATTGAATTAAAAATAATTTAATTTTTATCTACAATTTTTATCAAAGCTTTTAAAAATAATTGAATTCCTCCGAAGAGTTATTATAACTTATGAAAATATTTCAATTCTTGGGACGAATTTTAAAAAATTATTTTAAATAATTGAATAGTTTCAAAGAGTTTCAATAAAATTTTTAAAAATAATTGAATTTTTAGGAATTTTATCAAAATTGTGATGAAAATAATTGAATTTGTCCAAAAAAATTTATAACTTATAGAAATATGTAATTCAATTCTTGCGATAAATTTTTTTATTTAACTTTTTCACAATATTGAGTTGTTTCAAATAATTTTATTATTTAAATACTGATTAATTTTGTTAATATTTTAGAAAATAGTAAATAAGAATAATTATTTAATTAAAAAATAAATTTTTGAAAATATTGAATTTGAAGAATTGAATAGAAGAACCTTTTCGTCTCGTTTTCTAATAAATTGTCATTTTTCCTACAGCGTTGCTAGTTAAATAATAATGTAATTAAATAATTAACTATTAATTTTTTATAATTAAATCAACGAGAAGAAATAAAACATTTACCATTCACCCAGACGCAAAATCGAAGAAAATCAAGATAACGTTCTCCCTCAACTGGATCCCAGCCCAAATCAGGATATCCCTTTTCCACCAACTCCGAATTCGACTGTAATCCACAACGTGAAAGATAAATTGCAATTTTCTCTAAATAATGTTCCCTCAAGGCCAGCGCCAATTCTGTATTCTCCATGAGCGATGAATAAGACACATCAAGAGGTGTTGATCCTCTCAATGAAGGTCTCGACAATAAAATATTACTGTTCTCCAGTAGAAAATCAAAATGATCAAACATTGCTTTTTGATTTTGTCTAGAAGTTCTGCAGAAGTAGCACAAAAATCGACAGCAAGCAACGACCATTTCGTGAGATGTATCTTTCTCCTTAGTTGGCACTTCGCCCTCAGCTGTCTGAGCCTGAGCCTGACCGTCGGATTGCGCTTGAGCTCTTCTACCGAGAGTGTTGATCATAATCGCCATCACATTCTCATGTATCCTCAGAACTCGAATCAAGTCAGGATGCTGGAAGAACGTGTGATTATTGACCAATTTCCAGAGTCGTTCTCTCACCAGGCCCTCTTCTTCTTGTGACATTTGAACTGGCAGAAGGGCTCGAATCTGACTCAATCCCACCCACATTTCAGCGACATCCTGTTTCGTTTTGCTATTAATCACGTATGTTTTCTCCAAGGCTCGAATCAATTCTCCAACTGTATCGTATTGCCGAACGAGGAGACTGAACATTTCACGAACCAATTTTGGAGTTTCGATTTGTGATTCTTCGGCCCATTTGACGATTGTTGCGATTAGAACTTTTCTGAACACCTCTGGAAAAAAGATCAAATCAATCGAGATTTTTATTTTCCGAAAAGAAAGAAAAGATTTTTTTACCTTCAGCTGTTTTTTTCTGCGGTTCAGGTTCGGGTTTTGCCTCCTCCTCAAGTTCCTTGACAGTATTAATAAAATTGAACAGTCTCTTCATAGCTCCGGGTTTTTCAATTTCCACGATTTCCTGCGCAGCGTCTGCGGCTTCCTGAAGTGCAGTTAATGACACGTATGACATTAGATTACAGTGGAAATCGTTCATTTTCCCTATAAGTTCCTCTCCACATGGACAATTGTCACTGTCATCTTCCTCGAGATTTTTGAAATTCAAAATCGCATTCATTTGCTCACGAGGAGGACAACGGAATTCTCTTGTTTTCTTCGCGGCCACTGCCGAGGGAAGATCGGACTGCTTGATCTCTATATATCTTCGAAGTTGATCGGCTTGCAATTCGCCAACGAAATCGTGACTGAATGATATTATCGACTCGACACGATGACGCAATTGAATGTCATTCAAATGATGAAGCAAATAACACATCTGTAATTTTGCTCCCTCTGCCATTTTCATGTGTAAAAGTCCTTTTTTGTGTTCGTCCTTTCCCTCTATTTGAAAAATACAAAACTTGTAAATCAATTTCAATCGTTTAAGTAAAGAAATTTATTTGCTAAAAATAATTATTAACAAAATTATTAATAAACAAAAATATTCATCAAAAGAAAAATTAGAGAGTTTTCACAGATGATGTCAAAAAAATATTAGCAATTTAAACAAAAATTAATTAACCTTTATCAAAAGTTTCATCCCACGTTTCTGGATTTATCATAATTAGCAATTTTCGTATGTCCTCGTTCCTCAACATTCCGACTAATAAAAGTCTGTCCACAAGTTTGATTAGGGGTCTGAAATGAATTTGAATAAATTTACTGTTCATGAATTAGAACTAAAAAAATATTAAGGATAAAAATTCGAAAGAAATTTAAAATTGTAGCAACATTACATTACAAAAAAAAACAACATTACATAAAATTACATGCTTCATTATTTTGCTATTATATGTAAAAATATTTTAACACTCGAATTTAAAATGTTATGAAAGAGAATTTTTCGTTTTTAAATTTTTTTCTAATTAAGTAATTTAAAATACGAATTTAAAATAATTGAAACATTAGATTATTAATATTTGATGAAAAAAAAGAGTTAAATAAGCGTCAGTCAGACGTCGCTTACATACAAAAAAAGATTTTCGTTACTGCCTCCGATTGGATCTCTGTTGTGCACCTGATTAACTTCGACCGCTTCATTAAGAGCCATCATTACATAATCTCGAACAATATCCAGAGGGAAATGTGGACTGTATAAACTTTTGATGTTCTCAATATTTTGATTCTCTCTAAAATTAAAATTCACAATTTTTAAGAAAGATAAAAATCTAAGGAAGATAAATTTTTTTAATGAAAATATAAATCAGACGAAGATAAAAATAAAAATGTAAATAAAAATCTAGTGAAGATAAAAATTTAACGAAGAGAAAAATCTAATGGAAATTTAATGAAGAGAAAATTCTGACGGGGATAGAATCTAATAAAGATAAAAATCTAACGAAGGTAAAAATTTTTACGAAGATAAGAAAATCTAATAAAGATAAAAATATAGATATAAAAATATTGTTATGGATTAATAAAGGAACTTACCCTATTTCGCTCATTTTCATTTGAGGACGAACAGACTCGGTCTCTAGATACCTCAAACTGTGTCTCATTTCGACATCTTCATACAAATCTTTCAGCTCTTGTCCTAAAAGAATAATTTTTAAATTTAGTCCATAATTTATTACAAAATATGTTTTAAAATTAATTATAAAGCTTATTTTAAAAACAACTAATTATAAAATATTATTTTAAAACTAATTATAAAATTTATTTTTAAATTAATTACAAACTTTATTTTACTATTTAAATTATTTTTAGCTATTTTAATAATTATTTAGTATAATATACTAGAAAATATATTATATTTTCTTCTCTTTTTCTTTTAATTTCTAAGATTGATTTTAAATTAATAAGTCAATTTTTTAATGTGAAAAAAATCAAACACAATAAGTATTAATTTTAAAAGTTGGAGGAAAAAAACAAGAAACACTACTGGGACGAAAATTTGACTCTTGACAATTATTTCCAAGGGAAATTTACTTATTTGTTACCTAATGGAATGACGTATTCGTTTTTGCAAACTTCCATCGTGGTGGCATGGGACTCGAGATGCAGTGCGATTAGAAGATCATAAAATCCTTGACGCAAGGGTCCCGACATATACTCTGCTCTTATGGCGTACAATAATTGTTTCTGATCAACATGTTGACACAAAGCGTGCGCTGCTCTGTAGTTTGATTGGTAGCACAATGCGGCATAGAGTGTCAAAGTGTGTGCATGAAAACTGTAATAGTCAACAATATTTATAATTTATTTTTGACGATAAACTGCAATTATCATGAATAAAAAATGAAAAAACGAAAAAAGAAAAGACAAAAAAAACGAAAACAAAGACCAGAAATGAACAAACAAAATTATAAATTATTATTAATAAATATTATAAAATAATTATATTATATTATATTATATCTCGAAAGAATACCATTATTTTTTAGAAAATATTAATTAAATTCGATTTTTCTCAAGAATTTTAAAATAAATTCAATTATTTTTAACAATTTTAATGAAATTCTGTTTAAAAAATCTTTATTTTCAAAACTTTTAATAAAATTCCTTTAAAAAATTCAATAATTTTCAATACAATTTTAATAAAATTTCTAGAAACAATTTAATTATTTTGATGAATTGTAAAATCCCCCGCAAGAAATCAATTATTTTAATAAATAAGAAAATTCTTCGCATGAATGAAAATATTTTCATAAATAATAAAATTCTACAAAGGAATTCAATTATTTTCATAAAAATTAAAATGTTTCGGAGGAATTCAATTATTTTCAATACAATTTTAATAAAAATTTCTTGAAAGTATACAATTATTTTTAAAAATATTATTTAAATTCAATTATTTTCAAAAGTTTTAATAAAAATTCAATTAATTTCAAGAATTCTGATAAAAAATTCTTCGAAACAATTTAATTATTTTTGAAATTAATAAAATTCTTCTTAGAAATTCAATTATTTTCAATACAATTTTAATTAAATTTCTAGGAAAAAATCCAATTATATTCAAGATAAATTTACTAAAAGGTTCAATTAATTTTAAAAATTGTTATACATTTTTTTTAAACAATTCAATTGTTCTCAAAAGTTTTCAATAAAATTCTTTCTAAATTTCAATTATTTTCAAAATTTTCAATTAAAATTACATTATTTTTTACGAAATTTAATAAAATTCTTCAAAAAAAATGTAATTATTTACATAAAAATCTAATAAAATTGTTTAAAAGAATTAAATTTTCTAAGAATAATTTTAATATAATTTAATAGGAAAATCGTTAATTACAATTAATAATAAACACGATTATTTTAGAAACTTAAAAGAAATTCTTCTTAAAATTCAATTATTTTCAAAATTTTCAGTAAAAATTATTAAAAGAAACTTTATTATTTTCTCGGTGAATTTTTACGAGATTTTTAAAAATAATTGAACTTTTCAAAGAAATCAATTAAAATTGTATTGAAAATAAATGAAATCCTGATAAGAATTTTATTATTTATATAAAAATAATTGAATTTTTTTTCAAAGATTTTTATTATTTATAAATGGACTTTTTGCAAAGAATTTTATTACAATTATTGAAAATAAGTGAATTCTTCATAAAATTCAATTACTTTCAAAATTTTCAGTAAAAATTCTTTTAAAAAAACTTTTTAAATTTTCAAGAATAATGAAATAAATTCTTCAAAACAATTCAAATATTTTAAAGAATTTTAATAAAAATCTTGCCAAGAATTAAATTATTTTCAATATAATTTTAATTACATTTTCTTAAAAGAATTCAATTATTGGAAAAAATGTCGATAAAATTCTTGAAATGAATTCAATTATTTTTAAATTTTTTTATAAATACTTTACAAGAATTCAATAATTTAAAAATTTTAAACATTTAAAAAGAAAAATTATTTAAAAAGTTAGGAAACAAAAAAGCTAAGAGCAACTAACTTCAAACTGCAAACAGATAACCGGAATACAACGATTATAAATATAGTAGATAGAAGATAGATTAGAAATAACTAAGAGTCACTAACAAAAGTTTATCAAATTCCCCTACCTCAGCATCTTATCCATTTCGATTAATTCCAAAATATCAATGCACCGATCCTCTTCGGGTATATGAAGCGCCAGCATTGAGATCGCATCTTCGCAGAGCATGGACCATCCGCGAATATCTGACAATTTCAAAGCGTGCACCTGAAGAGACTGATTGGGCACCCTCGCCCACTGATGGGGTTTCAAGCATTGAACCTTCAGTCTTGGTGGAAATTGTGGAATCACATGACGCTCTGAATTCTGCAAAACAGCTGCCGACAATGGCAGAGTTGTCGACGTTCTTCCAAGTTCAATTTGCAAAATTTCCTTACTCGTCGCCTCAACGAATATCGCCGGAAAGAGTTTTGTATCAGGTTCCATTTTAAATTTGTGACTCGTCTCCTTACCCTCGCAGGTGAAACTCACCCAACCCGTGGCTGTATCGACGAAACAGCCAATAAACATTCCCTGCGATGCTCCTTTACCCGACGCGTCCTGTGTCACTTCGTTGTAGAGTTCATCTGCTCGCACCATGTAGCAACTTTGCCGATCCACTCTGAATAAAAGATACGAAAAAATTAATAGTGAAAAATTAGTAATTAATAAAAAGTAGTTAATGAATAGTAATTTGTAATTAGTAATCAATAATTACTAAATAGATAATATCAACTGCTTACTGTTCCAAAGGCTGATCGTAATTATCAGTGATGATCACCGATACTTTTCGGACTTTGGACAAATTAAAGTCCTTCGTATGAATGTGATACTGAGATGTAACCCAACCGACATAAACGTGAGTTGGATCCTGACCGGGAAAAATGCGAACACCGTAGAAATATTCATTCATTAATTTCAAACAATCAGCATCGAAAATTTCATTTCCAATCGATTCGATTCCAGTTCCGGTCACTACAGACATTGCTTTCGGAGCGTTCCTCTCCGGAATTTGTGGTGGCACCATTTTTGTTAAATCATTCTGCAAATTTTGATAAATTGCCAATTCAATAACAATTTAATTTTTCAAAATAAAATAAATAACAATTTTTTAAAATTAAAATTCTAATTACAATTGAAATTTATTAAAATTTAAATTCTACAATTGAAATTTATTAAAATTAAAATTCTGATTAAAATTGAAATTTGTTAAAATTAGAATTCTGATTACAACTGAAATTTATTAAAATTAAAATCGGAATTTTAATTAAGAGTGAAATTAGAACTTTTAAATTAAAAAAAAATTTAAATTTCAATTAGGTAAGATTTAAGTTTATTGAAATTAAAGTTAAATTTGAATTAAAAATTATCGAATTTAAAATTGAAAATAAAAAAACCTACAGTTGAGGCTCTAATTTGCGTAGTTCGTGCGGCTGTGAGAGTTGCTTGCTTCATACTCCTATCGGAAACATCAGACCTCGCATATGGTTCCGGAGTCTTGGCCTTCACCTCTGGAGATTTTGCCTTCCTCGAGAAAAATCTAGACACGTTCGAACTGGAATAAGTCTTCTATACAAAACGGCATTTCAAATCTGTATTTTTTTTTATTCATTTCATAAAATTTGTTTTTAAATTAAAATCAAAAGAAAATTCGAGGAGTTAAAAAATAGGTCATTGTCCTTATGTTGAACCTTGTTTTTATATAGCAAAATGATAAAATAGCAAATTAATTAAATTCTTGGCAGGGGAATCAAAATTACGTCAGTAAAGTTAACAACTCTTATATATGATCAATAATTAAAAGAAAAAAAAATTTTGCCTGAAAAAAAATAAAATATTTTCTTTATTTTTTCTTTTTCAAATTCGTGGTAAAAAAAATTATGCGCAAAATATTCTTTGTAGAAAAATATGTAAAAATTGAAATAAAGAAACATTTTTTTTTTCTAAATCGTTGATTATATTTTTGTTAACTTCATCAACGTTTAAAATTCTGGATAGAAATTAAATGAATATAATGAAATCAAATGATTCAAATTCTAATGAATCAAAAACAAATGAATCGGAAATAATTGATTCAAATAAAATTCAAATAAAATATTGAAAAACAGATGATTCAAATTCAAATGATTCGAAATCAGATGATTTAAAATCAAGTATTTCGAAATCGGATGATTTGATATCAAATGAATAAAAAAACAAATGATTCAGATTCAAATGATTGAAATGATAATATATATATATAGTGAAAGTCGAAACAATTCTCTTTCGGAAAAAGTATTTAAAAATCTAAATGTCTAACATTGGGTTTTCATCATATCCATAACTTACGCGATATCTTCCATTTCGTTACTATGCTTGCTGAGAGAAATAAATTTAAAAATTAGAATTTATCCAAAAAAGTAAATCAAATTGATCAGAATTAATTTATCCGACTCAAAGAGAAAATAATTACCGAAATGGAGATCGTCCACGTTTTTTCTTATCATCCTTGAGATCGCCATTCATTTCCCCATAGCCGTTCATTTCATTTTCACTTGTCGCACGATCTAAACCACGAGGAACAGATCCTTTACGCGGCGGTCTCGAGGGTTTATTTCGTTGAATTGGCAGCGGTGATTCCTTCATCATTTCATCATTCTCCACAGCGTCCTCGGAATAATTTCTCTGCAAACCTTTAATATCACTCATACTGAATCCAGATCGCATAATTTGTTCAATATGAGCCGAAGGTGTTGACTGTTGCACTTGCTCCATTTGTTCAGCCAGAAGTCTATTTTGCTTCATTTTAATTTCCTGCCATCGTCTCGTTTTATCCGATTCGGATATAAAAGTCGCACCGCAAATAACTGGCAATGAGAGACGTAAAAATTCCCAATTCGCCTTCTCCATTGTCTCGAAGGTATTGTGAGAAATTTTCAAACACGGCGGTGAATCCGAACCGGCTGGTATTCTAGCCACGTCGATTCTCGTATCGGACATGTCGTCCGTATTTTCATAAATTGCCTGATCCTTTGTGTACCAATAGGTCACCGGTCGATTCATATTTCTGCGAAAATAAATTTCAAAAATAAAATTTTTAATGAATCATTTTGAAGAGCAACATTTGAAAATAAATTTTATTAATCGAATAAGAAAAAAATGTTAATGAAAAAAAAAAATTGTAATTTCTTACACACAAAATGGTTCGTAGCCCTCCTGCAAACCGCAGGTGGTGAAAAATTTCAGTGTATCAACATCCTGACCGAATGTTAATTTAGCCTTTTGTCCAACTCCCAAAGTAAAAGCGGGAACAAATGAATCTCCCTGGACGTCGGCAAATGAAGTTTCTCCTCCCAAAGCATCCATGAGAAGTTCTCCATTCAGCGAAAAACCTAAATATAAAGAAATTTCTTTTTAATGAAAAGTAATCAAAAAGTAAAAAATTTCTCATAACGAAACGGCTGACTTGACATTCTTTCAAAAAAAAAAAAGAAGAATATTGCTGAATCAAACAACTAAAAGTAAAAAATTGCTCATGCAACCGACTATATTACAGCGAAATATTTTTTTCTTTAAAAATCAACTTTTTTTTTAACAGGAAGTATAAATTAGAATTTTACAAAAATTTATAAAAGAATCACTAAATTTTTTTATAATAATAAAAGTTAGTCATTAAAAGTCAGTCAGCTTATCGATAAGATTAATACGAGCATATGGACCAAGCAACAGAAAAGCTAAATACGCGAAGTATACTTTGTACACTTAAAATAAGTACAAGTGTACTTGCATATATATGAGAGACGTGTTAGGTGAACAGAAAACGAAAAAAAGGGACAAATTTTTGTTTAGAATTAACACACAAATACATTTTGTTAAAAAAAATTCTGTATACAATTTTTTCTACTCCTATTGCATCAAATTATTTCAATTTTTGACCAAAGCAATTAATTCTATTATTTTAATTTTAATGATCCACAAATATTGATCGTTCAAATGAACGACATATTTTTTATTGCAAAATATTTTTATTAAAGCTAAATTACCGATTAAAAATTAGACCACAAGATAAAAAAAATTAAATGTAACATTTAGAAACTAAACATAATTTTTTTTATAGTGATAGCAAAATTATTGTAATAAAAATTAAATTTGAAGAAGGAAAAAATTTCCCTCATTAGAACGTTCTGAATTCTAGGATCTTTTTTTGAATATTCATTTTCAATTCTGAATAATTGCTATCAAAATTAAATTTTTTACTGTTTATTTATAATTACTTATTCACTATTTATCTTTTTTTACCACTTTAAATAGCTGAAATGTTTTTATGTTTTTAGCCCTAAAAGTTTACCAATATACAAAAATGAACAAAACATAAATTGAACTGAATTTAATAATTCGAATTTTTAAGTAAATTTTATTATAAAAACTATTTCCTATTTTTTATTTTTTATTTACGAAATGGTTATTGATTGTTCTTTAATTATTCACCAATTTAGTAAAAAAATCTAGTAAATAAAAAACTGCATAAAGATATTAAACTTTGGGAAATAAAGGGCATGCCAAATATTATAATTATAATAAATTCAGAGAATTTGAATTGAATCGAATTTTTCTCTTCTATTTAAAATTTTATAATTTGTGATCGCTGATTAATTAATGTTAAGCGTGTAAAGTAGTAATGAAAAAGCAATTCTTCGCTAAATTATATATTCAAAGTATACTGGATACCTCTCTAAATGAAAATTCTATTAAAATACGAAAATTTACTCGAAAAACAAGAATTATTTTTTTCTTTTAAATATTTTTGTATTTTTTTTATTTACACATTTTTTTAATATTTCTTATTAAATTATTTATTTTTTAAATAGTGATATATATTTAAAATATATTTTCTGTTTCGAATATTTATTAATTAAATTTTTAATATTCATATTTTTTTCAACAGAAAAAAATCGAATAGATGTGTAAAGGAATTAATTTAACGTCAAGTGATTAGGAATATTAAACAGAAAACAAAAAGGAAGACATTATGTTAATATACATATATATATAGAGTGAATACATATTTAATACAGATTATAAATTAAAATATATAGATTTCAGATCGAAAATATTGGTAGTAAAAACATTTAATGAAGCTCAAATGGAAATGATATCCAGTAATCTACTTTGACAACTAGATTATTAATTATTTATAGCTTTTATAAATTGGCAGCTGAAACTTTTCGCCTAAAAATTCCGTCTTACTAATTGTTCGATCTATAAGATCCAGGAAAACCCCAACAACGTCTCCAACTTGCCATTGTTTACCGAATGTTTCAGCAGTGCCCGAGTAAACTTTTTCCTCCTTGAAAGAAACACCAGTGTACATTTCGAATTTTTCTTTTTCACATAAAATTTTTAACAATTATAATTATTTTCAATTGTTCCACAATTTTTTTAAATTCTCTACTTGATAAATTTAAAAGAACAGATTCATACTTTTTTTATTTCTTCTATTTTTCTATTTCTTTTAATTATCTTTTTTTTTTAAATTTTTTATTTCTTTTCTTTTAGTTTTTTATTTCTTTTAGTTCTTTATTTCTTTAAATTATTTTCTTTTAGTTTTCATTTCTTTTAATTTTTTTATACTTTCCTAGAATAAAAAAAAATCTTCCTAACAATAAACTTATTCCCGATATTTTACTAAAGTGATAAATTCGCTTATTACAATTTTTGATTTAATAATAATTGTAAACGATAATTTTGATATTATCAGCGTAAATATCTGGCACACAACAAGTGTCTAGAATATTTTTTCTTTTGTTTTAAACAATTTGATTTAATGACAATGCATGAACGCTGTTAAATAACATTTGGGAGACATAATAATTAAGTCACGAAATTGATTTACATTTTTTTCAACATACTGTCACATTGTAGTTGATTTATGTGAAAATGCGCTGTGAAAAATAAATTCAAAATAAAAATTGTAAATATTTTGTCGAGAATCATAATTTTCAAAAATGAAATAATAAATGTCAAGTGTAGAAAGTTTTTCTATTTTTCTAATTTTTCTAGACGTTTTTTTTCTAGACGTTCAATTTAGAGAGTTTAATCTAAACTAGAGTGCAAGCTTTTAGAACACTGTAGTATATAAATAAAATTTCGAAAATAGCTAAAATCTAAAGTCTAATTTTAAAAAGCACTATATTTACATATAATGATATAAATATGGAAATTAAGAAAGAAAAAATCAAAATTGTAAGAAATGGAATCCCAAGAGCGATTTTAAGGCGAAATTCTTGAAGTTTCGATAAAAATGAGTTTAAATTTTTTTTTGATAACTAAGAATAAAATATTTTTTCTACTCTGAGGATTTTCTTTAAATTAAAATATTATTTTTCTTTTAACGTAATGAAGAGTGAATGATTCGATTGCAACAACTTGGTTAAAAAATAAATTGAATGAAAATTCTATTTCATTCTCTTGGGAATAAGGTTGCAAACAAAAAAAGTCAACATGTATAAACATAGAGCGTGACTGGGACAAAAGTAGTAACGAAAAAAAAACAAAAAAAAAAGGATGTAAGAGTTTTTTTAGACTGCTATGGGTAAATGAAACTCTTACTGATCGTTCTGTCTGCGACGTCAATGAAACAGCCGACTACATCGCCCACTTGATATTTATGACCAAAACTCTCGTTGGTACCACCATGTACTTTGATCACCTAATATTCACAATTACTTTCAAATATTCATTCTGTTTAGATGATTTTTTTAAAAAATCAATGTTTAGTATCACTACCTGCGACAGTAATTGACAATCCCTGTTTTTCTAAAATACAACTAATCCTTATTTGCATAAATCATTATTCAGATATTTCAGATACTTTCGAATTCTTTTTGAATTACTTTATGCTTATAGAATTACTTTTTTCTTTTTTAATTACTTTTTCTTTTTCAATTACATTTTCTTTTCGAATTAAATTTTTCTTTATAAATTATTGTTTTCTTTTTGAATTATATTTTTTTTCGAATTATATTTTTCTTTTTGAATTAATTTTTTCTTTTTGAATTACTTACTTAATTACATTTTTCTTTATGAATTACTTTTTTCTTGTTGAATTACTATTTTCTTTTTGAATTAATTTTGACTTCTCTTTGAATAATTTTCGAATTTTGTTTGAATTGCTTTTGAATTCTTAGAGAAATTCAAAATTTCTTTTCTGTAAATTCAAATGAAGAGAAATTAGGAAAATTTTGTGAAAATTGTAATCTTACGTTGTAACCATCGAATGCCCAGGTACTGTCATCATTGCCAAGCATATTTCCCGGTGGACAATCGGCTCTTGCCCATCCTACTCTCATTGGTCCGGCCGTCAACACTTGAAATTCAAAATACCATTTTCCGCTCGTAACTGCATAATGCCTCTCCACTCGATATGTTCGAAAAGACAATTGACGTAATCGACTCGCCTCCAATAGCAACGCTGTAGGAAAATTGACAATTCATTAAAAAACGAGACGAAAAGATTTTTCTATTCAATTCTTAAAATTCAATATTTTCAAAAATATATTTTTTAACGAACTAATTATTCTTATTTATTATTTTCTAGAATATTAATAAAATTCTTTGAAACAAATCAATTATTGTGAAAAATTTAAATAAAAAAATTTATTTATCCTAAAATTTATTCATAAGTTATAAAACTTTTCGGAGGTATTCAATTATTTTCTAATAAATTTAAAAAAAAATTCTAGACAGAATCCAATTATATTGTGCTGTTATTTTGTTTGGATTTAAATCCAGAATCCAATTATTTTTAAATATTTTAATAAAATTCGTCGAAAGAATTCAATTATTTTCAATAAAATTTTGATCTGAATTTCTCAAAAGAATTTTAATTTTCTTTGAAACAATTTTAATTATTTTCAAAATCTAAAAAAAAATTCTTGGCTAGAATTCCTATTTTTACAAATATTCTTTTCTTTATTATTTTTTATTTTATTATTCTCATAAAGAATAAAGTAATTCTCAGAAATTCAATTATTTTCAATACAATTTTAATGAAATTTCTCGAAAGAATTAAATTATTTTCAAAAATTTCCATGAAATTATTCGAAACAAGTAAATTATTGTCAACAATGAAAAAAAAATTAGTTTCAAGAATTGAATTATTTTTCAAAGAATTCAATTATTTTCAACACATTTTTAATAAAATTTCTTAAAGGATTCAATTGTTTACAAAAACATTGATGGATTTTTTCGAAATAATTCAATTTTATTGTCAAAAATTTATAAAGAAATTTATTGCAAGAATTAAATTAAATATTTTCATAAGTTATAAAATTCTTTGGAATAATTCAATTATTTTCAACACAATTTTAATAAAATTCTTTGAACAATATTCAATTATTTTCAAAAAATTTTTTCAAATTCGTCCCAAGAATTGAATTATTTTCATAAATAATAAAATTCTGTGGAGAAATTTAATTATTTTCAATCCTACTTTAATAATATTTTTTAATAGAAATTAAATTATTTTAAGAAACTTTAATGAAATTTTTCAAAACAATTCAATTATTGTCAAAAATTTATGAAGAAATTTATTGGAAGAATTGAATTAAATATTTTCATAAGTTATAAAATTCTTTGAATGAATTCAATTATTTTCAACACAATTTTAATAAAATTCCTTGAAAAATTCAATTATTTTAAAATTTTTTAATAAATTCTTTGAAAAAATTCAATTATTTTCCAAAATTTTTTAAAAATTCGTCCCAAAAATTAAATTATTTTCTTAAATAATAACATTCTTAGAAGAAATTTAATTATTTTCAATCCAATTTTAATAATATTTTTTTTTAAAAATTCAATTATTTTAAGAAACTTTAATGAAATTTTTCAAAACAATTAAATTATTGGCAAAAATTTATGAAGAAATTTATTGGAAGAATTGAATGAAATATTTTCATAAGTTATAAAATTCTTTGGACGAATTAAATTATTTTTAACACAATTTTAATAAAATTCCTTAAAAAATTCTATTATTTAAAAAAAATTTAATAAATTCTTTGAAACAATTCAATTATTTTCCAAAATTTTTGGAAAATTCGTCCTAAGAATTGAAGTTTTGTCGCAAGAATTGCATTATTTTTATAAGATATAAAATTCTATAGACGAATTCAATTAATTTTAGTCCAATTTTAATTAAATTGAAATATTTTAATTATTTTCAAAAGTTTTAATGAAATTCTTCGAAACAATTCAATTCTTTATAAATTTTTTTTAAAAATTCTATGCATAGAATAAATAATTCTATGCAAGAATTATTGAATTATTTAAGATTCAAAATTATAAAAGTTGAAAAAATTAGGATAACATTGTATCGATAAAAAAATATAATCTTTTTAAAATTTTTTAAATTCAGTTGTTAATGCAAAATTATGAGAAATAATATTTTTTAAATTTTCTTGGGAAAATATTTTTACTAAGCATAATTAATATTTTTATTTTTTAATCTTTAAAGCATTAAATTAGAATTTCATTAACTTTAAAATTCAAAACGTAGGTAAAAAGTAAAGTATGTAATCAAAAAAGTTAGAAAACCATAAAGAAAACAAAAAAGACTAACTTCAGATTGGAGACAGTTTACGAATTCGACGATTATTAATCTAGAGAAAGTATAGATTGAGAAAAGAGAAAAATATACCCTCGTGCTGTTCTCCAGTCGGTGGATCCAACATGTATCCATAAACGAGTAAAGTTCTCACAGTTTCACTGGCAGTGTCACGATTAGCTTTCTTAATCGCATCATCGACTTTAGGATAGGGAACAAGATGCGGACTCCGTCTCATTTCGGAATCTTCATTAAGTCCATAAGTCCAGCCCTGACTGATTCTCTCCTTAGCCCACAAATTATGCGTATTCTCCGCCAACTCATCGACAAGTTCCTCCATTTTTGGAGTCAAGGTAATTGCACTCAAATCAAGGGGCGCCGGCTTATATCCACTGCTCTGTAAAAAAGGTTCATTCGGCAACCTCAGCGTCTTAATTCTCGAGGGAGGTTTATCCATCGTTATATAATAACCCAAGGCAAGAATTGTCTTCAGCGTTTGAACAGCCAACTGCGTGTCATATCTCTTCTCAGCCGCCGGTAATCTCTCAAACTGTACAATACAAGGATGAATTTTATTCATATCATCCCTCTGCTCACCGAAAATCCATCCCGCTTCGATTTTATTCATAGCCCACATTTCGTGAATATTTTCCGCCAATTTGTCCCTTATCTGTTCAACATAACCCGGTAAATTGATCATCGCCGTGTCAACTGGCGCCGGCACAAAAGCAGTGTCATCCTCAACAAGCCATGGACCAGCAATCACCACTTTGCCCATATTTCCAAAATAGAAACAAGGATCCAACGAGAGAATTTGCTGCGGTAGGAGACTCTCAACCAATGGCGAGAACTCCTCAGGTGGTTCGAATTTAAGTCTCCCGTGATCACCGCCAAGTAGAAATCTACAAGACAATTTCGACGAGCAACTTATAACAGGAAAGAACATTCCGTCGAGATTGAAATTTCGAAATGAGCCATTTATGGGTATTCCGTTGAAGGCAAAATTAATGACCGGTACTGTTAAATCCAGGGAACATCCAATTACATCCGTTTTTTTTATGAACGGCTCGGTTGAGTCATCTATGACGCGAGTTTTTCTTCCACCCGTCCAAAGGTAGGAGCCATCGAAACCAAATGAATAGAGATCGTCACCGACTCCATTGCCACCCCATTTTTCACCACCACCTGGATATGGAACGTAACCGGCGGTATTCGCCCAACCGATTCTCAAATGTGGCATCATGTGTGTTGTCTGCTCGATATGATCGACTGTCACTTCGAAATACCATTTTTGATAGAGTGCCGAGCCCTCGACTCTGCCCACGAATATATTTGGCCTCACACTCGCCACATGATCGACCAATTGTGTCTGTAATAATAGATTCTTTCCGGGTAGAAGAAAATCGCAAATATTGTTCTGTGACGAACGGACTGCTACTCCATTACCCACGCATAGGGAGCAGAGTACGTCCAGGACTTTTGGATCTCTTCCATGTTTTTCCAGAAGGGATATTATCACCTTGATGTGCTCGTCCTGAAAAATGGAAAAACGTAATTAAAAATTGAAGAGTGTAATTAAAAATGGAAAAGTGTAATTAAAAATAGAAAAATTTAATTAAAAATAGAAAAATACAATTAAAAGAAGAAAAATTTTATTCAAAATGGGAAAATGCAATAAAAAATAGAAAAACGCTATTAAAAATAGAAAAACGTAATTAAAAATAGAAAAAACGTAGTTGCTACGAAAATTCCATTTTTTCTTCTCCTGATTTCTCCCTAATTTCAAGACAAAAATTCTACTTTTTCCCTGAACCTTGTAAAAAAAATCTAATGGGAGTTAAATTATAAAAAAATTATTATTTTTATAGGAGAAAATTTTATTTTGAAATTTTAAGGGTGTCTACATATTTTAAAAACAAAATCAATTTTTATAATGAACTTTCTTCGATTATTTTCGAGAATTTCAATACAATTCTTCCAAAATTCAATTATATTTAATAGAATATCAGAAAACTTAAATTATTTCAAAAAATTTCAATTACTTGTTCATAACTAACTTCTTTCGATTGTTTTCAAAAATTTCAATAAAATTCTTCAAAGATTTAATTATCTTTAATGGAATATTAGAAAATTTCAATTATTTAAAAAAAATTTTAACTACCTATTTATAAAAATGCACTTGACTTTCATAAATAGATCTGAAATATTTAGAACAATTACTTTTGGAATTTTAAATGGAATTTTTCGAAAATTCAATTTTTAGACAAAATTTTTAATTTAAATCTTCTTAAAATTAACTAATTAGATAAAAATTGTAATTGTAACTCTTTCGAACTTAAGTTATTTTAGATGCAATTTTTGACAGTTTATTGATAAGACTGAAATCTGCAACGATTTTAAAAATCTAAAATTAAATTAAATTTAAAAATCTAAAACTAAAAATCAAAACTGATTGTTAGTTAAAAGACAATTACTGAAAAATAAAATAATAATAACAAATTATTAAATTAAAACTCCTCAAATATTAGATATTCTAAAAATCTCTAATAAAATTTCTTAACAAATTTAATTATTTTCAATTTTATTTCACAAAATTTCACTTAATTTGATGATTCTTCAATAAATTTTATTTAAAACATTCAAATATTTTTAAAAAAATTGAATTAAAATTTTTCTCAAATCTAATTTTTTACAAATTTTAAACAAAATTTATTTCAAAATTTGAATAATTTTCTTAGAAATATTAAATTATTAGTAATTTTTCCATAGCAATTGAAATTTTCGAAAAATCTTTTTTAAATTAATTATCATAATTAATGACATTGAAAAAGTTAATCTAGAATTTAATTATTTAAAATGAATTGAATTATTTACAGAAATAAGAAAAAAATCATAGCATTATTCTAAAATTCATTGTGATTATAAAGCTTTAAAAGTAAAAAAAAAATTTAAAGAGAATTCAAAATTTTTAAGTTTTACAAAAATATGTTTTTATAGAAAAAACCGGAATTTTGATAATAATTCTAGAAATTTGATATTTCCCCATACTTTTAATAAAATCCTCTGCCATTTCCCTGATTTCCTTGACTATACTAATTTTTCATGACTTTTCTCTGATTTTTAACGATAATCCTGTAATTTGGTCTTCGAGACTGTAGGATTTATTTCAATAAATATTAAATTAAATTAAATTAAACAATAAAAAAGGAAACTAAAAATCAAAACACCGTTAAAAAAAGGAAAACGTAATTTAAAATGAAAAAACACAATTAAAAATGGAAAAATGTAATTAAAAATAGAAAAACGTAATTAAAAACGGAAAAACACAATTAAAAATAAAAAAACGTAGTTCCAAATAGAAAAATGCAATTAAAAATAGAAAAACGTAATTTAAAATGAAAAAACACAATTAAAAATAGAGAAATGTAATTAAAAATAGAAAAACGTAATTAAAAACGGAAAAACACAATTAAAAATATAAAAATGTATTTCAAAATAGAAAAATGCAATTAAAAATAGAAAAACGTAATTAAAAATAGAAAAACGTAATTTAAAATGAAAAATCACAATTAAAAATGGAGAAATTTAATTAAAAATAGAAAAATGTAATTTAAAATGAAAAAACACAATTAAAAATGCAGAAATGTAATTAAAAATAGAAAAACGTAATTAAAAACGGAAAAATACATAAAAATAGAAAAATTTAATTAAAAATAGAAAAACATAATTAAAAATAGAAAAACGTAATTTAAAATGAAAAAACACAATTAAAAATCGAGAAATGTGATTAAAAATAGAAAAACGTAATTAAAAATGAAAAGAAAAACAATTAAAAATAGAGAAATAAAATTAAAAACAGAAAACCGCAGTAAAAAATAGAAAAACCTAATTAAAAATAAAAACACAATTAAAAATAGAGAATTGTGATTAAAAATGAAAACAAATAAAAATAAAAACTATTAAAAATAGTAAAACCTAATGAAAATTAAAAACACAACTAAAAATAATAGAACACACATTGAAAAGTTACAAATATTAAAAAAAAAAATTACTGAAAATGCTAAAATTGAAAGAAAAACCCACTAGTCAACAAGATGACATTACTGTCAAAAATTATTATAATTACCCTCATCATGTTTAATGCTTCTGGCGAGTCAATAAGCACGCAATGTAGTACATCCAACATTCCAGTTCCCTCGCTTGATGCCTGAGAACCTAATCGACTGAAGAGCCAATTAAGACGATTGCTATTTGCAAATTGTGCACAATTCGTGTGATTGCCTTTAATAATGGCTGCCAATAATTGATACAGATAACCAGATATTTGGTCCCATGATTGTCCACTTTCATCGCCAGAAAGTGATACCAAAAATCCTTGAGATGTGATGACATTTATTTTATCAATGGCTTCTAAAATAAGATTCAAAATTCCCTCCTCTTGAAACAGGTCCTGACGATTTCTTAAGGCACGAATCTTATTTTGCTTTTCCTCATGTTCTAAAATAAGAAAAAGGACAATGTACAAAAATGCAGGTTCAGTTTAAATAAATAAATGAATGAACAAGTAAATAAATAAATGAATGAATAAATAAACGAGTAAATGAAAGAATAAATAAACGAGTAAATAAATGAATAAATAAACGAATAAATAAATTGAAAATAGAAATAAAAGAAATGGTACTGAATGATGTTCGGAAAAGAATTGTTTTTCTTAAATCTGAAAATTTCTACCCATATCATCTTCAGGTTGAGCAAAGTAATTGATCAAATCCTCGAGGCACATAACCATTTCGTTGAGATTTACATTTTTGAAAAACTGCGAAGCCCTTCGATCAACCTGCAGCGTTTCTAGTCCACTATAAAAAAAAATATATTTTTTTGTATTTCTCCAATTTTATCATTCAAAAATTCAAAGCCTATGGGTAGGGAAAAAGAAAATGTATTGAAATATGAACTAAAACTCTTTAAGTCGATTTTTTCTAATTTTGTTAAAAATAAGAGAACAAAAATTTTGCCTACATTAGTTTTTAATTTTTTTAGGATTCAAAAAATGAATTTAATTAAATAAAATATTTTGCTTTAATAATTATTATCGTCGTATGTATTGTGGTATTATTATGATAGTAATTATGATAATTATTAAATGGTAGTAAAAGTGAGCTATTCTTACGTGATGAATTGTGTGAAAAGACTACTGCATTTTCTAATTACTCTGGCAGTTCTCGATTCCTCCTCTTGTGATCGGGAAAAATCAAGACCGTCGTCCATTTTTCCTTCCTCTTGCAGAACTGCCTGTTTTTCTTCAACTTTTCCAACGCCTTTCTTTTTCGTTTCGTATGACTGCAAACAAATACAATTAATAAAAAAAAAAATAGGGAGAAAAATAGAAAAAAAAATTAACAGCAGTGATTTTTTACAATTTTTCGAAATTTTAATTCTTTTTTTTTTCTGTATTGAATAATTCACCTTGTAAGACACCCAAAGGCTCGTTTGTGCATGTTGCATGATAACAGTCGAATCTCCATATTTGATAATTGGCAATCCAATAACTTCCAGGTCTTTGTCCTCGAGGGCAACTTTTTGATCATCTTTTTCTTGGCGTAGTAAAAAATTACATATATCAGTGGTTGCCTCTTTTCTGTAAAAGGGAAATAAAATACTCTAATTAAATTCTCAATTTCTACATAGTTCAATTTATTTAAAACTACTGTTTTGAATTTAAAAAAAATATAATTTTTAATTTATCCAAAAATTTAATTAAAAATTTTATTTTATTAAAAATAAATAATAAATTAATTTAAGTTTACACTGAGTTTATTTATTTATTGGTTCATTTTCAGGCTCAAATTCTTTAGCACAAAATACTTAACAATAAATAAATTAATAGTACAATTGAACTTAGCAAAAAAAAAAAAAAATTTAATACAAAAAACATTTGATAAAAAATAAAAAAAGAGATTTTCTTCTATACAAAATTTATAGAATTGATTGTATAGTGAAAAAATAGTAAAAGTGATTAATTTTTTGTCAGATTATTACTTGTCAACGAGATAAAGTTCATTATTTGTTTCATTAACACCCAAATAGCGTCCAGTGGTTAAATGTCTAATTCTCATTGGATGCATCCAGTTAATAAAGCCACCGGACCATTTTGTCCTCGCGAGTTCCAATCGCCACAGGGATCGAGCTTGACTCATAACACTTCCTCCTTCGTAAATAACCATACTGCAAATTTTCAGAGAATTAGAAAAATATATATTAATTTCAAAATAAATATTTGAATTTATTCATTGCAATAAATATTTGAATTTATTCATTTCAATAAATATTTGAATCCATTAATTTCAATAAATATTTGAATCTATTAATTTCAATAAATATTTAAATTTATTTACTTCAAAAAATATTTGAATTTATTCATTGCAATAAATATTTGAATCTATTAATTTCAATAAATATTTGAATCTATTAATTTCAATAAATATTTGAATCTATTTATTTAAAAAAATATTTGAATTTATTAATCCAAAGGAATATTTAATTATAGTGAAATAATTTAACAAATATTAAAAAAATAATAAATATTGAAATAAATAATAAATTTGTACTTTTGATTAGGAGCCGTACTCCACGTCGAAGGTATCGTGAGGCATTCGTCACCGCCGTGAAAAAACCTAAGGACGTCTCCTCCAAACACGTAACCAACATATTTCATTCGACTTATTCCAGTTCCATAAGGTTGAACGGACCAATGTGTTACATGGAAGGAAGCGTTTACTACTGATAAATTATTTTCTTTCGTCGTGTGCTGAAAAAAAGAGAGAAAAAACAATTTATTTTCTTCAGTATTTATTATTGTTTTAAATCTAAAAAAAAATTTCATTTATATCGTTTTTAGTAAATAAACAATTTATACCAAATATCTTTCAGTGGCGACTGACACGAGAATTAAATCGTCGCCGACACGAACTTTTTCTCCCTCTGATCTTTGTTTCGAAGCCGGATGCACAGTCCACCAGCAAGCCTCTCCTGAAATTTGAGAAAGAAGAAGAAAAATTATTAAAAGAATTATTTATTATTTATTTTGCACTTTAAATTAATAATGAATAAAATAACAAAAAAAAAAATTTGATTCAAATAACTGATTACCTGCTTATTACCAAATAAATATTTACTTGAGTCAAATAAATATTTACTTGAATCAAATAATTTTTATTTAAATCAATTAAATTGTATCTATTTGCTTCAAATATTGAAATTATTGGTTCGATTATAATTTATTTAATTCAAGAAAATAAATATTTGCTAATAGACAAGTAATCGATTATTTGAACCAAATACATTTTTTTCAGTGTAATAAAAAATAGATAAAAATAAATTAGTTAAACGATAGTAAATAAATAATAATAAATAAATAAAAAGGCCAACAAAATAAACAGTAATAAATAAAATATTAAATAAATAGTAATGAAGAAATAATAAATAAATAAATAGAAGAAAATGAACAGTAATAAATAAAATACTAAATAAATGATAATGAATAAATAACAAATAAATAATAAAAAGAAATAAACTATAAAATTATAAATAATAATAAATAAATAATAAATTTTTTGTTTTAATATTGAAAATAAGAATTTTTTAATTAGATAAATTAAGGATTGAGAAAAAATTACCTTGAGAGTGCTCCTGTAAACCGACATCAAAAGCAAGCTTATCGTTTGAGGAACTCGTGGATAGACACGCTAAGTACTGAAAGAAAATAGAAAAAGTTACAGATTTTTAATTACAGGAAACTCTATAAATTTTATATTCTAGAAAATCAATTCAAAAAATTATCACTCAAAAAGGAAAAAAAAATTCCTTGAAAATAAGAATTCTGACAAGAATATCAAAACTAAATATAAGAAAATAAATACCTATGTTCAATTATTTTCCATAAAAGAATATTTAAATCGTGAGTTTGTAATTAATTATTAAAATTAATTATTAATTTTATTGAAATATTTTTTATTAAAATAAAATCTCATTTTGTATTAAAATTAAATTTTTTTTTTAATTTATTAAATTGTTTATTTATAATTTCAATAAATTGTTTAATATTTAATTTTTATTAAAATTAAACATTACACTTTCAAATAAAAGTAATTTCTATCATTTTTCATAATTTTCGAATTTTTTCACTTTTTAATTATTTCAGTTGTACTATTATAAACTACAATTAATAAATAATTACACTGTGCAACAATTTTCAGTTTATTGTTTCTTTCCCAAATAAGTGTAGGCTTAAATTGAAGTAAATGTATGCAATAATGAAACCCCAAAAGGATTTTGCAAACTTAGTTCATTTCATTATTTTATGAAATTTTAAATTTCAAGTTACAATTTGTGATATTTTTAAAAAATTTTGCACCTTTTGTGATATATAATTTTAAAAATAGATTGTTTAAAAAAATTGTTTTGAATATTTTTTCCTTGGAAAAATCGTTAAACAATTTAAATATTATTATTTATTTACATTATGGTTATAAAAAAATTGTTAAAAAAATACAGAAAAATTCGATAAATTAGCTTTTATAATCATTTTTCCAATTAAGTACTATAATTACACCTTTTTAATTAGAATTTATTTAATACTTATATTTTACTCATTACTTAATTCATATTTCTACTTAAATATAGCAAAAAAAAAAAATTTTTGAAAATTTCACAAAAATGAGCATAAGTTCAAAAGTTTATAAAAAATAAATTTGAGCTACATTTCAAAAACCCTTGGAGGGTTAAATTACTGTTTATTTGTACTATCATTTAGCACAAGAGCCAACCGGGAAAGAAAAATGTGTTGCACAGTGTTATTAGAATTAATCACTAAATATTATTGATAATGAATTCAATTTTTTCTCACCATATCACTGTTAAGATGCCTGAGAAGAATTGCATTACCGTAAAGCAATGTTCTGTGTCCTGATCCTGTGCCCTTGCCCTAAAAACGAAATATTAACAAAATATTAAAAAAAAAATATAATTGAAAAATTTGTTGTTCTTTTAAAAATATTTACTTGCCATTTAATCAATATTAATTTAATATTCTTTGAGAATTTTCGCAATAAAAATCAATTTAAAAAATATTACTTAGCGAAAAATATCCATTTTTCAATATTTTTTACAAATAAAAATCAATTTTAATAGTTGAATAATCAATAAATAAAAATAAATAAAAATAAATAAAATTAACAATTAAAAAATAGAAAGATATAAAAATTAATTAAAAAATATGTGTAATAGGTATATTCGAGAACTAAAATTATTTTCATAAAAACTACAATTAATTAAAGCGGTTTTCTAAAGGAAAAAAAAATGTAAAAAAGTAATAAGAAGAAATAATTTTTTAATTTTAAACTACAATTAATTGAATAATTTTTTCTAAAGTAAGAGTAGTAAATTATTAAAGTAGCAAAGTAGAAAAAGAAAAAGAGTAATAAAAGTAAAAAGAGTAAAGAAAAGTAAAGAAAAGTAGAGAAAAGTAAAAAAAAGGTATTAAAGAATAATAAAAATTATGTAATAAAATTTAGAAAAAAAAATTAATTTAAAAATACAAAAAAGAATTAATTAAAAAAAAAAATAAACAAAAAATCAAATTTTTTGATTAAAAAAATACATTTTTAATTTTTGACAATAATTACGTAATTAGTTTATACTCATTATATAAGAGAAGGCCATAATAATAAACTTAATTAAGCAGTTAATCTACTTTCTATTGTGCATAAAATATTCGCACATCACTTTCGTGATTTACACACGGAATACACAATTTCCGCTCCATTATGATTCAGCTTTTCATTGTGAAATAAACTTGCGAGTAACAATAAAATGAACAATAATACAGTTTTACTCGCAAGTAATGTGAACAAAATTTTCCCTGTTACATTTGCGTTTAATAATTTAAAAATCTAAATTAAAAAATAATTTATATTTACGTATAGTGTATTCTTAATTTTTCATAAGAATTTTTTGTTTTTGAAATTTAACCGATAAAAAATTTAGTAGAGAAAAAAAAAAAATTCAAAATTAAACTGAATCATGATTTTTCGTCAGACAAAACTGAATGTATGTTAAAGAGAAACAAGATTGAAAATTTAATATTGTCCTGTAAAGATCAATTTAATTAAATGACAGCTAATTTCCGTATAAACAAACCATCATTTTTGATGGAAAATCGATATTACAGTGTTATACAAAATGTTACACAAAATGTAGATGTTTGTGAATAAAATTGAGATAGAAATTCTGAAAAAGAAAATTAATACAAGAAAAAAAATTAATGTATATACCTAATTTATTATAATTTAATAATAATACTAAAAATAACAATAATAATAACAATCATAATAATAATGACAATGTTAATAATAAAAATAAATAAATAATTATACTGAATAAATTATAATACTGAATATAATATTTAATAATTATATATTAATAAGAAGAGAATAAAAAAATTGTTATCAACAAAATTGCATTTTAGACACTAAAAAAAAATTTCTTTAATTCAAAAAACGATTAGTTGTCTGTTATCAAATAAATATTTACTTGAATCAAATAATTTCTATTGAAATTGAATAAATTTTATTTGTCTCAAATACTAAAATAGTTGGTTCAAATACATTTTTATTCGATTTCAATACAAATTATTTGATTCAAGTAAATATTTATTTCCTTCAAGTAAACATTTATTTCCTTCAAGTAAAAATTTATCTGATTCCAGTAGATATTTATTTGATTCAAGTAAATATTTATTTGATTCAAGTCAATATTTATTTGATTCAAGTCAATATATATTTGATTACAATTAATATATACTTGATTTAAATATAAAAATTATTTGATTTAAGAAAATATTTCTTCAATAAATACCTAGACAAGTAATCGGTTATTTGAATCAAATAAATTTTTCTCTTTCAGCGTATTTGTAAAAACTAAAATAACAAAAAAAGAAAAAAACTACAGAAAGTAAGAATAGATTTTACCTATAAATTCCTTTTTTGCCATAAATAATTTTTTCTCTACGATTATTTTTAATTAATTTTTTTAAATTCGATTTTTTGTTTTCTTTTTTAGATTTTGTAAATGATTTTTTTTTTTGATAAATTCACGTAAAAAGTAGTGTTTTGAAAATTAAAGGAAAGAAAGAAGTGAAAAATTGAGAATCATAAGGAACATAAAGAAAGAGAAATAAAAAATGTATAGCGTTGTCTGACCAGTGTCGGTTTTTTTCACTAATACTACTCTACCAAACACGTAACTTACAAGCAGCAAAAATTGATTAGATGTTAGTTACACCAGATAACACATGTACTTTACAATTTCCATTAATCTTTCCAGGAGAATTCAAATTTATCTGATTTAGTTAAAAACATTACAAGATATATTCAGAGTCATAAATTTTATTTTAAATTGAATTGTTAATAAAAAGAGTTTTTATGAAGCTAAATGTCAAAAGTCTTTTTTATTTTATCGATTACTGCTTTACTAGTAGTTATTGTACTACTAGAAATAATAATAGTACTAGTGTTACTAGTAATATTAATACTACTAGTATTACTCGAAATATTAATAGTACCAGTGTTACTAGTAATATTAATAGTACTAGTGTTACTAGTAATATTAATGCTACTAGTATTACTCGAAATATTAATAGTACCAGTGTTACTAGTAATATTAATAGTACTAGTATTGCTAGTAATATTAATATTTCTAGTATTACTAGTACTATTAAATTACTAGATATTAAAAGAAAAAAATTAATTTTGCTAATTACTAGTATAATAATAAATTATATTATAATAAAAACAACTTTTCGACATTTTTAGCATAATGTATAATTAAATATATTTATAAAAAATTTCAATCCTCGAAAGATTAGTTTACAAACATATAAAGGGAGGATACTTACTAAATTTTCTTGTTGCTGTAAATGAAAAACACAAATGGGAATGAAATTTATTAACACAATTCTTATATAAGTTAAAAGGAATTTTACGTTAGATCAACAATGACGCAAGGATTCTCATCTGCATGGTACATTTTGTTTCTAAATCTAATTCAACTACACAGAAAAAACTTGGACTCATTTTTGTTGCAACTCAAAATGAGTCACTTTTCCGACTCATTTTGAGTTCAGCTTTTTTCTGTGTATATAAAATGCTTAAAAAGTTCTCAACTTTCAAATAAAGAGAATACTTTTTCATAAATATTTTTAAAAAAATACTGACTGTAATAAAAATTAAAAGTAATGTAAATTAAACACATTGAAGTTTTATTTTTTTTTCAAAATCTGACGTTAAATAATAATACAATATTAATACTACAATAATAAAAAAATTTGTATTCCAAATTTCATTTGAAGATTCAAAATTTTAGAAGCATTTCATAAGTATTTTTTTTTGTAAATACAAACATGTTTTCTACACTATGTATATATTTATGTATCGTACAGAGTCATGCAAAATTTATTTATTTATTTATAATTATAAATTTAATTATTTTTTTTATTTTCTAATTTTAATTTTTTTCTAGTTTCTATTTTTTCTAAGCCTGCGGTAATATACTATAATAAATACGAAAGGGCACTGCCCGTAAATTTGTAAAATAAATAAATAAATAAAAGAATTAATAAAAAATTATATATATATATATATATATATATAAATAATAAGAAAACAATTTTTCTACATCATTTGTACAGTTATTTTTTACTCGAAATAAAAAGGAGAGAAAAAATGTAGAATCATATAATAATCTTTACTTGTATTGCGTGTTTACAATACTCCGCCCTCTTTTTTTCAACATGAAATATTTAAAAAAAAATTTGCATATCGTCCTTTTATTCACGATTATTTTTTTTTATTTTTTTATTCATGAGAAATTTTTTTGCTCTTTTATTGCTAATTTCTTATCGCAATAAAGCGGAACAAATTCTTTTCGAAATTATAAATAACTGAATAAAAAAAATACTATAATATATATTATTACTTCAAAAAAAAAAAATAAATAAATAAATAAAAAAAATAATATATCTATTATTTCAAAATAAATAAATCAAGTAAAAAAAGATAATAAAAAAATAATGAAAACGAAAGTGTTTAAAAAATTTTTTTTTCATTATTTTCGTTTACTTTAAATTTTAAAATAAATAAATAATTAATTATGAAAAACCGAATGAAAAAATACTTAAGTAAATACTTTTTCAAATAAAGAAAAATGTTTAAAAAATATTTTGAAAAAATTAATCAATTTCATCATTATTTGAAATAGTAAATTTATAAACAACAGAATAAAAAAGTTGTGTAAATGTTATTACTAAAAAAAAAAATAAATCAAATATAAAAATCATAAAGTGAGTAAAAAATTTTTGCACAACTCTGTGGCAATAAATAATATAATACGATTTCTAATTGACACATGCGACATACTGGAAGGGATCCATGCGTTGCATTCGAAAAAAAGTGTGGACTTTTATTAATAATTACTATAAATAAAAATGTTGTTGTTGTACGATTTTTTTTTAAATTTGAAATGGTATGTATAGAAGAATAATTGCGTGAATAAAAAATAAATTTTTAGTAATCGATTTGATGAATGAAAGGCAATTTATATTAGTACCCATTTTTTAGTGAGGATACAATAATTATATTACTCACATTCTAAACATCAAAAATGTAAGGAAGATGATGTTCGAACATCGTTAATTACTACGAACACATATATATTTAATCATTATTTATAAATTAATAAACTAATGAAAAAAATAATAATATAAAAAAAAAGAAAGAAAAAAAAAACTAATGAAAAGTTAAAAAATAATTCTCTGTAAATTTGAATAAGTGACTGAATTTTTGCTTTTAAATTAGTAAATTTTACTAATGAATAGTAATTTCTAATTATTTATTAGTAAAATTTATTAATTATAATAATTACTTATTTATTAGTAAAATTTATTAATTATAATAATTTCTAATTTATCAGTAATATTTACAAATTCAAAAGCAAAAAAGTGAGTCACTAATCACAATAATTAGTAAACATTTTTACCAATTCAAATTTAGAGAGTGCAAAACGAACTACCTAACTATAAAAAAATAATTGATAATAAAAAAGTAAATAATGATAAAAAAAGAAATAAGAATAAAAAATAATTATAATAATAAAAATGTGAATAATAATACAGAAAGAAATAATAAAAAAGTGATTAATACAAAAATAAATAACTATAAAAAACAAATAATAATACAAAAAGAAATTGCAAAAAAATAATAATAAAAATAGAAGTAAAAATACAAAATTATTTTTGTATTTTTACTTCTATTTTTATTATTATTTTTTTGCAATTTCTTTATGTATTATTATAAATAATAACAAAATAAATAAAAGAAAAAAAAACAATAAAAAATGAACAAATATTTCTGTAGAAATTTACATTCAAGTCAAAGAAAATCTAACGAAGGAAATTAACAAAAAAAAAAATATCTTTAGCGATAAAAATTCTCTTTAACAGAAAGAATGGATTAGTTAATAAAAAAAATTACCAAATTTTTGGTTTTTAATTCTTTGAAAATCGACTAAAATAGTTAAGAAAAATATTCCGTCAAAAAATAAAAATTGTCATACAACAACCTCATTAGAAACTCTGGTTTCCTTTTCTCAAGATTACTAAAAACATTCGAGATGCAATGTTTATTTTTTGTTTTTATAAAAAAATAACTCGGTTTTCAGATCAGGCCAAGTACTAAGTTTACAGTGCAGTTAAAAGGGGAAATAAATACGAGAGATGAATGTTTACAATTTATACAACAGCAGAGAATATTTTTTTTTCCTATCAACTTTTTCGGAACTTTTTTTCTAAATTGTCAACAAATATAAAAATCGAAAACATAAAATAAAATAAATCTATCAATGATATAAAAATCAAAAGGATAAAATAAAAAAAATTTTTACATACGATATAAAAGTGAAAAACAAAATAAAATAAATTTTTTCTTTCAACGATATAAAAATAAAAAATTAGAAAAAAATTATGAAGCGAAGAATTAAAATATGAAAAAAATTAAATATTTATCTGTATAAGCTACTGGATGAATTAAAAAAAAATAGTTTATAGAAATTTATAAATTTCTGACAGTTTGAGTCCGTTCAACGTACACTTTAAACGAAATTACACCTACACGTGGCTATTTTAATCGTTAGGAACAATTCTATGGCTACTTTACCGTCTCAGACCCAGCAGCCGTGACCAACTCTTGTAGTGCTCGTACCGAAAGTGCTTGCTCTATTACAAATACGCATTGTGACAAATCAGGTGGAATATTCTGAAAAAATAAACAAACATCAATTTTTTTTTCGAAAACTTGGGAAAAATTAAAAAAAAATATTCATGATTTTTTTAACAATATTTTCAGTAATAGCATTTTTTAATAGAATTGTAAATAATGCTATGGTTTCGACAATATTAAAAATATTGTTATTAAATATTAAATTTCCATTGTTGTATTAAAAATATTATTTTTTAATATTTCGTCGAATTATTTTTAATATTTAATATTATTAATATTAATAATATTTCTAACAATATTTTAGATAGTTTTAGTCATATTTTAAAAAATTTTTTAAATAATACATTTAACAATATTTTTATCAATATTTTTAACAATATTTTTAATAATTTATTTAACAATATTTTTATTAATATTTTTAACAATATTTTAAATAATTTATTTAACAAAATATTTTGAATAATATTTTCAATAGACTTTTGGACAATATATATTTTTAACAATATTTTAGATATTTTTAGTCATATTTTAAACAATTTTTTAAATATTTACAAATATTTAAAACAATATTTTTAAAAGTATTTAATAAAAGTTTTCACTAATTTACTTAACAATATTTTTATCAATACTTTGAACAATATTTTTATCAATATTTTGAACAATATTTTTAATAGTAGAATATTACAAGGTAAAATTTTTATTTTACTTGAAAAATAATTTTTGACGAAGTAAGTATCCATTATTTGTCGATTTTAACGATTTTTAAAAATATTTTCAAAAAATATAAAATACAGTAAAAAAAATAGAAAATTTGCAGTTTTTAAGGTGAAGAAAAAATTAATTTTACCTTGTCTGCTATGTTTTCCAGAAAGCAATGCCGATTTCCGAAACCCTCGGCTGCCAAACATACCCTTTCCCCCGTAGCTGTACACGAAAGACATACCATGTCTTCCTGTAATTAAACATAATTATAATAATTAATACTTTTTTTCTGCGAATAAACACATAAAAGTGAAAAAGCATAAAAATTTATTTCAAATTCGTAACACAAATTATTTGGAATATTCAGAAAATTTAATTCTACAGGTTTCTATAGGTTTTCATTTTTCTTTAAATAAAAAATCCCTGATATTTTTAATTAAAAAGCAATAATTGTAATTACTGTATTTTTTTTAGCAATAAACATAAAAATATGAAAACAAACAAATTTATATCAAATTATAACCTACGAATTTTCATCAACAAAAATTTTAATTTTGTTCGTACTTTTTTTTAAATAAATAAATAAATAAAAAATCACTGATATTTTTAATTAAAAACCAATAATTATAATTGCTATATTTTGCTAAGAATCACAAAAAAGAGAAGTAGAAAAATTTATTTCAAATTACAATGATTTTTTAACAAAAAATGTCAGTATTTATTTATTTATTTAAAAGTAATAAGGCAAAAAAAATTTTAATCTAATAATTCTTTATTAGTTTGTTCAAAAATTCATTTGTTCAAAAATTTATCCGTCTGTTTTAAAATACCTAATTACAAAGAGACGGATAAATTTTTTGAACAAATGCAAATTGCTCGAAACTCGAAAAGAATGAATTGTAAAATTAATTAATTAATGTAGATTAAGGGAGGGAATTACAAGAATGGTACTATTTCCGTGAAACGTCAAAATTACGATGGGGCCAAATCGCATTACACGAAGTGCGTGCCAAATTCAATTTGGCTGACCTGAGAACTTGTACAGGGCAGATACTAAAGACAAAATGTAAGACAGGAAACACACATATGCTGACCCAGGTGAGAACTGACGGTGGATTCAGGCTTTACGGAACCTTCGTTGAGGCTTGGTCAACATTGATCAAGCCTTGGTGGGACGGCGGAACGAAGGTTGTTTCTAGCTATAATGTAACACTTATTTAAGACTGACGCTCCAGTCCTTGTTGAAGATTCGCGTTCAATGTTCAATCAATGCTGCGGAACCCTAATGCAGGACTGAAACAAGGCTGCTTCCACTGTTCCCAAATTTACGCGTCTCTCGCGCCCATTCAATATAATACGAATATATGAATTGTATATAATATTAATAATAATATTAATAATAATAATAATAATTATTATTATTATAATAGTAATGAATATTATTGTTATTATTTTTATTCATATTATATGCGTTTGTTAATTTAATGGCATTAAGTTACTATTATAATAATTATATCATTTTCATATAAATAATATATTACTAACAGTAAATGTCATTTAAAATAGTAATATTAAAAAAATAATTTTAGTAAAAGAAAACAATTTTTCTGTTAATCGGTACATTTTTTTCTCGATTTTTCAGCAGACTTTTTAATATTATTTACAAACATATTCACATTTTTTATTCACAGCACAACACACAAATTTATTATTATATATAAACGCTTAAAACAAAGAATGAAAAATATTCGCTCGCATGTGGGATCGAAACTCACGTACCCCGCCCCTAACGCATACCGGAAGTTCTCAACGCACGCATTTAAACCGCTCGGCCACAGAAGGCTGGAAGGCACCTCGCCTAATCTACTATTTCAATGCCAGCGCCGTATATTCTGTATATACGGCGCGTCACTCAATATTTGTTCAGCATGGGACACCAATGTTCGTCCCATGCTCGATTAAAGACTCGGTCAATCTTGATAGAATATTCACTTTCTTTTTATTACCGTGTGCACTGAACAATATTAAATATAAATATTTATAAATTTTTTAATATTAAAATATTTTTTATGATAATTTTATAAGTTAAATTATATATATTATTTTTTTTCTTGTACAGTGTCAAATTATTATTTTCAAAGATATTTATCTTTGAAAAATTATGACTGTTTATCTGAAAAATTATTAGTGAAAAAAATGTTCATTAGGTAGTGATAAATATTTATGCTTAGTAGTTTTTACACTAGGATTAACTGTTTAGTAAATATTATCAAAAAAATATTTTTTAGCAAACACGCGCAGCTAAACACAAATAACCTTGAAACTCCAGCATTACCAACTCAACTCTTGAGTTGGCAATGCTAAAGTCTCAAGGTTATTTGCATTTAGTCGCACGCGTTTGACAAAAAATAGTTTTTTGATAATATTTACTAAACAGTTGATCCTAGTGTACAACTACTAGGCATAAATATTTATTACACACTAATGAACATTTTTTTACTGAAAATTTTTCAGACAAACGAAACTCTTGGACTTTGAAAACAATAATTTGACACTGAGCAAGAAAAAAAATAATATATAATTTAACTTTATTTATATGAATCTTATATAATTAATAATATCTAATAATAAATAATATAATAATAATAATTATTATTATTCTTATAATAATAATAATAATAATAATAATACCTAATAATAATAATAATAATTATTATTATTATTATTATTATTATTAATAAATTAATAATTAATATAAATATTATACACTAAATAAATATTAATATTTATTTACCACTTGATATCTTAATAATAATAATAATTTTTAAATAGTATACAAAATTATCATAAAAAATATTTTAATATTAATTAATTTATAAATATTTATATTTAATATTTTTAAGTGCACATGTCAATAAATAAACTGTCAAGATTGATTCAGGCTTGAATTAAGATCAGATGTTCGAGCTTCACTCACGAAGATTGACCGAGTCTTGAATCGAGCATGGAACGAACATTGGTGTCCAATGCTGAATCAACATTGAGTGACAGTGGTATAAAGACTGCTTCAACACTGGGTTACCCAGGCTGGGCGTTCAAGGCTCAATAAATCTTCAATCCATCGTCAGCATTGGTCTTTCGCGCCTGGGGATGAACAAATTTAATTGTTGATTTGAAAGATAAGTAAATTCACTTTTTGGCCCATTGCCATTCATTATACATATAGTTCACTATACAGTCATTGTGTGTGACTGCGCGATAATCTATGCATACGTATATACTTTCTTCATTTTCATGATTCACCATTTCGTCCTTGCATAAATAAATCAATTTTTCACTAATTGCATATCAGAGAAACAAACAAAAAAAAAAAAAGGCAAACAAACTTTGTTGCTGTTGTTATATAACAAACAGACAAATAAATTAACAAACAAATAATCACTGAGAAAAAGATTTATTTCATTCAACCAAATTTCGTTTAAATCAAACTTAAAATATTTTTGCTAGTGTCAAACATTGTTAAATTAAATTGAAACATATTTTTTGGCTCATTTAAAGAAAATAAATTTAATTAGTAAATTTAATTATTAATTTATTTATTTTAATTATTTAATTAGTTACAGTTGATTTTAAATTATTTATAATCAACATTTAAACTTTAATCGAACATAAAATTTGTAAACATATTTTTTGTTTAAATCAAAATAGAATTTTGAATTAATAATAATAAAATTATTTACACAAATAATATTTTTAAATCAAAGCAGTAGATATTTTCTATAATTAATAAAGGATATTGGGATTAAACTTATAATAACTGATATTAATTAAACAAAATCACTTAAAATTATTTTTCTATTTGAATTTTAAGTTTAATGTTTTCTCAGTGAAACAAAAGAAACAAATTACATTAATTAATTTAATGAATAAATTTTTTATTTTATTTATTTTTTACTATTTTTATTTACAATAATTATTAAAGAAATTAATAGGTATAATAGTAAATACATATTTACGTAAATATAACGGCTTGTCCCGTCAATAAATTAAATTAAATATATTTTTAGACACAATTAATAAATATAAATAAATAGATAATTAATAAATAAATGTACGTCTCTAGAGGAGGAGAATTAAGAAAAATCGAGAAAAATATATATTCTCAAGTAAAAACTGTTATTCACACTTTTATAAATAGTAGACTTTTCCAGATGGGGTTTAGAAAATGAAACCTTCCGGATGGAAATTTACAATTTTTTCCCTTTTATTTATATCGTCCCTCTTTTTATTGTATACCGTACTTCCTTTTTTTATAAACAACAAAAATATTTAATAAATACTATTCCCGAAGAAATTAATTATTAGATATTTGTTAATTTTTTTCTTCTCTTCTTTGCAAATTTTTTTTTGTAGTTAACAATAGTAATCGACTGTTATAATATAGAAAAGTCGTGTAAAATAAAAAAAAAAATTATATAAAAATACAATATTCAAATAATTATTGAAATATTTTATTAAAAAAAAAATAGTTTCCTATAATTTATCACAATTTTCTTACTATGCACTTCTAAACATAAAGAATTATTTTTTTCGCATTTAATACACAAAATTGTTTCAAAAATTCGTTAAAAATTAATTAAAATATGAAAAAAAATCTACAATTTCTATATCAACATTAAATCAAAGATGAACAACGCTGTAGGTCAAGGACGCAATCCTATTTCAGAAACTAGATTATGTATCGTCGACACTACGACAGTCTCTCCGTTCAATACCAGAATAACATGATCTTTTGTAAAATATATTTCAAGGGGTTGTTCAAATTCAAGTTTCTTATTCTTGATTGTCTCAATTTCTATAGATATATAATAAAGAATGAAAAAAAGGTTATTCTCTTTTGAACTCTCCGTTTTTTCTTTAAATCATCTTTTGTTCATTTCTTTTTTTTTTTAAAGTACAATATTTCCATTTTACTCGAAAAATAAGAAATGGAAATTTTTATTTATAAAATAAATAAATTTAGAATAAAAGGAAAATACTTTTGTACAAAAGAGCTTGTCTCTACATTTCTTAAATAAATAAATAAATAAGTAAATAAATAAATAAATAAGGAAATAAATAAATAATAAACATATGATTAAAATAAAATAAAAAAAAAAAGAAATATTTATATAAATAAATTTTATAAATTTTTCTTCTATTGTAAAAATAATATTAACACACTCACTAATATTCCTGACAGAAAAAGAAATTAAAAAATAAAGTCGAAATCTTCATTCGTAATTAAAAATTCTCAATCAGCGAAAAATTCTAACATTAATTTAAAAAAGGTATTAATAAGAAAAAAATTTTCAAAATTTTGAAAGAATAACCGAAGTTTTTTCCATTTTACTTAAAAATACAAACGCAATACTAAAAATTACTAGAGATGCTAATACACTTACTAACAAAAAAAAAATCAAACAAAAATTTTCTAAGATAAAAAAAAACATTTTTCTTTTCTTTTATTTGAAAATACAAACGCAATATTAAATAACAATAACCGGAGATATTAATACACTTTCTGTAATATGAGTGATTGAAAAAAAAAATTAAAATAATGCTCGAGGTGAGAAAAGTGTTGAACAAAAGCAGAAACCTTTAAAGTTTTGAACTTATGCAATCGAATTGAGAGAGAGAGGGAGAGTGACAATGAATACGTAAAAATCTCAATCTAAACATAAGTAAACAATTTTACGATTTTTCAATTTTTTTTTTCTTTTGTCAATACTAATCAAACTTCACACAATGATTTTCACATGTTTTTTAGTTTTCGAAAAATAAAAGTCAAATTTTCAAGTAAAAAATTAACTAAAATTATAAAATTATATAAAATATAAAAATATAAAATAAAAATTCTAGTAAAAAAAAATGGATAACTACAGCAATGAAGAATTCTATCCTGATAATTCGTATGTTTTCATATTCGTTTAAAAAATTTTTTCATAATTTGCAAAATTGTCAATTTTCTTTACTGCGAATTGAGGCTATTTCTTTATTATTTTTTTCTTTAGAATATTATTTTCTTTAAAATATTTTTTATTCTTTTCAATATTTATTTTTTAATATGTAACTGTAAATCGTAACATAAATCCAAAATAAAATGTAATATTGGTATTTTTTATTTTACTAATTAACTAAATTACTTTTTTATTTCACTTTAATGTAATAATAAATATAATAATAGAAAAATTATAACTAATTTTAATTAATAATATTAAATCAATTGCACGTTTTATTATTTACTAAAATATTTCACAACTTTTTAAGATGAAAATTTATTATATTCATTTTCTTTTTCCTTTCTGCGCAAATTGAGAATAATTTTTTAATTACTTATTTTTCTCTTTATATTTTCTATCCTTTTGGAATTCAAATTTTAATGTGCAAATATTAAATTAAATATTAACATTGAATTAGAGTTATTACAGTTAATATAATATAATAAAATAAATCTTTTGTTATTGATAATTAAATTTATTTTTAATATGTAATTACATTTATTCATTTCTTAATTAAATGCTAACAGTTTCTTTTAGTATTTTCAATAAATATAATGTTGCTTTTATTTTCTAATCAAATTGAATTTGTTAAAATTTCCAATTGTTATCTAAATTCTATTTTTAATTCTTTAATAATAAATAATCATTTTTTTAATTGTATTCAATTTAATATTTATACTATCATAACCAGAACTTACTTAATAATTATTATTATTAGAAATATCAAGAAGTCTGGAAATAATTTTGTTTTCTTGGTTTGCGGGGTTTTAATTTTAATTTTTTATTTATTCTAACTTTATTTTTATTGTAATTTTTATTTTAATTGAAATTAATATTGAAATAAAAATTACAATAAAATAAAATTTTAATTGTTTCCATTTTTTAAATGTTACATAATGAAAGGGAAAAAATTATAAAAATCTGATTTGATAAACAAACAATAGAATAAATAAAGAAATTAAATAATATTAATATACTTTTCTCAAAAAAAAAAAAAAAAATCAAAAATTAAAAAATATTTTTCAAAAAATAATGTTTTTACCAAATAACGAGATCTATTAAAAAAAAATATTATTCTAGATACAACGAGGATGCCAATTTTAGAAATGGTTCAATGATGGAAGTAACCGACGGTCTCTTTTCAAGATGCGAGAAAAAAAATGAAAAACGCGAGGACTCGACTAAAAAGGAAGTGACAAAAAAATCATCACGCGTCAGTTCACATGCATGTGAACAAAAGCCAAAAAGAAAAGTGAATCCCTATATTTATTTTTACATGGAATTATATAAGAAAAATGCTGGAAAGCATGTCACTTGTGTTGCAAAAGAAGCGGGAAAAAGATGGAATTGCATGTCGGAGAAAGAAAAACAAAGATATCGAGATCTGGCAAATGCACATAATGATGCCAACAGCAATGCTGCGGCAAATGCGGCAGCAAGTAGATATCCAAAATTGAATATAGATGTCAAACGAAAGAAGTGACACTTTCTTTGAGAGAGAAAAAAAATTTCCGTAAGAATAATTAAAAATAAAATAATAATTAAAAAAAAAAATAATATTTATGTATAAATATTATTTTTTTTCAATTAATTTATTCTCTTTGAATCTGAATTAATTACTTTTTAACTATAATCAAATAAGATCGATTCCGCTCATTAAATTAATTAGTTTGGGCGTTCTGACTAATTTTTAGTCAAAACCCACAAATTGGTAGAGTTTTCTTTTATTTATTTTTCTTATTTTTCTTTCCTTTATTTCTTTTTTGTTTTTTCTATTTATCTGTTTTTCTTATTTTTGTTATTGTCTGCAATATTTATTTATTTGTTTTTTTTGTTGTTATTTTTGCATTCGTTTTTGTTATTTTTATTGTTTCATTTTTGTATTATTGTTTCTGCTTTTTTTGTTGGAATTTTTATATCCTTTTATTTTCCATTTATTTATTTATATATTTATTGTTGTTTTTTCTACTTATTTCTTTTTTATTTTTACTTTTGTCTTTTTTATTATAGTTTTCGCTTCTTTATTTTTTATTGGTAACTTTTATATTCTTTTGTTTTTATTTATTTATTAATCTATACTTATTTACTTTTTATTTGGTTAATTTTTTTTTTTATTATTTACATTACATTTCCAAACCAAATTTTCTAGCGATTTCTATCAAATTACTAATTTCAATTCAACTCAAAATTCCAATCTGAATGTTATATAAACAAAAGAAAATAAATTATAAAAAAATAATTTATTATAAACAATTATTGTAAATAAAACAATGTTAAGGTTACTATATCAATATGTAACGTTTAATAAATTAATTAGTAGTCTTAACAAATAAATTAGTAGTTTTCTACTATCAATTAGTAGTTTTTAACTAAAAATTAGTAGTTTTGACTAAAAAATAGTCAAAACGATTATTAAAAAATTTAATAAACGATTTTAGTTCTCTTTCACTAGGCAAAAGATACTAATTCAGATTTAGAGAGTAAATATAGTACAAAAATAGTATTTCCTGAATAGTATAAAAATAGAATTTCTAAGTAGTAAACAATTACCATTCCTAAGTATTGCAAAAATAGTACTTTCTAAATAGTACAAATATAGGATTTATTAAAATATTATTACCTAAGTAGTAAAAAAGATGTATTTCCTAAATAATACGAAAATACTTTTCCTATATCGTACGAAAATAATATTCCCTGAGTAGTAGAAAAATAGTTTATCCTAAGTAGTACAAAAATACTATTTTTATTATTGTTATTCTTATTTTTAATATTTTTCTCAAGTAGTACAAAAATATTAATTCCTAAATCGTACAAAAGTAGTAATTCCTGAATAGTACAAAAGTAGTATTTACTGAATAGTACAAAAATAGTATTTCCTCAATAGTAGGGGAACATAGTCTAGGTCGGCCACCTTTTTGACTTTTGTTTATAACTTTTTTTTAAAAATAAATTTGGACAATTGAAGTATATGGTTGGAAAGTCCTGTTTAATAGGAACATTTTTTCTGTACAAAGTAAATTGACAGGTTTAAAAATGAAAAAGTTATAAAGATTTAAAAAAAAAAAAATTTGTAGTCCAGGTTGGCCATTACAGTCAAGGTCGGCCATGTTTAAAATTCAAAGGGCATTAATCGTTAAAAAATAAAATAACATGTTTGGAGTTACGGAAAATTGATTCTTTATTGTTTACAGTTTGTAACTTAATGAAATAACAAAATAATAAAAATAAACAATATAAAAAAATAAATATAAATAAAAAAAAATTTTGCACTAAAATATTAATAAAATTAAATGAAACTATTAATAAGATGATCAATTATATTATGAGTTATACAGAATTGCAGTTTTTGCAAATGAAGTAGCTCGTCCTCATCTTTGCGCATTTTAAACACATAGTGGCCGACCTTGACAGTAAGTAACATTACCGAATTGTTGTAACCATAAAGAAATACGTTTCGGGATTCGATTTTTTACTTTGTTTTCCTTTCAACCATGAGTCCCACAAATTTTCTGCATACTTGCCTTGACGATTCAATTTGTTTTTTATCTTTTATTAATGGTTTTTCACATTATGCACAAAACTTTTTTTGAGCTTTTTTTGTACCGACGTCACAGAAAACACAATTTTAGATTTTCCGAAAATGTAATTGAACAAAAAGTTAGGTTTCACTAAGACAAGCTTCGACAAAAATGCGCGTAGGTGGCGCTAGTGAACTTGACAAAAAAACGCGAGTGGCCTACCTAGACAGTAGGCCAACCTTGACTACATTCCCCTACAAAAATAGTATTCCCTATTTGAATTAGTAAAAATGTTCACTAATTTAAATTAGTGACAGACTTTTTGTTTCTGAATTACTAAATTTTACTACTAATTACTAAATAGTAATTTCTACTTATTTATTACTAATAAATAGTAATATTTACATATATTTATAAGTAAAATTTACTAATTCAAAAGAAAAATATCAGTCAAAAATACAAATTAGAAAACATTTTTACTAATTCAAATTTTGAGAGTTGTACAAAAATAGTATTTCCTAAATCGAAAAAAATAGTAAAAAATTGTAATTCCCTGAGTAGTAAAAAAATTATTTTATAAATTAGTAGAAATTAGTATTTTTACTTATTAATAAAATTTACTGATTCTGAAAGAAAATTTAAGTCAAAAATAAAAATTCGAAAACTTTCTTACTAATTCAATTTTAGAGAGTAGTACAAAAATATAGTATTTCCTAAATCGTATAAAAATAATAAAAAAAAATAGTAACTCCCGGAGACGTGAAAAATTACTATTTCCTAAATAGTAGAAACATACTATTACCTCTATGGTACAAAAATAATACGAAAATAGTAAGACCCTGAGTAGTAAAAAAAATAGTATTTCCTAAGTAGTACAAAAATGCTATTTCTTAAATTCTACAAACTAATAGTATTTCTAAAATCGTACAAAAGTAGGATTTCCGAAGTAATACAAAAAAAGTATTTCCTAAATAGTAGAACAATAGTACAAAAGTAGTAACTCCTGAATAGTACAATAATAGTAACTCCAGAGTATTACCAGAATAGTACAAAAAAGTAATAATAGTACAAAAATAGTAACTCCTAAATAGTAAAAAAATAATAACTCCTAAATAGTAAAAAAATAGTAACTCCTGAGTAGTACCAGAATAGTACAAAAATAGTAATAATAGTACAAAAATAGTCACTCCTAAATAGTAAAAAAATAATAACTCCTAAATAGTAAAAAAAATAGTAACTCCTGAGTAGTACCAGAATAGTACAAAAATAGTAATAATAGTACAAAAATAGTCACTCCTAAATAGTAAAAAAATAATAACTCCTAAATAGTAAGAAAATAGTAACTCCTGAGTAGTACCAGAATAGCACAAAAATAGTAATAATAGTACAAAAATAGTAACTCCTAAATAGTAAAAAATTAGTAACGCCTTCTTATTTACGCACGATGATTATATAATGAAATCATAATATTCTTAGGCCTTTAGTTGCCATGAAGGAAAATAATATTATCCAATGAAGCTCATTGTTTAATCTACCTACGAAGCGAGGATCAATAAGGTACGCTCCATCGACTCCAAAAGCAAATCAGGTGGCATTTTCTCGCAAGATTGATTCAGTTAACAAATAAAATCAAATTCTAGAATGGCAAACTCGAATACACCTCTTCCCCCCTGTCTCTTCTTCAAGTCTTCAAGGTCAACAATGGAGAAATTAACTTTTTAATTCAACTCTCTCTCTCTCTCTCACACGATAACAACTTTTTCTCAAAAATAAAGTTCAATTCCAAGAAAAAAGAGAAAAAAAAGAGAAATGAAAAAGCCAGGGCAGGTTTACTATCGTTCCAATCTATCAAAACTTATTCTTGGCCTCGTGAAAGACTCCATTTGGTAAAAATAGACAAATTTTATATATAACTACCTACGGAAACTCTATACGGAAAGAAAAAAATTTCAGAATAAAATTCTTCATTCGAAAAATTATAATTTTGTAAACTAATTAATTTGCTGCGTCTAAATTTTGTATTTTGTATTATGAACTTTGTATTTTGTATTCTGAATTTTGTATTTTGTACTCTAAGTTTAAAATTTTGTATTTTGAAGTTTACATTTTTTGGTATTTTGTATTTTGAATTCTAATATAAATATTGGAAAATTTTACTCACTCTTTGATTGTTATTTATTTTTCTCATATATAAAATAAAGTTTTTCTCTTAAAGAATTTCAAGTGAAAAGAATAAGTAGGTCTTAGAAGGATTGTGTCTATGTTTATCTTGAGGAAGTGCAGTTCACAATTTTTAGAGATTCAAACTGTGAATGTAAAGTAGAAAAATATAGGCGACATTTACATTACATGATGAAATCACGAAAAATAACAAAATTTTATCTAATATTCTTCTAAACACTAAGTATTCGTAAAAAATTTTCTTCACTAAAAAAAAAATATCTAAATAATATAAATTATGCTGATTCACTCTTCAAAAACAAAAAAACAAAAAAAATGAAACTGATAACAAAAAATTTAATTTAGTTTTTTCACATATTTCTATATTAATTTTAATATTTCAATTTTAGAATTCTGATTTAAATAAATAAACAAAGAGAAAAATAAGTAAATAAATATTCAAATTAATGTAATAATATTGTTTCTATTTTTGGACAAATTTGGAATATTTTGATTCGGAAATAAAATTTCAAATAAAAAATATTTAACTATTTATTTTAATTTTTTGTTATATTATTAAAAAATAGAATATAAATTTCATAACAGCAGAAAATTTTAGAAAAAGAAGCAAAATCGATTTTAATAGTAGAATATTCAAATACTCAAAATTCAACTTACACAAAAAAAGAAGATTCAAAATATCCACTTTAATAAAATATTTCTAAATTGTAAAAAAGCAATTAAAATTTTAATTGACGAATGTAGTATAAAAATAAATTTTATATAGTGAACGAGATTTACAAAGATTAAAAATTACAAAAAAAAAACAGATAAATCTGTGTTTGAAACGAAAATAATTCTTTTTTAAAAATACGAGTCTCTTATAATTCAATGCCATAAAATACAGAAAAAGAATTGAAATTGATGTTTTAAAAATGAAAAAATTCTTTTTTAAAAAATAAATATTTCAAATTTTTTTTATTTTAACACAAAATCCAGGAAAACAATTGAAGATTAAAGTATTTTTTGTTCCAATAAACTTAATTCTCTCGTAATGGAAAATCGTGTAATGTTTCTTTGATAACGCGATTTTTATTTATATAATTTCTCTTTCTCGTCGATGTATTTATAAACTTATTAAAAATTTTTTAAATTAAAATTAAAAATTAAAATTAACGATTTCTATCGATTTTACGTTTTTTTCAATAAATAAAATGAAGAAAATTTAATAAAATGTGTTTCAAATGAAAATTTAATTAATTTGTTTATTAACTTGCTCTTAACAATTCATAAAAGTTTCTAAAACAAAAAATTGTACGCTATAAACTACGAAATTAAATTTATGTTAAAAAAATTATTATCAATTTTATAGACACGAATATTATACAATAATTAATCTTTTTTTGTTCAACAAAAAATAAATATATATATTTTACATTATATTATTATTTAATATTTAATATTGTTGATTATATAACCATTAGTTTTTGAAAAATTGTTCATTGTAAATAAAAGAAGAATAATGAAGAAAAGAATAGAAGTAAAAATTTATTCAATCAAAAAAACAAAATTAAATTTTTAACAAAAAAAAAAAAAATTTTCTGTAAATATTTTTCAAGTAGAATGAAATATTTTGTTTAAACTTTAAAGTTTTCAAAAGAGGAAAACATGCACAATAGCAAAAAAATAGTAAATAATTAAAAAAAATCAGTAAAGAAAAATCTTAAAGCACTTCCAACATTAAACGAATTTTTTTTTATTAATTTCTTTTCTCTTTTTTGAAAAAAAATATTTTTCAATCACAATTGTTTACAAAATTTTAAGTTTCGTTTTGGAAAAAGAAAAAAAATTCTATTTCTATTTGTTAATCACGATTTTTAACGAAATTATAATTTTTTTCAGAAATAAATGAAAAAAAATTACATAATTTCTATTTCGTATTCACAATTTTTGTACAAAATTCTCAGTTGTTTGTTTTTGAAAAAAGGGAATAAATTTGCATCATTTATATTTGTTTGTCACAATATTTTAAAAAAGCTTTCAGTTTTTTTGTAAATAAAAAAACTTTGCATAATTTATTATTTTTAATCACGATTTTCAACGAAATTAAATTTTTTTCGGAAAAATATTTAAAATGTGGCTGATGATTACGCATGTGCATTGGTTTTTTTATTAAGTTTTTCTACAATAATAAGCACTTTGAATAAATATTTACAAAATACTAGAAGCTACATTAAATAATTATAAAACTTTCTAATTTATTTTTTTATCACGTGATAAAATATTATTGCAATCAAATTTTAATTTAACAAATAAATAAATAAATTTCGTTCATTTCAACGTTTGGAACTTTGAAGACAATTCTATGAGACTAAATAAAATTTATTCTAAACAAAAAAAAATAAATAAATAAATAAAAAAAACTTTAAAAAAATCAAGATCCACAAGTTTTGAATATTTAAATAAAAGAAATATTCTTTATTAAAAATATATTTATAAATTACTGATTGCAATAAAAATAAAAGACTCAAACTTAATAATTAATTTTCTTTATAGTAACGCAAAATAATTGTAATAAAAATTTAATTTCAAGAAGAAATAAATAAACTTCGTTCATTTTCAACGTTCAGAACTTTGAAGACAATTCTAGAAGACTAAAAATAAAATGTATTCTAAAAAATAATAAATAAATAAATAAAAAAAAACTAAGTAAAAAAATCAAGATCTACAAGTTTTGAACGTTCAAATAAAAGAAATATTCTTTATTAAAAATATGTTTATAAATTACTGATTTCAATGAAAATAAGACTTAAACTTAATAATTAATTTTCTTAATAGTAACGCAAAATAATTGTAATAAAAATTTAATTACAAGAAGAAATAAATAAATTTCGTTCATTTTAAAGTTCAGAACGTTCGGGACAAAAAAATCAAAGACATTTTTTTCCTTCTGAATAAATTTTGAATAAAATAAATTTTTCTTAATAAAATTAAAATTTGATTAATGACTAATGTGAGATTGTAATTGAATGATGGAAAATATTGAATAACACATTAAAAGAAGGATTTCCTGTGACACAATCATAAACATAGATCAGTCAGTCGTGACCTTAGTACCAGTAGCACAATTATTTTCATCCCCTCCCTTCATGCTCAAAACTCCCCCCCCCTCCCACCACACTATATTGAATGCAGATGCCAATGAATGCATTTTGAAAACAGAATGTGAACTCACCGTACGGAGGAAGGATACGTCATCCTGTTCAGAACCTCCCTCGCTGTCTGCCATCCTTCCTCTAGTATAATTTTCAACTCAGGCACTTGTAAAAAATTTTTCCTGTCATAAGCTTTTTCTTATTTTTTTTTTTTTAATGCAAAAACAAAAATTCCAAATTTTAACGCTATATATGACTGATTAATCACGTATTATCAGTAAATTTAGCATCTCTTTTCCGCATGTTGTTGTTGTTGTTGTTATTTTTTTTCTTTCTCCTTTTTTTGGCGCCGGTTTTCCGCTCAATACGAGAGGAACCGAGCCCTAATTTTATGATCGGTCTTCCGATCAGCGTTGATCAACGACTGAACTTGCTTTTCTATATTTGCAAATCTCGTTGTTGAGAAATTCCTTTGGAGCCAATAATTTCCAAGGGGTTGATTCGTACAATGAGAGCGCATGCACCAAAATTCGACGTATTATAGTAACACACTCGTTGGGAATATTTCACTATCCCTTATTTTTCTTTTCCTTTTTGGTTTTTTTTTCAATGAAAAACTTGCTTCTCGTTGATCGTTGGTTGAATGAGAGAGAATCCTTTATATCTGCAGAATGTAAAATTGATTTTTTTTAATTATCGAAAAAATTATTTTTGATGGTAAGATTATTTTTGAAAGGGTTATTTAACAACTGTCGGTTTGAAATTGTGAAATTATGAGAAGCAATCGATTTTATTCTCCCTGTTGGTATTGTGTGTGAAATTCTCTACAGTGCTTGATAGATGGAGGAATGGTTCATTTTAAAATGATAATTTTCAAAAATTTTTAATAACAATAGTTTAATTTTACTCTTTTCTTTGCAAATTTTTTGTTTAAAAAATTCTATTTGAATTATTATTTTAATATTGATTGCAAAAAAAATTTGTTTAAACAGTTCAAATAATCATTTAAATAATTAAAAATACTTGATAACTGATAATAAATAATAGTTTTTAAATTATTATTTGAATGATAATTGAAAACGAATTTTTGAAAATAATATTCGAATAATAATTGAATTGAATAATAATAATATTGAATAATATTCCAATAATAAAGTAAACAATAAAAATTGAATAATATTTCAATAATAATTGAATTGAATAATTACAATTTATAATTAATAAATGATAATTAATAATAATTGAAAAAGAATTGGTATAACTAATTATTTAATTTAAATAACAATTGAATTGAAAATAACAATTATATAACACTTGAATAATAATTGAATTGAATAATATTTAAATAATAAAGTAAACAATAAAAATTGAATAATATTTGAGTAATAATTGAATTGATTAATTACAATTTATATTTGATAAATGATAATTAAGAATAATTAGAAAAATATTTGATTAATAATTAAAAAATTTTTTTTCTAATTATTATTATTAATTCGTAAAACTAATTTGAATTGAAAACCAATAATTATTTCAATTACAATAATTTATATTTTAATGAGTCATTATTTTTTTTTTAAAAGTAAAAAAAACAAATGAATAAGTAAGTAAATAAATAAACAAATAAGTAAATAAATACGTAAACAAACAAATAAATAAACAAATAAGTAAACTAACAAATAAGTAAATAAGTAAATAAATAAACAAGTTAATAAATGAGTAAATAAACAAATTAATTAATTAACAAACAAATAAGTAAATAAATCAACAAATAAATGAAGAATTGAATAAGTAAATAAATAAACAAATAAATAAGTAAGTAAATAAATAAACAAATAAGTAAATAAATCAACAAATAAATGAAGAATTAAATAAGTAAATAAATAAATAAGTAAATAAATAAACAAATTAATAAATGAGTAAGTAAACAAATTAATTAATTAACAAACAAATAAGTAAATAAATCAACAAATAAATGAAGAATTGAATAAGTAAATAAATAAACAAATAAATAAGTAAATAAATAAACAAATAAGTACATAAATCAACAAATAAATGAAGAATTAAATAAGTAAATAAATAAGTAAATAAATAAACAAATTAATAAATGAGTAAGTAAACAAATTAATTAATTAACAAACAAATAAGTAAATAAATCAACAAATAAATGAAGAATTGAATAAGTAAATAAATAAATAAACAAATAAATAAGTAAGTAAATAAATAAACAAACAAATAAGTAATTAAGTAAATAAATAAACAAATAAATAAATGAATAGATAAATAATTAATATAAAAGCCTAATGGATTAATAATGAAATAATATTTAATTCACGGTAATAAGTAAATAATTAATTAAGAAAGTAAATAAATAACGACACAAATACAATAAAATCGGATTAAAAAATAATAGTAAAAAAAATAAAAATAAGGGTTGAGAATGAAAAAAGTCAATGTTAATAAAAATAAATGGGACGTCCATAAATTTCGGAATATAAATCCCAGTTGGGAGAATGTCTTTGAAAGCAAGTAATCATGGGATTTGTCAAAATTTCCATAAGATATAAGAAGATTGTCGTTCCAGAGCTGATGACATTGAGCATCAATGCACTGGAAACATTATGTCTGCACTCTCATGAGAAACACAACTTGTTGGAGATGCCGGTGAACTATTTTATGAGCTTGGAGCACGATAAACTTGAACCAACACTATTCAAGATAGAGCACATTCTCAACACACATTCACATTGACGGAAAATAATCACTTCGGTTCGTCCAATAAATCTTTACTTTCTTTACTGCGAGAGAGAAAAAAAGCTTCTTTTTTTAATATTTTTTTCTAAATTTATTATTTTTTTCTTCTTTAATTTTATTTATTTTGTTTTAATTGGTAAAATTTACCTCGTTTTTTCTTTTTGTATAATATGAACTATTTTCTTTGCACGCACACTAGGAAAAAAAATACTTCTTTCTTCCTTTTTTTTTGGTGAATTTGTGTGATTTTTTTTTTTTTATTATTTTAAACAATTAAAAAATTCGTTTAGGCTTTCTTCTTAAAAAGCCTCCTCTCGAAAGAGTCGTTAACTCGGCGCGACGACGCGTCGAATAATCATAGCTGGGGAGCAAAATTTCTGTCCAAGCTCAAGAAGCTCTGGCATATTCACGGGGACCTCGAACGGAGCAAGCTGTGGCTTTTGTCTATTTCTGGTTTCGAGCCGCGTAGCCGTCCTCCTGCATGTCGAAAACTTAAAGTTTTACTTTCAGGAACGTCTTTCAAATTATTGAGACCCTGTTACTTGAAATTGAACACTTTTCTTTTTTTTTACTTTTTCGAAGTCTATTTTTACTGTTTATTGTAATTATTTACTGTAATATTTATTTATTGGAAATTATTTCAATTCTTTTCGTTTATTCGTTTTCTTTTTTTCCTTTCTTCTTTTTTTTTGGTTTTCTTTTTATTTTCATCTCTTACGGTTTTTTAATTTCTTTTTTATTTTAATCTCCTTTTTCTATTTTCTTTTGCTATTTTAGTTTCTTTTTTTATTTTTCTTCCTATTTTAATCTCTTCTCTTAATTTTCTTAATTTCTTTCCTCTTTCAGTCTCTTTCATTTTTCTACTTTCTTTTATTTATTTATTTTCTTTCTTATTTTAGTCTCTTTTTTATTTTCTTTCCTATTTTAATCTTTTTTTTTAAATTTACTATCCTATTTTGATTTCTTTTTTATTCTCTTTCCTATTTCAATAAAAATCATTTTTTTTCAAAGTTTTTCATTTTTTTCATTTTTTTTCTCATTTTAATAAAAAAAAGACTAAAAGTTTTTTTTAAAACTAAAAGTTTTTTTTTAGTTTTAATTTTTTACTTCTTAAAATTTTTAATTTTCTTTCCTAATTTAATATCCTTTTTCAATTTTTCTTTTCAATTTTTATTTCTTTTTTGTTTTTCTATTATTTTCTCTATTTTAATCTCGTTATTTTACTCGACTCTCAATTGATTGAAATTCAATTGATTGAAAATTGAGAAAAAAATTATTTTCACTAAAATACAAATATGTTTCTATTTGGTTGGTCTAGTGCTTTGTCAAAAAAAATATTCTAGCTGTTATATAAAAATTCTTTTTACAAAAAAAAAAAAAAATAATATTACCCTCCTTTTTTTGAAGGGTCAAACGTCAAATGAACGAATTTTTTTATATATAAATATTTTTAAAAATGTTTACACGAAAGTGAACATTAGTATAATAAAAATATTTATCTCTAGTTTAAAAATCAAATTTTTTTTATAAAACAATATTTTTTATAATCAAATTTTAATTAACAGAAGAAAAAACATTTTTATTAACTAGAAGCATTGAATAACTGTTTCTCAATTTAAATCGTTTAGTATTTTTATAAAAAAAATTTAGTCGATTACAAAAAATTGTCTTAATGCAAAAAAATAATTAATAATGTTTACAAAATACTTTTTTAATAATATTTTAGCTATAAAGAAAAACATAAAAAATATATAAATAATAATTATAAGTTTATTTAAATATTCATAATATTAACTAAAAAATAATTACATTTACCCTAAAGTATCTACTAGAATTATTATTAAAATTTTAAATTATTATTATTAGAAAAATGATTATAAAAAATAAATAATTGAACATTCAAATGAATGGAATTTTATTTACTTTTCAAATATTTTCAAAAATTTCTCTACTAAAATAAATATTAGTCTAGTTTATTAGTTTAGAAAAATTATAATTTGAAAAAAAATAGGAAATTAAAATTGATATAAAATAATAAAATTTAGACTAAAAGGAATAAACAAAAATAACGAATATTTAAAAATAAGAACTTTTTGTTATACATTTTTTATTATATTTTTAAATTTTTTTAATTAAAAAATTTTTTTTATTTTTTTAAATAAAATTACTTTTATGGTAAACTTTTTCCGTTAATTATTTATATTTTTTGTTATCTTATTCCGTACGTAGTGTGTAACTTTCTTTAAATTTTTAAACGAACTTTTTACTACAACTCTACTTTAGTTTTAAAATTCCATGAATTTTACTAGTAAATTTCAGTAGAAAATTAGTAAAATTAACTTGGGACTTGGTGAAACTTCCTTTAAAAATAGTAAAATTTAATATTAAAAATTTCTATTTACAGAATAACTTTTACAATTTTCAAAAACAATTTTTTTCTTATAAAAATTAGAAAAATTTAGTTCAAAAATAGTAAAATTTACCAAATTTACTCTAAAATATAAAAATTTTTGTTAGCTACTTTTAATGTTCGGGGAAAATTTTGAATAATTTTCATAAAAAAAAATTAACACTGAAAAATGAAAATAGAAAATTTTACTATTGAAAATCGTTATTTCAAGAGTAAATTTTATAATATAAGTAGTAAAATTTATTTCGAAATTTAGTAAAATATACTTTTAATTTAGTAAAATTTATTCTGGAGATAATACAATTTGTCAAAAATTTCAAACAATTTGGATTTTTCTTAAAAGTAAAAGTTATTTAATATTTGTTACCTTTTATGAAAAAATTCTCAAGTTTAAAGACTTCGAGACATAATATAAAAAGATTTTTAAGTTTAAAGAAACTAAAATTCTTCCAAAGTTTGCGAAAAGTAAACATTTTTCTAACTTACAAAAACTGAAATTTTTCTTAAGTTTTTCTTAAAAAAAAAGAAATTTTTTATTATTATTATTTTAATTAATTATTTTAATTTTATTATTTTATTTTTATTATTTTATTATTTTTTATTTGTGCTTTTCCTTCCTTTTGTGTTTGTGTGAATTAATAAATTTTCCGTAAATTTATTTGCGGTATAACATTTTTTGTCTCTCGGAGGAAAATTAATTTTGTTCGTTTATTTTTTATTTATTATCAGTTTTAAAAAAAGATTTCCGTTCATAGCACCTTCTATGTGTTAAAGTTTGAAAATCATTAAAATTTCAAAGTGATTTATCTTGTTGGATGTCAATGAATTTTCACTGACCGAACTGCAACTGTAAATAGGTCACTGCAAAATTACATTTACTTAACTTTAAATTTGAAAGTTTTAAAATTCATTTCCTTATCCATTTGACAGGTATATAAAAGAATAATTTGATTTTATATTTGCGAAAAAAAGAAACAAATCGTTGATTTTATTTAGATTTTTTGTGTAAAAATTTATTGTGTACGTAATTTTTTTTTTATTTAAAAAAATAAATATTTTCGTGGAATTATTTTATCAATGGCTCGAAGAATAATTTTGCAAAGTATTCTCAACATTGTTTATTTATTTAGCGCAAGAAATATGTATATATATATATATATATATATATATATATATATATATATATATATATATATATATATATATATATATATATATATATATATATATATATATATATATATATATATATATATATATATATATATTAGACAGAGATCAATTTTTTCTGTGTGACTCGTCGCTTGAATAACAAAACTTCCGGAAGTTCCACATTGTTCGAACAAAAATTTTTGAAAACAAGCCAAAAATATATACTTTGATTTAAAACAATTTCCTCTCAGTTGAGAGGAAATATCTCAAAATATTTCATAATTTTTATGTTATGAAATTTTATCACATAATTGTTTTTATTGTTGGATTTTCTTTTTTAAATATATAAATAAATAAAAAAGATCATCACTTCCTTTTTAGCTAAATTTTTTTTATTAGTATTTGTATTTATTATTTATTACTTAAACTAACATATTACTTATAATTTTTTCTATTTATTTATTTCATTCGGTTTTTATTTTTTCTTTTCGTTAATACAAATAAAAAAATTTTCCCACTGAGCGAAACCAAAAATAATCAAAATCCTTTGGAGTCATTCCATTATATTTCGACTAAAGTCGTTGCTGACTAATTTTCAAAATTGTAATATTTGGCAGGAATGATGTTAAAGATATTAGGATCACCGAACAAAAAGAATTTTTTAAATATTTTTGATATTTATTGTAAAATAAGCATCTAAAGTATATGAAGTCGTAAAAACTGTCACATTTTCATCTATTAGAAAATATTAAAGAAAACACATAATTTACTATAAAAACGTAAAAAAATGATTAGAATTTATTAAGAATGAATTATTTTATTATTATAAATTGATAGAAACAATTATTAATAAGAAATATTAAATAAAAAATAATTTTAAAGTTTACATGGAAAATAACCTATTTTTGCAAATTTCATTCACTAAATATGAGAAAGAGAAATCATTAAATTGGATAAAACCTTATGAAATATAAAGTACCTGTGATTAACTTTTAGTTTTTCTTATCACTTTCTTCCTGTTTTCTTCACAAATATTAAAAAATAAGCAATTAAAATTGTCACTTTGCTTATTTTCACGATTTTCAAATGTAAATAACTTCTGCCCAGAAAAATGAAAAATTACGAAAATTGGGCAATAATTAATTGATCACTAGATACACTCACTAGAAAAAGATTTTCTTTGGTCCCGAAGCTATTTTCCGAATTAATTAACTTTAAACTTTTTACTATTTTTATCAGGTTAATACATATGATTTTTTTAAAACTGAAGTTGGTTCAAAACAATTAAACAAGAAGAGCTAACTTCGTCCTTTAAAAAACACATGTATTAACCTGATAAAAATAGTAAAAAGTTTAAAGTTAATTAATTCGGAAAATAGCTTCGGGACCAAAGAAAATCTTTTTCTAGTGAGTGTATCTAGTGATCAATTAATTATTGCCCAATTTTCGTAATTTTTCATTTTTCTGGGCAGAAGTTATTTATATTTTAAAATCGTGAAAATAAGCAAAGTGCCAATTTTAATTGCTTATTTTTTCACATTTGTAAAGAAAAAAGGAAGAAAGTGATAAGGAAAACTAAAAGTTAATCACAGGTACTTTATATTTCATAAGGTTTTATTCAATTTAATGATTTCTCTTTCTCACATTTAGTGAATGAAATTGGCAAATTTAGGTTATTTGGCAGGTGAACTTTAAAATCATTTTTTATTTAATATTTCTTATTAATAATTGTTTTTATCAATTTATAATAATAAAACAATTCATTCTTAATAAATTCTAATCCTTTTTTTTACGTTTTTATAGT